TTCTCCCAGATGCAGTCACAGGAAATCTCAAAACATTGCAAACCAGAAGCTAAGAGCCCCTAATACAGGACTGCTCAGTAGTGTGCTGATTGGGGCAAGAGAATGATGATGCAGGGCCCAATTCTGGAAAAACTAAAATCTTCCAGCTACAGTAGATTAGGTGGGTGGGAACTGGGAAATTACGTAAATGACAAAGCTTACTGTTGTGGGCCCCTCAGTCCTGTAAGGATTTGGCAAGGCCGGCCCAACCATGAGGCAAGTTGAGGCAACCGCCTTAGGAGGCAGCATTCATAGGGACAGCAGATTCGGCCTCCAGCAAATGCATTGGCTGCTGCCCCTGCCATGGTGAGAGCAACAGCCCCAGCATGCTCCTTGGAAGCCAGCAACCCCCCAATGCCACCTCTCTTTACGGGACCACCTCTCCTGGTATGCCCCACAGAGGACCTAAGGTCCATGAATAACCATAGTTTAGAGGTCCCGGGCCCTAAGGAAGTCAGGCTATCCTCCACCAGGGCCAGGGCCTTTTCAGTGATGGCTCCGACCTGGTGGAATGCTCTGTCCCATGAGACTAGGGCCCTTCAGGATTTAACCTCCTTCCATTGGGCCTGTAAGACAGAGCTATTCCGCCTGGCCTTTAATTTGAATTCAGCCTGATCTTTTATTTCCCTTCTCTTCCCTCCCCCTCCTCTTTTATGAAGATTACTCGCCCTGAGACCCCACATCTAATTCTCCCCTGGCCTCCTCGTGGGCCCAAGTAGGACCAATTCAGCCAGCTAGACTTGGGGATTATCTAATGCTTATTTCCCCTAAATTGATTTCTGAATTTTGAATTTTATTGTTATTCATGTTTTTATGCTGTATTTTATGTTGCTTTTACAATTAAGTGTTTTAAATTTGTTGTTAGCCGCCCTGAGCCCAGTTTTTGAACCGGGAAGGGTGGGGTATAAATTATTATTATTATTACTATTATTACAGAGGCATCTTGGCAAATAGGAGGAACTGCTCGTCTCTTCCCACCCTTGCTTTTGATACAGATTGTTATTTCTTCCTTGTTCCTGATATTAGATCTTCCCTCACCCCTTTTGCCCTTTGGGAGGTGCCCCCCACCATTTTGTGGTTTGCCTCAGGTGTCAAAATATCCTTGGCAGGCCCTGGAATCTGGCCTGGTTTGGCAGCCCAAGATGGGAGGAAGAAGGAGGAGCAGGTGGCGGGCTGTAAGATTGGCACCTAGGGACGGCAGAGAAAGGTCCCTGTGTCAGGTACAAGGGGGGGGGGCAGAACTGCTGACTCTCTCCCCTGCCCCTCTTGACCAGCAAGGGGAAGGGGCTGAACAGGTAGGGGTGGAGGCAGAGTTGGAGACTGATGGCCAGAGAGCCAGGGTGGTGTAACGGTTAGAGTGCTGGACTAGAACTTGGGAGATGTGGGTTCAAACCCCCAACTGACCATGAAGCTTGCTAGCTGACCTTGGGTCAGTCACCATCTCTCAGCCTGACCTACCTCATGGGGGTGTTGTGAAGAGAGGTAGAATTGTGTACACCACCTTGGGCTCATTGGAGGAAAGGTGGGCTATAAAGGTAATAATAGGTAAAGGGTAAAGGGACCCCTGACCATTAGGTCCAGTCGTGACCGACTCTGGGGTTGCGCGCTCATCTCGCTCTATAGGCCAAGGGAGCCGGTGTTTGTCCGCAGACAGCTTCCGGGTCATGTGGCCAGCATGACTAAGCCACTTCTGGAGAACCAGAGCAGCGCATGGAAACGCCGTTTACCCTCCCACCAGAGTGGTACCTATTTATCTACTCGCACTTTGACGTGCTTTCGAACTGCTAGGTTGGCAGGAGTAGGGACCAAGCAACGGGAGCTCACCCCGTCGTGGGGATTTGAACCACCGACCTTCTGATCGGCAAATCCTAGGCTCTGTGGTTTAACCCACAGCGCCACCCGCGTCCCAAAGGTAATAATAATGATTGTTTAATCTTCAAGAGCCTGGCGATACCTTTGTAGGTGGGATCAGACTCACCCACCCAGAGCATTGGGCAAGAGAGTCTTGTGCATGAGCTCACTCTGCGTTGTCTTCAAGAGCTTGGCAGGAAGAGCACATCAACTGTAGGGACATCTTTGTAGTGTCTGTGTGGTTATGAACCTCTTGCCATGCCCACTCACCTTGGGATCTTGACTACCTCAGAATCCTGACTTCCAGACCCAGTGCTTGGCTGCTGAGTCAATACTGCTGTTATCCTATATAAAGATCTCCCCTTTACTCTCAAATGAGAGACGTCGTGTTTTGGGATGGGAACCTGACACTGACTTAGAACAAAAAGGCAATGAGCAATACTCAGTGTGCGATAATATACCGCCTTATAATTGTTCTTTAATGCCTTTTAATCCTTGAATGAGATAGAACTGTAGGAGAAGTGGATATGGGAAAGAGTAACTGCTCATTTTGCATGTGAGTTCAATCCTCGGAGGCTGAAATTGCACAAGTCAAGTCCCAAGCAGGGTGAAGAGTTTAAAAGCTCTGTTTGTGCCAGGTCTGTTCGGGGCCACCCGGTGTGAAAAGTGCTTTTAAGCTTGCTGGTCAAGCCCCAGTCTGGGAATCCTTTCTAAGAAACTATTTTGCCTTACCAGACCTTAATATTAATATTAATACAATCGATGGATTCTATGAGCAGCTCCCTCTTTGGCCACCCACTGACCCGGAAGAAATCCACGGACTCATTTCTAACCTCAAAGTTGGAAAAGCCCCCGGTCCCGACCTAGTCCCGGCGGAAGCTATAAAACTTCATGCAGACTGGTGGGCGAAAATCCTGGCCGTTACTTTTGATGCCGTAAACAAGAGTGGGAAGGTTCCAAGAATATGGAAGGATGCGATTATTATTCCAATTCATAAAAAGGGCTCGACAGATGATCCGGGAAATTACAGGAATCTCAGTTTATTGTCAATAATTGGGAAAATATATGCACGGTTCTTGTTAACTAAGCTTACTAAGTGGGCCGAAGAGAACAACCTGATTGGGCCTGAACAGTCTGGTTTTAGACCGAATCAGTCAGCGGTTGATCATGTCTTAGTTTTATACCACCTTGCCCGGAAATATTCCGCCCCAAATAGAGGCCAACTTTGTGCGGCCTTTATTGATTTAAAGGCCGCTTTTGACAGCATCCCCAGAGGACTACTTTGGGGGAAATTAGCATGATGGGGAATAGACAAAAGACTTTTGTGGCTAATAACTAAATTGCATGACGGATCGGCCACTAGGGTGAGAATCACTCCGGCCGGCGACCTCTCAAATCCAGTAACCATCAATAGAGGTGTTCATCAAGGATGTATCCTTGCTCCGACCCTTTTTAATCTATAAGTGATATGAGGGCGCCTCTGATAGATTCTCAAGAAACGATCCACGCCCCCCGTCTTGCCCAATATCATTGCCCCCTTCTACTCTACGCAGACAACGCAGTGATCCTATCTTTTTCAAGAGTGGGCCTTAGGAGGGCATTAAAATTTTTTGATGCTTACTGCAAATCAAATTTTCTTACAATTAATCATGCAAAGTCCAAAGTCCTAATTTTCACCAAGAGTCGAAAAACCTATAATTGGAGAATAGACGGAAAAGCCATCGACCAAGTCTTTAAATTTCAATACTTGGGAGTCCTTCTCCAACACAACATGGGCTGGAAGGTCCATCTTGCATATGTATTAAATAGAGCTAAAGCCCTTTCCTTTGCGCTACTGCGTTTTTTCTTTTCAGATGGGGCTTTCCATATTCCATCAGTGTTAAAAGTTTTCAAGGCAAAGGTGATTGCAACAATAGCATATGCAATCCCATTATGGGGGTCCTTTGTCAATCTAACCCAATTGGAGGTAATCCAAAACCAGCTGCTAAGAAGGTTGCTAAAATTACCCAGGTGTGTAGGCAATACTGCTATACGACTTGAACTAAATGTTACATCTCTAGGAACCACATTATGGAAATGCATCCTCTGTTACTGGTTGGCATTATGGCATAAACTTCCAAATCTCCACTTGATACAGTGTCTCTGGAGAGATGACTTCCCTAGCCCTTGGGCAAAAATAATACATGGGAAACTTGTGTCCTTAGGACTATCTCCATCTGAACTACTAAAATTGGATTTAATTTCTGCCAAGAGAATTATAACTCACAAATTAGAGGAGATGGATTTACAATTTAATATTGCGATAGGTGGTGGCACCTGTTCGCCGATAAACCTTGGCTTAACACCACCAACGAAACTTCCATCTTATTTAACTACCTTATCTGTGGTGATACACAGGTATGCCTTTATAAAGGCTAGATTCAATGTTTCCCCATCAAATGTGTTGGGTAACACACTCTCCAACGGACAGATCTCACTCTTCTGTGACTGTAAAAGTGGATCTATAGAATCGTTATATCATATAATCTTCTGTTGTCCATTACATTCGGCTTCACGGTCCAAGTTTCTGGCCCCATATTTATCGAGAATTGCTGACAGACCTCAGGAAGCCCAAATAATATACTTATTAAACGACGAAGACTCAAGTAGATCCCTTGCAGTCGCTAGATACCTGATTAATGTCTTATTTCATAAGAGGAGAAATGGATCACTGTATGACTCTGACAGCTTAGCCAAACTTAAGAACCATCAATAAGTGCCAGAACTAAGACGCATATCCCCCAAAATCCGAGGGATTTGAATTGCGGTTGACATAGAGGGAGCTTATTGTATATAGTGTTTACTTAATTGAAGTAAAATTGGTTTTATATGGGTGTTTTAACTTGGAACTGTTTAAATTGTTTGTTTATGGATAAATTTTGATGTATTGTTTTAGATATGGGCCAATGGCCGTAATAAATCAAATAAAAAAAAATATCAAGCTTGCTGGTCAAGACCCACTGGGCACACTGACTCTGGAAAGCTCTGGGATGTTTTCACAAGATCTTGAGGAGCAATGTGAGTTCCCCGCGTGGTCTCATGCGAGCATTCGTAGCCTTCCAGAGCCAGCGTACTGAGAGGGCCTTACCCCGCAAGGAAGTCAGAGAGCTTAAAAGCTCTTTTTGTGCCAGGTAACCCTGAGTGGACCTCTGCCTTGCTGTGAAGCTCTCTGCCTTGCTGGAGGAGTGGCGCAGCTCCAAGGATTTGCTTTGATTTTCATGTGAACATGAAACCCTTGGAACCAAACCCCTGAATAAAGTGAGGGACTGCTGTATAAAGTATTGCACTGTGGTGTTTGCGAATGATTGTCTTTTCTTTGTTACCTGTTTCTAATGTGATTTTATATATAGATATATAATTGACTCTACAATTAGGTGTGTATTTGGTAGTATAATAATAGCAGTAATTCATGGTAGGAGAGTAGAAAAGTCTGAACAGAAAAAGAGTAGGCTTTGGATAGGAAGAGAAGCAACCGTCATTCGTATACCAGCGAAGGGCAGGTAGCATTAAGAAACGACGGACGGTCTTTGTTTTCTTTTGAGGCTTTCTTTGCGTTTCATGCTATCCCGTTTGCCACCGCTATCCCGTTTGGGGCCGCTATCCCGTTTGGAGCCGCTACCCCGTTTGGAGCCGCTATCCCGTTTGGCGCTGCTATCCCGTCTGCTGCTTTCCCGTCTGCTGCTTTCCCGTCTGCCGCTATCGGGTCTGATGCTATCCTGTCTGCCGCTATCGGGTCTGATGCTATCCCTTCCGACACTGTCGCTTCTGACGCTGTGGCGTGTTGACCGCCTTCTGTCCTTGTCCTGTAGTAATAATAATAATAATAATAATAATAATAATAATAATAATAATAATTTATTTATACCTCATTCATCTGGCTGGGTTTCCTCAACCACTCTGAGCGGCTTCCAACAAAAGATTAAAAATACCTGTGACGACCGCCGGATTTGGAACTGGACCTGGACCTTCACCTTCTTGGCCATTGACGACATGTACTTCTTGTTTTCCAGAAAGGTCTTGCCGTTGGTTTCTGGGATAACCTTGAAGATGTAAATGAAGCTGAACACGCAGAGAGGCCAGAAGAGGAGGAAGGTGTAGGAACCAATCCGTGTCTAGAAAGGAACATTGAAATAAGAAAATGAGAGGGGTGGGGTTGGGAAGGGAGATGGGCATAACCACAATATATAACAGGCATCTGGTTGGCCACTGTGAGATGAGGATGCTAGACTAGATGGGCCATTGGCCTGATCCAACAGAGGTCTTCTTATAATCTTATGTTTATGTGATGATGATGATGATTATGACGATGATAATCAGGGGAACCAACTTGGGCTCCTGATTATGGGTGCCCAGCGTGCATGAAGTCATGATGTCAGGTCGTAACGTGACGTCCGTGACATCATGACATCATGCAGCCCCCCCCCCGGCAACTGATTTGCGGTGGTAATCAGGTTCCAAGACCTTGGAAAGCCCCCTGAACCCAACTTCCGGTCAGGAGTGGAAAGGACTCGCCAACCTGGGAAGACAACCCATCTAGGAGAAGGAAAACTGTTCTCCACAACCAGGGGTAGGGAACCTAAGGCCCGGGGGCCAGATCCAGCCCAATCGCCTTCTCAATCCAGCCCATGGATGGTCCAGGAATCTGCATGTTTTTACATGAGTAGAATGTGTCCTTTTATTTAAAATGCATCTCTGGTTTATTTGTGGAGCCCACCTGGTGTTTTTACATGAGTAGAATGAGTGCTTTTATTTAAAATGCACCTCTGGGTTATTTGTGGGGCATAGGAATTCATTCATCTCCCCCTCCCCACAAAAAAATATAGTCTGGCCCACCACATGGTCTGAGGGACGGTGGACAGGCCCACGGCTGAAAAAAGGTTGCTGACCCCTGTCCTAAACCTCTACTGCCTTGTGGGATATCTTCAGGAGAAGAAAAGGCTAAGGAGAAAACCCTACACAAAAGAAAAGTGGAGTCCCTAAGACGGTTGGATGGTGCCTTGTACGCCTGCTTCTGGCAACTGCTGCAGCCAAGCTGGTGCCCGGAGTATTACTTTGCTTTCCTTTGGACCACATCATCGAGGCTGAGAGGGGGCGTGTCTTGACTTCTCGGGCAGCCCAGGAGCTCCTTACACTCTACCCAGGCTTACACCCCAGAGAGGTCACTTTGGTGCTACTAATGCAGCGGTTTGACTTCACCCCCACTCCATTTGTCTCTTGAGATGCCAGCAACAAAAAAATATACAGATAGTCCTACTCAAAGTAGACCCATTGAGGTGAATGGACATGGCTAACTACTAAAGTCCATTAATTTCAGCAGCTCTCCCTGGAGTAATAATAATAATAAGAATTTTTATTTATACCCCGCCCTCCCCAGCCAAGGCCGGGCTCAGGACGGCTAACAAGCAATAATAAAAACAAATTGAATGAATACAACTTAAAAACAAGATTAAAATACAACATTAAAATATTGAAACATTAAAATATTAAAATGCAGCCTCATCACAGGAGGAGAAAGGAAAAAGAAAGAGGGGGAGGGAATCAAATTGGCTCCAAGCCAAAGGCTAGGCGGAACAACTCTGTCTTACATGCCCTGCGGAAAGAGATCAGATCCTGCAGGGCCCTGGTCTCATAAGGCAGAGTGTTCCACCAGGCCAGAGCCAGTGTTGAAAAAGCCCTGGCCTGGCTCTGGTTGAAGCTAATCTAACTTCCTTAGGGCCCGGGACCACTAGGGTGTTGCTATTTATGGACCTTGAGGCTCTCCGTGGGGCATACTGGGAAAGGCGGTCCCATAGGTACGAGGGTCCTAGGCCGTGAAGGGCTTTAAAGGTCAAAACCAGCACCTTAAATCCGACCCTGTACACCGGGAGCCAATGCAGCTGGAAAAGCACTGGGTGAATATGCTCCCATGGCAGAGACCCTGTGAGGAGCCTCGCTGCAGCATTCTGCACCCGCTGGAGTTTCTGGGACAGCTTCAAGGGCAGCCCCGTGTAGAGCGAATTACAGTAGTCAAGCCTGGAGGTGACCGTTGCATGGATCACTGTGGCCAGGGACAGTATTTCCCCACCCTGGTACACAGCCAGTGGGGTCACTGTGGCCAAGGACAGTATTTCCCCACCCTGGTACACAGCCAGTGGGGTGGAGTGGTTATGGTGTCGAACCAGGAGCTGGGAGAGACCAGGGTTTAAATCTCCACTGCTCCATGGGGCTCACTGGGCGACTTTAGGCCAGTCATGAACCCTCAGCCTAAGTACCTTGCAGGGTTTTTGTGAGGATGAAATGGAAAGGTGCAGGGGAGACCCAGGCAAGCCGCCTGGATCTTCTGGGAGGATAGGTGGGATATAAATGCAATATATAGGTAAGAAATATTATGTCCACCTCCAGGTAGTTTCATTAAAAAAAATCGACATCATTTGTAGATTCTGGAAGATGTGCAGACTCTGGTTTGATGAGCCTACAAGGGAAGAGCTTCAGCAACACCTGGAAGGCCAAAAGCTCCTCACCTGGGTGAGTTAGATGGACCAATGGTCTGACTCAGTGGAAGGCGTCTTCCTGTGCTCCCGAACCAGTTCAGACCACTCCCTCTTCTCATCCAAACAACTCACCTCAATCTGAATGAATATCATCCCCATAATGAAGTGCAGGAACCAGTGCACAAAGCCCCCGAGCATGAAGGCTATGGAGCGGGATGGCTGGAGGAACAGCTCCAGTATGATCACATTGGGTATGGGACCTGGGCAGGGAAGAAAGGATTCGAGGCTGTTTTTCATGGACTTGCTCATTCATCCATAGCGATTCGAAAGGAACTGGTGCAGTTAAGAGCTCTCACGTGCCTAGTTCAAACCTTGGCTGGATCTACACTGACCTTTTAAACATTATTAGAATGATTTATATATATATAAATGATATTTATTAAGAATTTTAAAATTACAAAAAAGATAAAAAGAAAAAGAAGGTAAAATAAAATAAAAACAATAGAAAAACAAACATCAGTCAAACAATACAAATCGAAAAAGTTCAAAATAAAAAAAAACAAAGACAAAACACATAACACATCAAAGTCACAAAACAAAAATAAACCCAATCCAAAACAAATCCAATATTCCCAAATCCTTAACTGTCATGACCTTATTTCATCGACCTCCTCACACCTCCCTTTTTTGTATTCTAGTTATTAATTATAACAGCAAATCCTTTCCATTTTTTCATAATATCCTGTCATTAAATTACCTTGATCTATTTTTACCTATATTACATAAAAAAACCTAAAATTTTAATTTCTCCTAACCTTAACATATTCTTGCCACACTCTTTTTAACAATTCTGCTAAAGTCAAATAATTTCATTCCAACATTTTTCTACTATTCATTAATTTTCCAGAGCAATCCTAAATAAGAAAAAATTTTTGGAAACCTTCTTCCAATCTTCATCCAACGTCTCTTCCTCTTGGTCCCGGGTTTAGTCAGTCCTTTCTGTCCCATCCATCTAGTTCATTAACCTGGTAATCTTATGTCCGAGGCCCTTAAGTCTCTTCCATGTCCCATCTGCAGATCTTCTTCATATTTATACCTGTACTTTACTTTGTCTCCTGCTCCTTTCACTCATGGAAACTCCAACTTAAGAATATTTTTGTCCCTTCTCGACAGATCAGCCCCTTTTCCATAGTCCACACTGAACTCCATGTGATTTTTAAAAACATGTTTCAAACCCCCTCCAAAATTGAGGACCCCCACATCCCCAAACTCCTCACGACCCATTGCCAGACTTGAAAAGTCAAAGCATCCCTGCATAGGGGGGTCTATCCAGCCCCCCATCTCCAAGCCAAATACAACTCTCTCTCTCCAAATCTGGCTTTTTCCAAGTTCATTTGTCAGATCCAACAACTCATTTTCCTGCTGGGCCACAGCTCCCTCGATCTCTGCCACCTGAGGTCCAACAACTACCTCCTCCCTCATCTGATCTGTCAGAGCACAAGTTGATTCCTGGGTAGGTTCTATGTAGATACCCACTGCCTGTCCAGAATTTCTAATCGCAACAGTCATCAAATCCGTCTTCTCATGTAACTGTTCCAATAAAACACTTGTCAAATCCGTCTTCTCATGTAACTGTTCCAGTAAAGTGCTTGTCTTGCAAAAAGCACGCACCAGAGCCTCTGAGTACATTGTTATGCAAGGTCAGCAGTCTGTTCCCACGATATTAATCTATTTGCAGCTGCAAGGCTCTCCAGTTCAAATTCAGTAACAGTATCACAAGCTCCCTCTAGGGGGGAAACTTCAATTTGTATCCATCTCTCTTTTTTTTTCTTCAAAGGCAGGTCTAATAACAAAGTTTCCTTTTTCAGATATTTTGTCAATATTTGTTCCTTTAGAATGCGAAGGAGAACAATGGAATCACTATGTTTCTCCTCTTTTAACTATCTGTCAAAGACGTTTGTCTGTAGTCAATGAACTTCCCAAAAGCTTCTGTCCTGACACCCCGCTCCCAGGTTCAAGACGATGGAAAATTACTTTTCTTTACGCTCTCTTCTGCAGGCTTAAACAGTCCAGAAAAAATCCCCCCTCTTCTCCTGCTTCCGAAGCGGGTTCAGTACTTTTAAATGATGAAAGTTAATCCTTTACAAGCGATTTTTTGAACTCTAGTTTACCATGTCTTTGCTTTAAACTATCTACAAGAAACGGAAGGCTGACTTCCTGTTTAGACCTTCCCGCTTCAGTGCCAATTTAAAAAGAATTTCTCAGTCCAAATTCCCGTTCTACTCACTTGTCGTTGTTTAAAGTCCAATTGTCCAAATATAATCTACTCACGGGTAGTTGTTTTTGTAGCCAAATTGTACCAGGAAAAAGGTAGCGCTCTCCGGCAACGGCTATGCGGCTTCACGCCACGGAAGAAGCAGTTGACTCTCAGCACCGCGCCACTTGCCCCTCTTCGCTCCGGAGCCCGTAATTGGGTTCCTTTACAAATTGGGGGGGCGCAAAAGGTGCCCGCCGAGTCCCATGGTCACAGGCTTCATCCACCTGTGATTTTTTAAAGGGTCCCCACTTCGCAGTAGCGGAACAGACCCGTTTCCCGTGGAGCCAGTCCCTCCAGATCAGAGGGAATCCGCCATTACCTATGGCGCCACCCCAGAAGTTCTAAAACGTCACAGGGCATACTGGTAAATTAAAAACATCGCTTCCTTTTAACAATGCAGTTTTCCTGTTGCCGGGTCCTGGTTGCTCTGCAGTGTCCTCAGGTATCACATTTTAATAACACGTTATTCACATTACAAGGAAACCTTAAGTGTCAATTACGTTATGAAAATCGTTCCTTAACCCTTCCTTAAGGTTATAAACCATGGGTGTAGATCACTGGGTGGGAAATAGTAGCAAAGTTCCCTGGAAAACTCCCACCGTAGTTTGCTAAGTATGGTAGCTCATGAGGGCGCAGTTCCCAGGATCCTTTTTGCAGGGGAGCCATTTCCATTATTATTATTATTATTATTATTATTATTATTATTATTATTATTTCTGATTGGGTTGTCCCAGCCACTCAGGGCAGCTCTCAACAAAATATTAAAAACAGAACAAAACATCAACCATTAAAAACTTCCCTAAACAGGGCTGCCTTCAGATGTCTTCTAAAAATCAAATACCGTATATACTCGAGTATAAGCTGACCCAAATATAAGCCAAGGCACCTAATTTTAGCACAAAAAACTGGGAAAACTTATTGACTCGAGTATAAGCTGGTTCACCACACCACAAACCTGGTGGTGGCGGCAGCTCCTGCAGCCAATCAGAAGCCGTGGAAGTCCCGTTGGACGTTAAGCTTCCAAAAGAATGTTCGAAAACCGGAACACTCACGGTTTTCGATTGTCGGGAGCCAAAACGTACGAGTTCTGGGGTGTTCGAGAACCAAGGTACGACTCTACTGTACAGTGGTATCTCGGGTTATGAACTTAATTCGTTCCGGAGGTCTGTTCTTAACCTGAAACGGTTCTTAACCTGAGGTACCACTTTAGCTAATGGGGCCTCCTGCTGCTGCTGCACCGCCACCATGCGATTTATGTTCTCATCCTGAGGTAAAGTTCTTAATCTGAGGTACCACTTCCAGGTTAGCAGAGTCTGTAACCCAAAGTGTTTGTAACCCGAGGTGTTTGTAACCCGAGGTACCACTGTATTAGGTTATGGTCTGGTTAACTACAATAACAATTTTCTTTATCTTTTTCTCTTCTGTAATATATAGAATTATTATTATTATTATTATTATTATTATTATTATTATTATTAGTTTTGTTTTCTACATGGGTACCATTTTTTCTTCTTTTTATGTCTAATCTTACTCTGTGCACTTGTAATTATGTACTCTTTGTTTTTCAATAAATATTTTTTTAAAAAAACACTTAAACAGAAATAAAACAAGCGGCCCACCCTGTTTGCCTCTTTGAAGGAACTCTCTAGGTCACCTGAGTCCTTACCTGGCCCAAGGATGTGCCCAAAGATCAAGATGAGGAAAAAGACTGAAGTGATGTATGTCATCCATGGCATGGTTTCCTGTGGGAGAAAGTTGAGTGTTCTTCAGACATGTATGAATGAGAGTGCCTGGCACGCCTTAAATTAAAGCAGGAGGGAGGAGCACTTCTCAGATTGAGGGCCTTCCGAACCACAAATCAGTGGCGGGTGGGACAGAGGCAAAAGTGGGTGGACAAGGGGTTATAGAGTTGGACTGGTCCTCCCCAGGTCATCTAGTCCAACCCCTTGCAATGCAGGAATCACAATTAAAGAAACCTTGACTGGTGGCCATCCAACATTTAAAAGCCTCCCCAGAAGGAGAGCCCACCACCTTCCGAGAGAAAATCTGTTCTCCTGTCGAACAGCTCTTAGTGTCAGAAAGTACCGGTACTTCCAAATGTTTCATTGGAATATCCCTTTCCCGGTAAGCTGGTTTCGCTCACATTCACACGTCTCTCTAAACTCCATCGAGACAAGCAAGAGGCACGATCAGGGTTCAAGGATATGTTCCGGACAGGCAAAAAACCCTCCTGGTTAAAGCACAGCCAGAGAGCGGTGTGGCCTGGTGAGAGCGGGTGTGGCCTAGCGAACGTTCTGAGGGCCAGGCAAAGAGACCCAGAGGGCCACATTTGCGCCCCTTCCCCAGCCTGAGTGACCCCACCCCTGGATTAAGATACAGGCAACTCAGCATTTATGTGGGGGTTACGTTCCAAGGCACTTGCAGCAGAGCATCGAGGGCTGGGAATGCATTGGGAATGCAAGAGCCAGATACATTTTTGCAGGAAAGACCCGCCAACAACATTCCTTCCCGCTCTTCCACCTGACACCAAATCTGAATGGATTTTCAGCTGCCTTGAAGGAGACCAAAGCTCCATCTGGCTCAGTTTGGTCCACACCAGGTTTTTGCCAAACTTGGGTTGGGTCTCCAGCTCTTTTTGGACTACAACTCCCATCATCCCTAGCTAGCAGGACCAGTGGTCAAGGGATGATGGGAACTGTAGACCAAAAACAGCTGGAGATCCAAGTTTGGGAAACCCTGGTCTACACTGGAGTGGGATATCCCGCTTTATCACTACCCTAAGGAGTCTCAAAGCGGCTAACAATCTCTTTTCCCTTCCTCCCCCACAACAAACACTGTGAGGTGAGTGAGGCTGAGAGACTTCAGAGAAATGTGACTAGCCCAAGGTCACCCAGTAGCTGCATGTGGAGGAGTGGGGAATCGAACCCGGTTCACCAGATTACGAGTCTACCACTCTTAACCACTGCACCACACTGGCTATCACGGTTCTTCAGGGTTTCAGAGTCTGTGGTAGACTGAACCTGGGACCTTCTGCATGCCAAGCAGGTGCTCTGTGATGGAGCTACAGCCCTTCGCTTGCTGGGTGACACTCTCTAAATCACACCAGGTTTTGAGCAGCAAACCTGAAGTTCGAGGGTCATGGTTAACAGAATGCAGAGGATGCTGCATATCGCAATTCCAGTGAGGAGGAGGATCCTTCGCCCCACAAAATCTACTATATAAACCTAGAGGGTATAAGAACAGAGAAGAAAGAGAGAGTTTGTGTGCAGAAATGAGAAAGAGAATAAAATGAGGCCACCAGGAATCAACAGAGGTAACTTCCATACACAGGGCTGCCTTTAGATGGCGCAGGGGTCCCATAATTCCATATACCCTCCAACGTGGTGGCACTGTGGTCTAAACTACTGAGGCTCTTGGGCTTGTTGATCAGAAGATTGGCGGTTCGAATCCGCGCGACGGGGTGAGCTCCTGTTGTGTCACGGCTAAAATGGCCGCTGTTTCTTTAATGCGAATAAAGCTGGGTCAGCATGACTCAGCAGTCTGCACCAAGTTGTATATATAAGTGAGAAATGTTAGTTTGTTGCTGAGGCTGGTGTTTGGGTTGGTTGGTGCTGGTGTGTATAGTTATTCAGTCGTGTTTTGCACAAAGACTTTTAAGAATAAAACTCTGCAAGGATATTCTCGTGGACTCTTTTTGTGCCGACAAGGGTCTGAGGACCAGGCTGAAGAGGCAAAGGGAGGTCAGAACCTTTTCCTCCTTTTTTTTTTTTTTTTTGCTTTTTACAAACACTGACAGGTTATGGGCCCAGTGTTTCTGAGCATGTGCAGAGTGCAAAACGACTGACAGCATCTCAGCAGGGAGCTGGTGAGTCCTGGTGGTGTATGGAGCCAGTGGCTGTGTGTTGGAGCAGTTGGTGGCAAGCTGTAACTGTCTGCAGCGACGCTGGAGTGGCTAGGATCTGAGGACCAGAAAAGCACTCAGCGTCGGCTACTGGAACAGTTTGAACTGCTAGAGGACCACAGTAGGCGACTCACAGAGCGGCTACACCAGTTGCAGAGCCAGGCGGGACCTGAGGGTCAACAGAGGCAGCAGCTAGAAGCCGGTGAGTGCCAGCCAGGACCATCTAGTGGGACTCTAAAGAGAGAGTCTGGAGAGTTTGCTGGAGGCCCCACAGAAGGGGCTCAGCAAGCACCAGCAGAGATGGCAGATTTCCAGTCTTCCCAAGTTGTAAATATTGGGAGAGGCATCCCTTTTGAACTTCTCTCAGAAAGCAACTGGCTGAGTTGGTCAATTAAAATGCAACAGTTGTTAAGGAGAGATGGACTATGGGACTGTGTTGAAACTGAGGTTTTGAGGACTGACTCTGCTGAGAAAAAACGGCTAGATGAAAGGGCTCGTGCCCAAATTATGCTGTGTTTGAGCAACTCTCAGTTATTGCATGTAGCAAATGCCAGCACAGCGTTTGAGTGCTGGAATTTATTAAGGGCAATGCATGTCAGAGAAACTGCTGGAACTATAATTTCTCTGACCAGAAGGCTGTTCAGGACTGTTATGAAAGAAGGTGAGAGTTTGGCAACTCATCTTCAAACGCTGAAATCTCTGTTTCTTCAACTACAGCAGAGAGGTAAGCGTTAGGATGAGACTGACCAAACCTACATTATCCTTTAAAGTTTGCCTGAAAGCTGGTTGCCCGTGATTAACAGCATGGAGAGTATGCGTCCCCGAGATCTGACCCTTGAGTATGTGGTTGGAAGATTGACCGAAGAAGCAGAAAGAAGGTCAGATAAACAGGCTGAACTCCAAGAGCGGAGGAGTTATAGTCGAGGGGGCCAGCAGCAGAATCTGCCAATGGAGCAACGCCAAGGTTTGGACTTGGCCATGGCAGTGAGGAGATGCTATAGATGCAACCAACCTGGGCATCTCCAACGTCAATGCAGGGCAAGACTTCCAGGAGACGACGTGGAGCAGAGACAGCAATCAATGCAGAAACGTAAGCAGAAGGGGTTCTCTTCAGAGAAGAAGAACACGCGTTCTGCTCAGTTTGTTTCTGCATTTTCTCGAGAGGAGAGGAAGATACCTCGAGGAACATGGTTGCTGGACTCTGGGAGCAGCAGGATTATCTGCAACAGTCGGGAGGACTTTAAGACCCTGGGGAAGCCAGCTGATGGAAAAGACTCAATTTATCTTGCTGATGGTCGTAGAAGCAAGATTGATGGCCAGGGAACATGTTTCCTGCAGTGCTTGAACACTACTCTACCAGAGACTCTGTTTGTCAGCAGTTTGGACTATTGTTTGCTGTCTGTAAGCTGTTTGATTAATGCAGGGTATAGTGTTAACTTCACACGGGATGGCTGTCTGATAAAGAATGGAACTCAGGTATGTGGCCATGCAAAGTTGGAAAATGGGTTATATGTAATGCAGGAAAAGCCTGTTAAGGCAGCCCAGGTGGTTCAGGATAATTTGCCAGTTCATAAGGGGTGTGTACATGAACTGCACAGAAAACTGGGTCACGCCAATTTCCGTGTGCTTTCAGAGATGCAAAAGATGTGCAAGAACCTAAAAGTAAACAGCTGTAACTGTTTCCTAGATTGCAATGTATGTAAAATGGCCAAATCTAAGAGGAAGCCTGTGGCTTCTAAAAGTGACAGAGTATCTAAAGAGGTTTTAGAACTTGTCCATTGTGACGTGATAGGCCCTTTTCCACAGAAGACTGAAGGGGGCGCCAGATATGCTTTTCTGGTAATTGATGATAAATCACGTTTTAGTTGGTTGTTTTTGTTAAAGCAGAAATCTGAGTGTTTCCCCACATTCAGAGAATGGGTTGCCCAAGCTGAAAAGCTCTTCGCTCGCCCTGTTGTGCAGTTGCAAACAGATAGGGGCGGAGAATTTCTGAACAAACAATTTGGGACATGGTTGCGACGTAAGGGGATCACTCATCGTTTGACAAACCCTTATAGCCCTGCTGAAAATGGTCTGTGTGAAAGACATGGGGCTGTAATACAGTCAGTAAAGGACTGCCTGCTAGTGGATGCAGGATTGGGTCACAACCATAGGCTGTGGGGCGAGGCTTTTCTGACAGCGAACTTTTTGATTAATAGAACCTGGTCTAGCTCTATAAAAGATATTCCTTATCGTGTGTTGTTTGGGAAAGAACCAGAGTGGACAATGCTCCATAACTGGGGTGCTTGGGCACATGTAAACATCCCCAAAGCTCAGCGCCAAAAAGGGGGTGCTAGAGCGCAGAGACTGCGGTTTGTGGGATATCAGTCCTATGGCAAAGGGTGGCGTTTCAATTTACGCCCAGGACGAGTGGTTCTGTCACGAAGTGCAGACTTCGCTGACCAGGACAGATGGACTGTGATCCATGCCAACCCAGATTGCCTACTGCCCCTGCAAGTAAGAGAAGAGGCTTCTTCTCAGCCATTGGCAACACAGGAGCAGGATGAGGAGGGGGCACAGATTTCCCCAAAAGATGTGGCAATAGATAATACTTCTCTAGAGGAAAAGGAAGAAGAGCCAGAGATAAGGGGGGGAGAAGAAGTAGTAGTGCCTAGGCGCTCCCAGCGTTCAAACAAGGGTGTACCTCCTCAGCGTTTGACCCTAGGAGGAGTGAGAGTATGCAATGTGAGTTGTGTGGAACCACAAAGTTATAATGAAGTATTAGACTTACCCCCTGGGGAACGTGCTTTGTGGGAACAAGCTATGAAAGAAGAAATGGACTCTTTTAAACGTAACAAAGTGTTTGAGGTCATAATGCCGCCACCTGATGGCAGAGTGGTGTCATGCAAGTGGGTTTACAAAAGGAAAACCCTTGCATCTGGGGAACCACATTTTCGAGCCAGATTAGTAGCCAGAGGGTTCACTCAGATTAAAGGGGAGAGTTATGATGAAGTGTTTTCTCCCACTGTAAAGAGTGAAACTTTTCGCTTAATGCTTTCCATTGCTGCTGTAAGACAACTAGCAGTGCACCATTTTGATGTTGATGCTGCATATCTGCATGCAAATTTAGACCATGAAGTGTTAATGAGACAACCCCCTGGGTTTGAAGAGGAGAATGGTGCAGTCTGGCGTTTGAGAAAGGCTGTTTATGGTCTCAAACAAAGTGGAAGGTGTTGGAACCAGTGTTTAAATGAAGCCCTTGTAAAACTTGGTTTTAAAAGGAGTGTGGCTGATCCATGCCTGTACACCAAGGGATCAGGCAACAAATATCTAATGCTCTTAGTCTTTGTTGATGATTTGCTTGTGGCAGGGAGTTCCACAGATGAGATCCAGAAGCTCACAAGTCAACTGGAAAAGAGGTTTAAGCTTAAAGCCTTGGGGCCTGTAAGCAATTACTTGGGAGTAGAAGTAAGGCAGGAAGCTGATGGAAGCTTCCTATTGAGTCAGAAAGAGAAAATTCTTCGTTTGATAGAGCAGTTTGGCATGGAAAACTGCAAGCCAGTTCAGACTCCCATGACACCAGATTTCCCGAAGACAGTGTGTGATGATGAATTTGATCAGCCTGAGTTGTATCACTCAAAAATAGGATCACTGTTATATTTAAGCCAGTGGTCAAGGCCAGACATTGCATGTGCTACAAATGTCCTGAGCCAACGTGTATCTAAACCCAGTACTGCTGATTGGTGTGCTTTGAAAAGGCTTATCAGATATCTAAAGGGGACATTAAATGTATGTTTGAAGATATCTAGTACACAAGACGAAAAACTAGAAGTATTTGTTGATGCGGACTGGGGAAGCTGTGTAGCTACCAGAAAATCTACAAGTGGAATGGTTATGATGTTTGCCAATTCCATAATTGGGTGGAGGTCAAAGAAACAAGGATTTGTTGCAACCTCATCCTGTGAGGCAGAATATGGGAGCCTGTCGCTAGCATGCAATGAAATCATGTGGTTTATACAGATACTAAAAGATCTAGATTGTAAAGTAGATTTGCCTATCCAAGGGTATGAAGATAGCCAATCGTGCATTGCATTAGCGGGCTCGGAAATAATGAAATCCGCATCAAAACATATTGCTATCCGTCATGCGAATGTTAGAGATTGTGTACAGAATGGGGTAATCAAACTGGAATATTGTCAATCACAAGATAATATTGCTGATTTGTTCACTAAGCCTTTGCCAGCATCATGCCATAATGAACTGATGACAAAACTGGGTTTATGTATATAATGTATGTATGTATTGTTTCTGTTGGGGTTTTTTGCATTTAAAGAAACAGAAGGGGTGTCACGGCTAAAATGGCCGCTGTTTCTTTAATGCGAATAAAGCTGGGTCAGCATGACTCAGCAGTCTGCACCAAGTTGTATATATAAGTGAGAAATGTTAGTTTGTTGCTGAGGCTGGTGTTTGGGTTGGTTGGTGCTGGTGTGTATAGTTATTCAGTCGTGTTTTGCACAAAGACTTTTAAGAATAAAACTCTGCAAGGATATTCTCGTGGACTCTTTTTGTGCCAACAAGGGTCTGAGGACCAGGCTGAAGAGGCAAAGGGAGGTCAGAACCTTTTCCTCCTTTTTTTTTTGCTTTTTACAAACACTGACATGTTGCTCTGTCCCAGCTCCTGCCAACCTAGCAATTTGAAAGCACTCCAGTGCAAGTAGATAAATAGGTAGTGCTGCGACGGGAAGGTAAAGGGCGTTTCCGTGCGCTCTGGTTTGCGTCATGGTGTCCCGTTGCGCCAGAAGCGGTTTAGTCATGCTGGCCACATGACCCGGGGACAAACGCCGGCTCCCTGGGCCTGAAAAGCGAGATGAGCTCCGCACCCCATAGTCACCTTTGATGGGGCTTAACTGTCCAGAGGTTCGTTACCTTTACTTTACCCTCCAATATTTCTCTGATGAAAATAGGGACGTCCTAAGGAAAACCAGGACAGCTTCTGTAAATCCAGGACTGTCCCTGCAAAATAGGGACACTTGGAGCATCTTCACATGTCCTATGTGGGCATGTGCAGAAGGTTCCCCCAGGGATTCTTTGAAGTGACAACAGCGCAATTTTAACACCGTTTGAAACAGATTGGAACTTTTAGGAAGGGGGAGAGAGAGAGAGGCTTACCACGATCATCAGCGAGATTGCGATGAAAATACTTGACAACACAGTGATATACCGGGCTTCCTGCTTCTTGATCCTCAAAGTTGCATAGATTCTCTCTGAGTAATAGAATACCTGGAAGCAAACCACAACTATGGAATGCCCTCCAACCGGAGGCAGTGATGGCAGAAGATTGGAGAAAATCATGGCTTTCAATGGCTGCTTGCCATGATGGCTACCAGGTGCTGCGCACCACAAGAAAACCATAAGAAAAGAGAGGGCTCTTGGGCATGGGACCTGCTTGCGGGTTTCCCAGAGGGATCTGGTTGGCCTCTGTGAGAACAGGATGCTAGACTGGATGGGCCATTGGCCAGATCCAGTAGGCTCTTCTCATGTTCTGATGCTCTTAACTCCCAGACTGCCAGCATTTTGTGGGAGCGAGTGAAATGCATCCTGGGATATATATACGGTGTTTATATTCTGCATTAACCCATGTGTGTAGGAGGAGGCCTGCTCTGCAAACTCCAGAGCAGTTGTGGAACCTGTGGCCCTCCAGATATTGCTAGACTACAGCTCCCATCAGCCCCAGCCAGCATGGCCCAAGAATCAGGGAGGATTGTGGGAGCTGTAGTCAAAATCCCACCAGCGCTTGTGGTTAGGGATGGCTGAATCTGTCCATTTTTATTTCTCCCGGTTTTTTTCCAAGTTGGAGTTCCAGTTCTACACATTTATTCTTCACCAGCATGCTTTTTTAATTTTCTGCTAAGTCCTCCTAAAAATTCATCAGCCTTTTAGTGCATTTTTCTCCCAGTTAAACATATTTTTGGATACGGTTTTCCCTAATATGCACATACCTGCAAGGCAATTTAATATAATACATATTTTTCTGTATTTTCTCCAGTAGATGCACCTTAATGCACACTTTAATCCTACTGTATGCACTTTTGGACATGTTAGTTAATACGACAGAGAACTGCATTGCAAAATTCAAAGGAGTGCAGATTTTGATGGAGGGCTGTCTTTTGGTTCTGATACTGCTTCAGAAAGTATGAGTCAGGCAAATCCGCACTGAAATGAAGGCCAAATCAAATTTCTCCTCCATCTGTAGATGAGAGGTGGACAAAAACTTCTCTCTACTTTTTGCACACCTTGCATAATTTTATGCAACTCTATTGAGCCACCTATGGCTCACCTTTTCTCTGAGCCAAAGCAGCCACTCATACAGTGACACAGCAGGGAACCTCTTTTTTCCTGGGTGATGTTCTCAGCTTCCAGGAGCCTTTAGTCCAGGGATGGGGAAACGTTGGCCCTCAGGATGTTGCACAACTGCAACTCCCATCAGCCCCCACAATCCTGTCCAATAGCTAGAGATTATGGGAGCTGTAGTTCAGCAGCCACTGGGAGTCCACAGGTGCCTTAGACCTGGACTAGAGTCTTCTGGGAGCTGGGATCACCATGCAGAAAAGGAGGTTCCCTGCTGCATCTCTGCATGAGTGCTTGTTCGGATGAAAATTAACACTCGCTCAGGCTTCTAACCCAACTGGGAAGCTGCCTCTCTTACCGCATTGACACCTGTGAGCTGTTGGCCACTCATGAGGATGACCACGGAGATGAATTGCCAACGCATGGCTCGGTTGCACAGCAGCTTCATCGCATTCATCTCCTTCTCCACCCTTACTGAGACGTTCTCCTGGTGGAGCTCCTCAAGCTCACTCTCCACGTCCTCCTGGCATCTCAGCCTCTGCAAGACTGGAAGGGAGCGGGGAAAGGATTTATGCTGAGCCACCAGGGCAGGAAGAGATGAAGAAACAACATTGCGGAAGAATAGTGGTAGAGCTTTGTATGTCCCAGGTTCATTCCCTGGCATCTCCAGGTAGGGATTGGTGGGGGGGACGGGACCCCTGCCTTATACCTTGGAGAGCTGCTGCCAATCAGTGCGGACAATGCCTCTTCTTACTGAGCCAGATGGGCCAATGGTCAGACTCAGTATAAGGCAGCTTCCTATGTTCCTATGGGTTGCCACCCTGCCCTGCTGCTCCTGCTGCCCCTGCCTGCTCTGCCCTGCCACCTCCGCCACCGACAGAGAAGCGCCACCGCCACCAACGCTGATTTCAAGCAAGATTGCACTGACGGGGGGCGGAGAGCTCTCGCCCCAAATCGTGTGAGATCTTGCGCACTCCACAAGATCTTGTGTGATTTCAGGCGAGCTCTTGCCCCAAGTGGACACGATCTTGCCTGAAATCAGTGGCAACAGCAAAGATGGAAGGGCAGGCAGGGTGCCCATAGGGGTGCTACCTGGTAGGGCTTCTGTTCCCTGAGGCAATGGCCTCACCCTGCCCAATGGCTGGGCCAGCTCTGGCCACAGCTTTGCGTGCAAAAGGTTAAAGTTTCAGTCCCCGGCATCTCTTGGTGGGACTGGGAGAAGCTTCCTATCTTCCTCGCCCCCCTTGTGTCTCCTGGGAAGGTCTGAGGATGCTCCCAGTGCTGCATATGGGAGAGCGGGAGCTGCCAGCCTTTGCCCAGAGACTCCCACAGGCCTCTATGTAGGGTCCCCATGCCGTAATGTTCCTGTGCACTCAAGGCGATTGTACCTTGCCTGGCTTTCACCTCATCGTTCCTCTGAATCAGGAGAAACCTTGGGCTTTCGGGGAAGCTGGGCAAGACGATGACTTGAAACACCGCCAGGATTCCAGTGAAGCACAGCAATAGCGGCCAACCTGTACAAGAAGATGCAGTTACAACTAGGGGTGAGAGAAGGCATCCCTTTCCTTTCCGCCCTCTTTCCAACTCAAGCGGCACTGTTTCCTTTCCTCTGCAGTTTGCCTTCTGCCAAAAACAGTATTTTCCCTCTCACTGTCCACTGTGTGGGAATTATGTAACACACGGCATTTGTGCAATTAATGACGGAAATTATGTTGCCAGTACGCTGCTACATTTTGTTCGTAGTAGCATAACTCGATGCAAATTGCAGAATGGACTGGGCAGAGAAGGAATGGTGGAGACCGCCTCCCCAGCCTGACCCTTCCAGAGAAGAGGAAGAGAGTTTAGATTTACAGCAGGGGTTTGAGGCAGATGAGGGGGAAAGTTGGGAAATAATGGGAGAGGAGGAGGAGGAAGCAGCAGCAGCAGGGGGTAACAGCTGACAGACGCAGTGTCTTTTGAAACCATTCCAGGCCTACCCTCTCCCAGAACCCGGCGAGCCTTGAAAGTAGGAGAGCAAAGAGCTCAAAGACAGAGGGCACATGGCAGCACCCGTAGAAGTGATGAATGAGGAAGTGAGAGAGACGGGGTGGAGATTCACTCGGGACAACGCCATTATCCAAGAGGCTGTGTTCTATAGCCTCTCTCTGTAAATACTGAATAAAAATAGGACGGTAAGAAGCATTCCCTTGTCTTTGTACATTCCTGGACAACCAGCAGCTTGACATGGATGGACCATAATCCATGATGTATCATTTGCAAATAGAAAGCAATGGCAACAATGATTAAGTTTGCCAGGTTGATTGATTTCCATTCCAGTCATGGGATGAATAAGCAAACATAATTGATGTTTTATTGTGCTTAAATACTTTGTTGGGAGCCGCCCAGAGTGGCTAGGGGAACCCAGTCGGATCGGTGGCATATAAATAATAAAATTATCATCATCAGGGGCGCCAATTATGGGGGGCTCTGGATGCCTGAGCACCCACAAAAAATTGTTGTGGGTGCTCAGCACCCACACTGCAGGGCCTCCCCCCACAACTTCTGAGGTCTTGCAAGGCCTCAGACAGCATCTCCAAGGCCTCAGAGATGCTTTCTGAGACCTTGGAACCCAACTTCCAGTGGCAACAGAAATTGGAGGGCTTTCTGAGGTGTTGCGAGGTCTTGGAACCTGACTTCTGGTACCACCACAAATCACATTCTAAGGCCAGGGGGCATGCGTGACATCATGACGTCACATTACAACCTGACATCATGACTTCACATACACTGGGCAGCCATAATCTGGGGCCCAAGTTGGCTCCCCTGATCCTCCTCCTCCTCCTCATCACATAAACATAAGATTATAAGAAGACCTCTGCTGGATCAGGCCAATGGCTCATGTAGTCACAGTGGCCAACCAGATTCCTGTGGGAAACCCACAAGCAGGATTCGACCCCTCTCCCCTCCTGCAGCTTCCAGCAACAGGTATTTGGAATTGTGGAGGCCGAGCATCGCCATCCTGGCCAGCAGCACCCGCAAGTCCTGCTTCCTTTTCCGTTTCTGCTGAAACTCTCCAACATCCCTTGTGATGATCTGCCAAGGTTACCTTTCTCAGTCCCGAGAAGCTCTTGAAGACTAAGGATCTGTGAGACCATGACGCCAATGGTGACAAAGATCATGGGGACCGTCATAATGGACCCCCTCATGTTTCTAGGGGATATCTCTCCAAGGTATAGTGGGACGATGCAGGAGAACATGCCTGGTTAGATGGTAGACAAAGGGACGATGAACAGCGTGGATGGGACACAGCAACATTTTCAAGGAACATAGGAGGTTCTCCCGCTGGGTGGAGGTGGCCAATTGATGTTCACCCCAGCATTAGGTGGAATTCTGAAGAGTGGCATTCTGTGCCCCTGCATGTTGGGTAGTGGAGATTGGTCCATGATGTAACAGGCATTTAAATTGCTACTTTGGGGGGCGGGGGAAATAGACATTGCAATAATCAATAAATATTTGATGGCCTTGAGGACTCTCCCCAAGATGCACGCCTCCCCCCAGGGCACACCCTTCACCATCCTAGCTTTAAACTCTCCTCCAGTGCTTCCTGCCTGGCTGGAACTGAACCCTGATAATGCCCCTTGCATTATTTAAGTGGCTTTACTAAAACCACTAAGCCCAGGGCCCTCTCTCACCTGAGCACATTCCAGTGACCAAGCGTGAAAATATGGTGTATTCATAGGCATGTATCACAGCAGAACATCCCATGAAGCCAGCAGAGAATATGGACATAATGTTATTTATTACCAAGGCCCCTTTCCTGAAAAGACAGGGGAAAGGGGTAGGAGAGGTAGAGGGAGCCAATACATGTACAGTAGCATCAAACAAGCAGGAGAGGAGCTGTTGAATTGCAGTAAGGTCTTTTGGTGGGCAATTTGGTCTATTTTTAATAGTTATGGGAAGGATAAGGAGCTATGCAAGGCAGGAGAGCTCCTGGAAACCCCCAACTACTGTAAACCCCATTCAACCCCCACCTTTGACGCCTGAGACTTCAGCTGCCAACTTCACATGGACTAGCAACTTGCTTTTGCATCTTTCCCCCCCATTTTTTTAATTGATTTTCCAAATTTATGAACAAACAAACAAACATAAATCCTAACTGTAATAATTCCACTTTTGTTAACATTATTAAGTGACTTCCTCGAGTCCCCCTGGCTGAGTTTCAATGTGTATCCTTGTAACGGTTTTCCAAAACTAATTTCTCATAAAATTTACTTAGTCAAGTAACATCTTTCTTTCTTTTCATATTAACTTTAAGCATATTATTCTATAACATCACATATTTAAATCCTAAGCCAATCTGATACTTGCAAGTATTTCTATTTAAGTTGCTTTTGCATCTTGGCTAGGGATGGGCAAATCTGTTTATTTCCATTTCCTACTTTTTCAGCTCTCCACATTTGCACATCTGTTTGCATCCACCCCCCCCAAATGTCCCCTAATAAACACCTCCTACCCCACTACACAGGGGCGGGGAATCTCCAGCCCACAAGCCAGAGTTGGCCTATGAGACTATTTCCCACAAACCACACCCACTTGTCCTTGCTTGACCTCATATGTAACGTCAGGTGTGGGGCACATAGAGACATGGCTGCCAATGCACGGGGAGGAGCCTTAAAGTGGCATTGGCAAGAGAAATCAGACATTGGTTCTACCACCTGTCAGCTTGGTTAAAACGGAAGCCTTGGGCACTTCAGAGCACGACCATGGGCTCCTGTGTGATGCTTTGAAGTCCTGACATTGGGACTTCAAAGCACCCAATCACCTAATGCCATTGTGACATTTGACGACTGACAGGCAAGCAGCTCCAAGGCTAGAACCAGAGAAGCATCTGGCCTGCAAAGCCTAAAAGGACCCACCCCTGTGCCATAGCCCTCTTTACCTGCCGTATCTGTCCACCATGAAGCTGACCAGAAGGGACCCAATCAGGCCTCCAAGGGAATAGATTGCAATGGTGAAAGTGTAGAGGAAATCAATATAGTCTTCTTCGTCTACGTTGGCCTGCTTCCTCTGTTGATACGTGCCATTGTAAAAGTTTGATATGAGCTAGGAAAGGGAGGAATAGATAAGAATGGTTGCACTGGGGGAGCAGAGCCCTTTAATGGATTTGATTTGCCCACAAATAAAGTTCTGGTATGCAATCAACTCCTTTGTGCAATAGTGTCAGGGACCGCGCTGAGGAGGAATGGTGGGAGCCTGAAACATCCCAGCAGGAGGACAATATAGATTTGGAACAGGTTGTGCAGCTTCCCGCCGAAGAATTGATGCTTTTGAATTATGGTGCTGGAGGAGACTCTTGAGAGTCCCATGGACTGCAAGAAGATCAAACCTACCCATTCTTAAGGAAGTCAGCCCTGAGTGCTCACTGGAAGGACAGATCCTGAAGCTGAGGCTCCAATACTTTGGCCACCTCATGAGAAGAGAAGACTCCCTGGAAAAGACCCTGATGTTGGGAAAGATTGAGGGCACAAGGAGAAGGGGACGACAGAGGACGAGATGGCTGGACAGTGTTCTCGAAGCTACCAACATGAGTCTGACCAAACTGCGGGAGGCAGTGGAGGACAGGAGTGGCTGGCGTGCTCTGGGCCATGGGGTCACGAAGAGTCGGACACGACTAAACGACTAAACAACAAAGTGCAGCTTCCCAAACCACGTCCCCTGCTTCCTCCTGCTGTGAAGCATAATCTCATGGGACATGGGACACATGGTGTGGGCATTTTGGGTGCTGCCCATTCGCCTGGAGGATTTTCGTTGGCTGGGTTTTAAATTTGAGGGCAAATTGGCACTGTAGCGGAAATGCGGAAGATAGAATTGCTACCGACGAGGTGTAGGTGGCCTTGCACAATTGACCCTTCATATCACCCTAAGCAGCAGCGTTTCTGATGCTGACTCCCGCTGACTTGATTGCGGAGAGAAGTCTGGAATCAGAGGCAGAAGCTGAAATTGGCAAGTGGGAGGGGAGAGGCCAAGAGCCAGGTTGGTGAAGAGTCGTGTGTGTCTCTCCTTCCTGCTACGACAAGCTCCCCTCCCTGCTTGTCTCCCAGAACCAGAAGAGGGCTAAAACGGGTGGAGCAGTGGCAGGTTGCATGCAGGAGTAGTCTCTGATTGTTTGGGGAAAGCCCTGGAGACTATGGTACTTGGAGAGGCAGGGATTTGATGGGATAAGGCCTAACAGAGATGAGCTGCTGTGCTCACTAGGCCTGACACTCAGCCAATGCTGTGCAAATTGTGTTTTTGCTAAGAAAGAGTTTGCTGCTGGCTCGTTCTTTGACGGGTGGCTAAAAAGCTCCTGTTTCATGCTGTTTCAGATGACACGGGGCCCCTGCTGCAGAAATAGTAACAGATCTTTGACCCTCTGCAATCCCAGACTGCTACATGTCTGATCTTACCGTAGATGGATGGCTGGCCACCCAGAGGTTGTAACCATATTGTAGAGATGAGCCAGAGGAAGTAAGCAGGGTAACCAGCAGAAGCTGCCTTGTCAGCGCCTATGGGAAGGAGCAGAAGCAGATACTGAGGCCTTTGAGTGTAGAGGGCGATGCATTAATATATCCTTTAAAATTGATGGTTTATTCAATACATGTAGAACTTCAGAAAAAGAAACTTAAATACATAGTATAAGAGAGGTCTGATGCTGTCCTGGTTTGGCCTGGCAGAGAAATCCAAAGAGCAAGGATCCGGGCCAGACATTTCTGCAGCGCAAACATCTGTAAGTGGCAAAGGCCAGACTTTTAGAAGACATCTGAAGGCAGCCCTGTTTAGGGAAGCTTTTAATGTTTGATGTATTACAGTATTTTAATATTTTTTTGGAAGCTGCCCAGAGTAGCTGGGGAGGCCCAGCCAGATGGGCAGGATATAAATAATAAATTATTATTATTATTATTATTATTATTATTAGGGTTCTTCCTGCAAGGAAACATTTCCATAAACTAAGGAATTCACATACAAATGAAGGAATGAAAAGTCAACATCATTGTTTCCCTTGCTTCCCAACTGCTAGTACCCCAACAGAAATTTAAGGACAAAGAATATATGTCAACATAAACATACTTTCACAAAATCCACACCTTGGGATAAACAGGAAGCATCATACAGTCATGGGTGTCTTCATTTGTAAATAAAATAAAGGCGTGCTATATTGCAAAAACCCTGGTTTCCTGCAGTATGTTTTCCTGTTCTTTTCTTTTGTTTGCATGCAAAAAAAAAAATCCCTTTCTTGTTCTAATTTACAGACATTAATAAGTACTTTAAGCAAACTAATAATTAGAATTAATTAAAGAATATAGGACTAGATGTGTCATCGGCTTGATTCAGGAGGTTCTTATGTTCTTACATTTTTGCCATTAATTTCTGGTGTTTCTGATGGATTAGAGGATCCATGGGCAGTTTGCACCCAGTAGTATCTTTAAAGGGGACGCGGGTGGGTGGGGTAAAAGCCTCAGCGCCTAGGGCTTGCCGATTGAAAGGTCGGCGGTTCGAATCCCCGCAGCGGGGTGTGCTCCCGTTGCTCGGTCCCAGCGCCTGCCAACCTAGCAGTTCGAAAGCACTCCCGGGTGCAAGTAGATAAATAGGGACCGCTTACTAGCGGGAAGGTAAACGGCGTTTCCATGTGCGGCTCTGGCTCGCCAGAGCAGCGATGTCACGCTGGCCACGTAACCCGGAAGTGTCTCCGGACAGCGCTGGCCCCCGGCCTCTTAAGTGAGATGGGCGCACAACCCTAGAGTCTGTCAAGACTGGCCCGTACGGGCAGGGGTACCTTTACCTTTAGTACCTTTAAATCTTTAAACCACCAATTACCAGTGCTTTCCCCCTAGAAAAATAGGTGCCGGTACTTGCCATGAAGTTGTTAAAAAGTGTGGCACTTACTGTAACAACAACAACAAAAAGAGGTGCCTTGAGTATCCCTTGAAAAAAAGGCACTGCCTATTATAATATTCCAGAAAGCATTATTAAATGCTGACATTGCAAACTTTTATGAACACTCTGCTTGAAGGTTGGAAGAGGACTTCTTACAAATAAATGTCACCAGGTTCCAACACGGGTGCCCTATGATATTTACGTGTGGTGTAGAGAAAGCGTACAGGGAAAAGAATACGGGGGGGGGGGCCTCCTCACTTGTGCAGCTCTGGAAAATAATTAAGTAATTTAATTCATACCAGGAAATGGAGTGAGAGAGCTGGAGAGTTGCAAGGAGACAGACTGGAGATGTAGCAGGGCTTTGTTTAGGCTGCTCAGCCTCCCCGCCCAACAGCTGATACATGTGGCAGCCCAGCAGCAGCTGCTTCTCCACACATCCTCCAGCATCCAGCCAGCCCCAGAGCCATAGCTCTCAACTTACAGATTTGAAAATAAAGGACCAGCAGCCTCGAAAATAAGGGATCAGCAGCCAAAATAAGGGATTTTCCAAGCACAGGTATGTTCAACTACTGAGCCCCTCCAAGTCAAAGGCAGAAAGCCCAGCCAGCAGCCAAACGAAGCCTCAAGTGGTGGTTCCCACAGCGCAGCAACCCGGCAAAGGGGATGCAGCAAGGAAACCCACCGTCACCTCTCCACTGGGAAGTGCTGAGCAAAGGCGAGTCCCCAGGCAACGCGGCCGATTTGATCGGCACAAGGCATGCAAGCTCCACCCCCCAGTTGTTCTTAGACTCCTTATTGGGTGAGCAACGCAGACAAGCAACACAGTTGGAGCCTCCCTCCTCCCTGGCTGGCTGGCAGGGAGGGAGGGAGAGGAGCTGCTTCCTTTGAAACCCAGGAAATTTAAGGGACATCATCAATAAGGGACAGCAGCGGGAAATGGTGCTGGGATAAGGGAGTTTCCCGCCAAATAAGGGACGGTTGATGGCTATGCCCAGAGCTCCAATTCTAATTGTGGATATATTGTGGTACAGTATTTTTTTTAAATTTGGATTGGATAGAGAGTGTCCAAGAGGGCATTTAAAGGGTGCTTGGAAGGTGCTCCCCACTTACGCGATTTTCAGTTATGTGAATGGAGCACCGGAATGCAACCGCTGCAAAAGTCGGGAGTCACTTATATATGCATCTGATCTGAGATGCATGTACAGTCGCACCTTGGAAGTCGAACGGAATCCATTCCCGGAAGTCCGTTCGACTTCCGAAATGTTTGGAAACCAAAGTGTGGCTTCTGATTGGCTGCATGAAGCTCCTGCAGCCAATCAGAAGCCGCGGAAGCCCCATCGGACATTTGGCTTCCAAAAGAATGTTCGGAAACTGGAACACTCACTTCCAGTTTTCAATCGTTCGGGAGCCAGAACATTCAACTCCCAAGGCGTTTGGGAACCGAGGTATGACTGTATTTGAAAAATGTCCTGCTGGTCTCAGTGAAAGAGACCCGGAAGCATTTTGTCCTCTTACACCCTGCTCTGCTACTTGATTTCCTCAATTATTCTCCTTTGTTTTAGCAATAATATTGTATGAGGCAAGCACCCTCGCTATATCATTTTAGACAGCAGCCTGACCCAGACAGAAGGATTTAGTTATGCATATTTGGTTTGAAACATTTTGCTCATTTTAACTGCATTTTACTATGTAACCCATTTAGCCTTAAAAGTGTTTTCGCATTAACACATTCCCGCCCCGCCCCCAATAAATAAAATAAATACATTTGATGGGATTTCCTGCCAGACCTGTTTGCATTCTGGAAACAAACAGACATCAGTTTGTTTAACAAAACCTCCCTGGGTGAACAAACCCTCTGAACTTACCCATTTGCGGGATCCTACGGACTTTCTTCTCCTTGTTGAAATGCTTGCCATGGATACTTGATGCTGAGTATCAGATGACTGGCTTACCTGGGGAAAAGGGAAAAGTTATCGACTGCTGCAAATTACTTTAGAACATAGCATTAGCCTTCTGTTGCTGTTGTTGCCTTCTTGGTAGTTGTGCCCGACCTGTGGAACGCCCTCCTGTCAGATGTCAAGGAAATAAACAACTACCAAACTTCTAGAAGAACTTCAGGGAAGTTTTTAATGTATGACGTCATATTGTGTTTTAAGTTGTTGGAAGCCACCCAGAGTGGTGGTTGGTTAGCATATAAACAAACAAACAAACAAACAAATGTTGTTGTTGTTACCATTATTTAATATATTATAAGGTAAAATATTATAAGGTATAAATATATTATACCCTGCCTTTCTCCCAAGTAGGGATTCAAAGTAGCTTACAACATTTTAAAAGTTCAGTTATAAGATACAGAGTAAGAAATACACACTGGTTAAAATAAATTAAAGGAATCCGATCCCTACCCCGGTGGCAGCCAAAAAGCAGATAAACAAGAAGAGTTCTTACCACGTAATTTATTCAGTATTCAGAGAGAGAGAGAGAGAGAGAGAGAGAGGAAGGAATGCAGTCTGTATTAAATAATGGCGTCGCTCAGAGTAAAGTCCAACCCCCTCCGTCATCCCTGCGATGGCTGAACTGAGCTTTCTGCCTCTGAGTTTTCTGTTCTACTACTCTCAATGCCCCCCTAGTCCTGGAAGAGGGGGGCTCAGGAAGGCTTACCAAAGACACTGAGTCTGTCAGCTGTTTCTCCCCCAGCGCTTCTTCTTCCTGCTGTTCTTCTCCCAATATTTCCCTTCTGCAGCCTCTGAACTATGGCCTTCTGCAAACCACTGTTCTAAATCTATACTGTCCTCCTGTTCTTGGGAAGGTTCAGGAGAAGGGAGGTCGGCCCCTACCATTCCTCCTCAGTCCAGTCCCTGACAATACCTGGACACCATCAAGGCCAAAAAACCACTGATAGCCTTATCCCCCATCAATTTGCCACCGGAGTGTAAAGCATCCAAGTTGGTGGCCATTGTACAGCTTGTGACATTGAATTCCGGAGTTTAACAATGGCTACTAACCACAATGGCTATGTTCTATCACCTCTGTTGGAGGCAGTATGCCTGGGAGTGCCTGGGAACCACAAGTAGGGTGAGTTGCTGCTGCACTCAGGTCCTGCTTGTGGGCTTCCCATTGGGGCAACTGGTTGGCTATGGCAAGAACAGGATGCTGGACTAGATGGGCCTTTGACCCGATCCAGCGGACTCTTCTTATGGGATGTCACTTACAGTACATCCTTCCCAGTCCTCCCTGTTGAATTTATGTGCAGAGATAACCTTGCCCCACTGAATATCTCATTGGTGTACATCTCCCATCATACCTTATCCTCGGTCAGGCTGGCAGTCGAGGGTTCGAGTCCAGCATCTGGAACATCCAACTGGTTCTCCAGTTCTAGGTTGTTAGCAGTCATCCTTCCTTCTTAGGCTGGGTAGGGGACGGAGAGGCAAAGGACATGCAGACTAACCCAAGCTTTCGGAACTGGTGAATGGCGGAACAGGCAGCCAGGCTCTATTTCCCATAGAAACAAGTCATTCGGAAGGTTCACGCCGTTGCAAGAGCCAATCAGGGGATGGTGGCTGGAACATTCCAGGGGAAGCTGTTGACAGTTGGAAGGCCCAATAAAGGACGCCCATGTCGGAGCGTATCAGACCTGAATGATTTGCAACCTGAATAATACAGCTGGTGTAGCATAGCTGCTCAGAGGTTGCCGGCAGAGTATTAACAGGATTGTGTATCCTCTCTGGAAGAAACCAGGCTAAGGGACCATCAGCAAATCCTGACTTAAAACCACCTTTAACACAAGCACACTAAATGGCCTTAGGAAAGCCACACACTCTCAGTTTAGCACCTCCTCCCCTCCAATTTGCAAATCAGGAGCTTGAAATATTTATACAAGAACAACAACAATTAAATACAATATTAAATATATTGATCTACTTTACATGATGGTTGAAGATATAAGAAGTTCATCCCGGTAGGGATGGAACGGCGCTGCTTTCATTGCCTGGAGCTCCTCTTCTTTTGCTAGAATTTCCCAAGTTCACATTAAATCCCAGAGGATTTTAAAGGGTAATATAATAATTAGTATGGGGCTTTCAAGTGTTCAGCATTCGTGTAGCGCCTATGGGAGGAAACATTACATTTGTGGGTTTGTTACTTTAGAGAATAAAAAAAGAGGTGAGCTTTACAAGAGATGTATAGAATTATGCATTGTGCTATGGAGAAAGAGGATATAGAAAAGGTTTTCTTCCCCCTCCCCCTCACATAACACTAGAACCCAGGTCCACCCAACGAAGCTGAGTGTTGGAAGATTCGGAACAGAGAAAAGAAAGGACTGCTTCATGCAGTGTGCAGTTAACCTGTGGAACTCCCTCCCACTAAAGGCAGTGATGGCCACAAAACTGGATGGCTTTATAAGAGGTCTAGACAAATTCATGGACGACAAGGCTATCAATGCCTACTAGCCAAGATGGTTGTACTGTCCTTCCATAGTTGGAGGCTGTGATGCCACAGAAGGGTGCTCTTGCGCCCGGGTCCTACTTTCCGGTTTCTCAAAGGAATTTTGGGGAACAGGATGCTGAACTAGAGGGGCCATTGGCCTGATCTAGCAGGTTGCTGTTAACAAGGTAAAAAGGTAAAGGACCCCTAGACGGTTAATCCCAGTCAAAGGCGACTATGGGGTTGCGGCGCTCATCTCACTTTCAGGCCAAGGGAGCGGGCGTTTGTCCACAGACAGCTCTCTGAGTCATGTGGCCAGCATGACTAAACCGCTTCTGGCGCAACATAACACCGTGACGGAAACCAGAGCATATGGAAACGCCGTTTACCATCCCACCACAGCAATGCCTATTTATCTACTTGCACTGGTGTGCTTTCGAACTGCTAGGTTGGCGGGAGCTGGGACAGAGCAACAGGAGCTCACTCTGTTGCGGGGATTCGAACCGCCAACCTTCTGATCAGCAAGCTCACTGACAACCCACCGGAACCTTCCCCAGAATCCAGCTCCTGAGCCTTTTGGTCCCTGGTCACTTCCGCAAGCTCCAACATTCCCTGACGCCCCAATTCCGCCTCCCTCACCTCACACAGGCCTTCTCCTGGGCCATCTAACTCCACCTCCATCTTTGCTGCCCCCATCTCGTTGGAATCCACCTGTCGCCTCCATGGCATCTCCTCCACAGGCCTGATGACTGAGTTTAAGAAACCTTAGGGACACTTTTACCTCAGGCCTTTGAGGCAAAGGCGTCAGTGTGGCTTCTCACAGCAAAGAGTATCTGAGAGCTCATTGGGATGGCCTTGGGACCACCTCCCAGCCTAACCTACTTCACAGGGTTGTCGTGAGGGCAAAATGGAGGAGAGAACCATGGATGCTGCCTTCAGCTCCTTGGAGAAACGGGCAGGATTGTAATTTTGTGGTTGTTAGAGCCTGGATAGCTCACTTAGTTAGAGTGTGGTGCTGATAACACCAAGGTTGCGAGTTTGACAGCTGCATCTTCCTGCATTGCAGGGGGGTGGACTGGATGATCCTCAGGGTCCCTTCCAACTCTACAATTCTATGATTCTATGAAAAGAAACACAGAGACTTCCTGGAAACAGGGATATACATCACACGTGGATTTATTATTATTATACTTCAGTTTATACAGCATGTGTTATTATCAACAAAAATGTAATAATGATAATGAAGGCTGAGCAATAAGCACCAATAGAAAAATAGCCTGTTAGACAGTTTTTTCTTTTTAAAAAAGATATCGAGGAAGCCAAGTTCATTAGTTTCAATGGGTCTACTCTGAGTAGGATGGCCATTGGGCATAACTCTAGATCTGTTAGAGGAGGGATGGGGAACTCGTGATGTTGTGGGAGGGATGGGGGACTCCTGATGTGGGAGTCCAACCCCCATAAGCCCCAGCCACCATGGCCAGTAGTGATGGGAGTCACAGTTCAGCAACATCTGGAGACATCTGGTCCCCCATATGTGGATTATAGGTGCCTGAGAGCTGGACGCATCATCCAGAAATGAAGTTCCCTGCTGTGTCTCTGCATGAGTGGCTGATCCAGCTTTTATTAAGGCTGATTAAAGCACGGATGGGTAGCCTATGACCCTTCAGGTAGGTACATAAGCCAATAGTGAGAGGTGGTGGCAGTCGGAGTCCAGTGTAGGAAAAAGAAGGAATAAAGTCCAGGCTGTTCAGTCAGACCAGAAGGGAAACTGCTGCGATCACCAATGGGCCAACCGAACAGAATATCTCCAAATCGCTGCATGGACTGTCTCCCAAGTTTCTAGTCCTCTGAGATTTGCATGAGCAGGAGGGTCCTGGTCATTCGGATTGCCTCGGTCCTCCTGATATCCAGGAAGTTCTGGCCGCTGGTTTCCGGGATCTGCTTGAAGGCATAAATTAAGATGGCTACGCAGAGAGGCCAAAAGAGGAGAAAGCTGTAAGGCTCAATGTGTATCTGGAGAGAGAAAAGAGAGAAAAGGATAGAGAGAAAGAGCACGAAATGGAATGTGTGTAAGAGAATGTCATCAAGCTACAGATAGTAGCAGCCACACCAACTCCAGCATAATGGCAGGCAAGCGAGCAAGCAGGCAGCCCATGCAAGCTGTTTAACGGGGCAGAGATCGGAGGCACTTCTCAGAGCGGTTTGGCAAACTGCTCTCTGAAGCACCCTTTAATATGTACTGAAGTTCTCACCCTGGGCCAGCAGGGGGATACTGTAGATAGTTTTCATTCAGGTCCACATATGCAAATAAGGGATTGAATGTGACGTTCAGTGATTGGATAGTTACAGAAAATGGTTACTGTTGAATTCTAGTGGAGCTCTATATAAGCAGGCTGGCTGAACCCTTCAGTTCTGTTCTGTTCAGGCCTGTGAATAAACAAGAGCTGTTTGAAGAATCGCTGTGTTGTCTGATATGGCTCACCCACAACTTAACACCCTTGTTCAACACAGCTAAAGCAAGGTTTAATGGAGGGGGCAGGTGCTTCAGAAAACCAGTCTCTGAAGGAGGAATGGCTTCTGAAAGTAACAAACTATGCAGAAATGGCAAAGCTGACAGCTAAACCAAGAGATCGAAATGACAAACTTTTTAATAGATGAGTGAAGGCCTTTTGGGGACTATTTGAAAAAGCATTATAGCCAAATGAAATTGCAGGCAGGATTTGAGATATGAGCATTGGACGAAAAACAATAAAATAATTGTACTAGAAGGATTTATTTATTTTTTGTAATAGAGAAGAGTTTGTTATATAAAGCAGCAGAAAAGGGTTTGAATAAAAACATAGGGAGGGGTGGGTGGGTAGGTGGGAGGGAGGGAAGCCAATCTATGAAACATAGTCGTTATGTAATTATCTAATTTGAGAAATTTTGGAAATCTTTATCTTAATTGCAAAGGAGGCCAGCTACAGAATGCACATTTAACGCAGCAAAGTCAACACACAAAAAACCATTATCTTAAACATTTCAAAAGAAAACATTGCTAAAGGAAGTCAAGTATCAAATGCACATTTAAAACAGCACAATTAGAAGGAGAATAAAGTGTTATCATAAGCGTAGAACATTGCTGCTGCCGCTGCCAATGGTGCCTCATGGCAGGTGGAGTCTGTGGAAGCTCAGGCTTGATGACCTGGGACTCCTCTAAGAGAACCTGGGATGTATTAGCCAAAGCCACTTACCTCCATCTGAAGGAACACGACTCCGATAACAAATTTGCAGAACCAGTGAACACAGCCCCCAGCCACGAAGGCAGTGGACCGGGATGACTGAAGGAACAGCTCTGCTACAATCACCACTGGAACCGGATCTGGGCCAGGAGAGAGAGAATGCCCCATTTTCATTTTTGCTAATAATAATATAACAATAATTTTTTATTCATACCCCGCCCATCTGGCTGGGTTTCCCCAGCCACTCTGGTCGGCTTCTAACAAAATATTAAAAGTACCGGTACATTAAAACATCAGTCATTAAAAACTTCCCTAAACAGGGAAGTTTATCTATGCTACTCATCTCTTGTGCTTCCTCAAGGAGCCCTGAACATCCTGGCCATATATTTAAAATGCTACGATGCCACTTTGAACGGTCGTGGCTTCCTCCAGAGAATTATGGGAGCTGCCATTTGTTAGAGGTGCAGAGAGTGGCTAGGAGGCCCCTATTCTGCCCCCCCCCTCCCCAAGAACTGAAATTCTTAGACTGGTTTAACAACCAACTCTTCTTCTCAGAGAACTCTGTGAGGGGAGTAGAGCAGGCATAGGCAAACTCGGCCCTCCAGATGTTTTGGGACTACACTTCCCATCATCCCTGACCACTGGTCCTGTTAGCTAGGGATCATGGGAGTTGTAGTCCCAAAACATATGGAGGGCTGAGTTTGCCTATGCCTGGAGTAGAGGATTCTCCCAATAACTCTCAGCACCCATAACAAATTACAGCTCCCAGAATTCCTTGGGGGAAGCCATGACTGCTTGACGTGCCATGATGCTGCTTTAAATGTATGGTTGGGAATGTGGCCCAGGTAAAGACTTAGGGTTGTAGCCAGTGAAATTCTACTCAGAAAAGACCTACTGAAATTAGCGAACTGAAGTTAGCCACGTTCGCTAGCTTCAATGGATCTACTCTGAGCAGCACGAATGTTGGATTCCCCTTCAGACTTATGATGATGTTTGGCAGCACACTTACACAGCTGTTTGGGGTGTGTCTGTGTGGCATTGCATATATTTTTACGGACTGAGTGTGTCTTTGTCCAACTATGTCAGTACAGTGGTACCTTGGTTTAAGAACAGCTTAGTTTATGAACAACTTGGATTAAGAATGCTGCAAACCCGGAAGTAGGTGTTTTGGTTTGTTCCGCTTCCTGTTGAGTGTAAATTGTGTCCCCTGGTGCTATGGGAAAGCACGCCTTGGTTTAAGAAACTTTGGTTTAAGAATGGACTTCCAGAACAGATTAAGTTCGTAAACCAAGGTACCACTGTACTGGAGAGCTCAGTGTAACAAGAGATGGACAAGTCTCATAAATCATCTTCATCAGAGAGCTTACCTGGCCCGATGGACTGTCCAATGAGGAAGAAGGTAACGAAAGATGAGCTGACATATGACATCCACCAGATGGTCTTCTGTTGGAGAAAGGGACTCACAGTTCAGGCAGAGACAGTGCTGTGGTTGCAAATGACATAGATACTCCACTACTGCAATCATTATCACCAGAAAACCCTATTTAATAGGACCGTGACTGTGTTCCTATGCTTGGGCATAAGCTCCATTGAACTCAGTGGTGCTTTCTTCTCCCTAGTATCAACCATCTCAGACCCTACGATCAGCAGGTGATCAGCACCCTGTTGGTGGTGGTGCCACTGGGGACTGCCCAGCTGGCATTGAAACATAACAGGGCCTTTTTAGTGGTGGCTCCTTGCCTGTGGAATGTCCTCCCTGGTGTGGTGCATATCTCACCCTCTCCCTTCATTACTTACGGTACTTTCAGGAATTTAATAACACTCTTGTTTAACCTAGGCATTTAATGGCTGAAAGACACTGCTCCTGGCAACCCTATGATCACCAGCTAAGAGTGTTTTTAACTGTTTTTTTATACATAAAAAGGTTTTTAACTGCTTTTAGAGTGTTTTAAAATTGCTTTGAGTTGTGTGGTTTTTTTAAAAAAAATTATCATTGCTGCATGTGCTACCCTGGGCTCCTTTGGAAGGAAGGAAATCAAATCAACAATAAAACAACAACATGGTTTAATTAACAGCCCATCTGCTCTGTCCTGCAAAATTTCTCAGTTTTATACCAGTTCAATTGTCATCACCTCCTGCAAGCAATTCTTGGAACTGCAGTTTGGTGCCAGAAATTCCTGAGCTTCCCCCATAGAGCTACCATTTTGTCAATGTGTAAATGTTCATGTTCTGTGACTGTAGAAATAAATGAACAAATAAATAAAATTATAGGGTTTTATCCAATGCCAGTCCAACTCAGAGCAGACTCACTGAAGTTAATGGACTTTAGCTCATCTCGGCTGGTATGCAGCACTGAAGTTAATGGGTTTCTTCATTTATTATTTAATTATCTATTGCATTTCTATCCCACCTTTTCCTCTGAGGATATCCAGGTGGCACACACCTGATTCTCCCTCTCCCACAATAACCCTGTGAGGTAGGTTAGGCGGAGAGGCAGGGGCTGGCCTCAAGGTCACACCCAGTGAGCTTTGTGACCCAAGTGGGGATTTGAACCCAGTTCTCCTCACACCCCAATCCAACAATCTAATCCATGGGTAGGCAAACTAAGGCCCAGGGGCCAGATCCGGCCCAATCACCTTCTAAATCCAGCCCGCGGATGGTCCAGGAATCAGCATGTTTTTACATGAGTAGAATGTGTCCTTCTATTTTAAATGCATCTCTGGGTTATTTGTGGGGCCTGCCTGGTGTTTTTACATGAGTAGAATGTGTGCTTTTATTTTAAATGCATCTCTGGGTTATTTGTGGGGCATAGGAATTTGTTCATTTCCCCCCCAAAAAATATAGTCCGGTCCCCCACAAGGTCTGAGGAACAGTGGACCAGCCCCCTGCTGAAAACGTTTGCTGACCCCTGATCTAATCACTGCACTGCACCAGCTGACCACCACACCACATAATTATAATGGGTTCCCTCTGAGTAGGATTCAGTTGACTGCAACCCATAATTTCCATTAAAGCAGCATCCACTACACAAAATCAGCATCATTCATCATTTGATGCTCTTCTCCATGTGCCATCTCCATAGAGTGGCAACAGGAGAACGGTCTTTTCAGTGGTGGCACCTGCTTATGAAATGCTCTCTTCCCAGGGAGGTTCACCATCACTAACTACTTGGGGGCACCAGGGAAAAATGTTTCTTTTCAGCCAGGCTTGGGCAGTTTGGGATATTGTGGCCTCCTTTGTTTCATGCAGAAGAATGCTTTCAGCTTTTATTTTATTTCAGTTTTGGTTTTCATTCTTGTCTTACATTGCAAGTCCCTTTGCGACTTTACTTTCTGCAAACAAAAAACACTAAGAAATGCAACAGATAAATTATTATTACCATTATCCCAAGAACTGAGGGCACCGCGTTGGTGGGTGCTTAGCGTCAGACATCAAGAGTTTGCGGACTTGCAATACAGACCTGTAATTCAATCGCCATGGCTAAGAGGACACAGGTAATGCTACAGATCCCCAAGCCACTGAGTAGGAGATTTCTGTGCCCCGAAGAATCAGCAAAACGGATCTAACGGATACAAAAAACATGGAAGTTAGAAAGAGAGAGGAAGGGTGCTTCAAGATGGCCTGCCTATTGAGCATACATTCTGATTTATTTGCAGGGAGATGTCAGCTATTTAATGGGTGGCCATATTCATTACCTTACAGGGAGATTAGATAATTCCAGTGCATTTCCTTGTTGCTTCCTGGATTTTGGGGAAGAGGGTTTGTTGCGCTAAACCTCCCAATCAGCTCTTGCCGCTCATTGGCTAGTATGTGCTTAGGAACCTAAGAAGCTCCCTTGTGCCAAGTCAGACCATTGCATCCCTCTAGCTCAGCAATGTCTACACTGACTGGCAGTAGTTTTGCAGGGTTTCAGCCAGGGTGTCTTCCCTAGCCTTGAGATACTGGGGATTGAACCTAGGACCTTCTGCCTGCAAAGCAGATGCTCTACCATTGAACTATAGCCCTACAGACGTAGGAATATAAAAAACTATTTTATATTGAGTGAAGCCCATTAGCCAATCGAACTCAGTATTGACTACACTGGCTGGCAGCAGCTCTCCAGAGTTTCTGGCAGAGTACATTCCCATCCCTACCTGGAGATGCAACGGGGGTTTGAGCCCATCTGAATCCCACCTGAAATTAGCAACAGCCTGGATGGGCCCAGAGGTGGAAGCTCTGTTTTTACTTAACCCTAAGCCAAACCAGGCACTCAGCTATACAGCTGCAAATAAAACGTTTAAACTGGGTTGTAAAGTGCATTATACAAATGTGACACTAGATGGCGATGGTGAGCTATGGCAAATCCAATAATTTTTTCAAAACTTTGTTCAAAAGCATTTCCACAGCGTTTTTGGTGTCTAGATTCCACCCAGATCTCTGGAGAGGCGATGGCAGCCATTTTGCCCCTCCTCTGTGAGCTAAGCCATGGTTTGTCTTTGCATGCCATCTGAACCTGGACTTGTAGTTTGTCTGTAGGAAACTGGAACAACTCAGCCAGCTTAACACAGACACACTATAAAAGTGCTGGCCTTTGGAGTAGGCCAAGGGTAGAAGCATTACAAGGAGGAGCTAAACATTCATATCAGGGGAGACGAACGTGATGCCTTCTAGACATTTTTGGACTACAATTCCCATCAGCCCCAGCCTGTGTGACCAATGATTAGGGATTATGGAGTTGTAGGCCACAACAACTGGAGCTCATCACGTCGGTGTTGATGTAGAAATGGGAGAGAATCTTACCACCAGGAGAGTTATGAACATAAGTAAAATGTATATCGTTATGCTGATATACCCGACAATTTTCTTTTCTAACCCCATAGACATGTAGAGTATCTCCATATAATAGCTGGCCTGAAAGGAGAAACAGACATTCTTAGCTGAATGATGACCCCCTATCCGGATACAGACAAATCTGTCCATTTCAGTTTCTATCGTTTTTTCAGTCTTAATTTCGGTTCTTCACAGAGAGCCAGTGAGGAGGGGGATTTTTCACTGCTCAATATCCCACCCACTAGAGGAGGCCACAATATCTACAGTTCTCCAGGCTAAAGGCCAAACGCCTAGCTGAAAACATTTTTGCCTGGCACCTCAAATCAGCCAGCGAGGGCACCAGGCAGGCTTCCCTGCGGAAAGCATCCCACACGCAGGAGCCACCACCGAAAAGGCCCGTTCTCCTCGGGGAGATTGCCCTACCGCGTTAATGCCAGTGAGCTGCTGCCCGCCCATCAAGACGACGGCAGAGACGAGGTGGTTCCATATGTCATCGATGTGATACATCGTAAAGATGTCCATATCCTTTTCCAATTCCTCAGAAAGGTCCTCCTCGTGGAGCTCTTCAATTTCATCCTCCACGTTGTCGCAGCCCCTTAGCTTCACCAAGGCTGTGTGGAAGGAGACGACTGGCTTACTAGTGCCACAGACCACCCATGTCGGCTCAGCAGCATTTGGAAGGTTCTTAGCGCCCCCCACCCCCAGTCTGTACACACTGCCTCTTCCAGCAGTGGAGGCTGGTGCCCGCTGGAACTGATATGGCAGAGGTCAGGGAGGCCAACAGTAGGGGGCGCCAGAGCGAACGGCTGGAGGCGCTAGAGCCAATGGTGAGTAAAACCAATGAGTTCTAGATTTGTCCCCATCTTCCTCCTCCCCCCTGCTGAGTTCAACACTGAGCCTAAAGAGAACATAGCCAGTTTATGCAGAGATTAGACTACAGCATACAATCAGTCTATATTTAACATTCTTTCAGATATCTTTACGGGGTGGTTATATGATAAGGGGGACGTGGGTGGCGCTGTGGGTTAAACCACAGAACCTTGGACTTGCCGATCAGAAGGTTGGCGGTTCGAATCCCCTCAATGGGGTGAGCTCCCGTTGCTTGGTCCCTGCTCCTGCCAACCTAGCAGTTCAAAAGCACGTCAAAGTGCAAGTAGATAAATAGGTACCGCTCCGGCGGGAAGATAAACGGCGTTTCCATGCGCTGCTCTGGTTCACCAGAAGTGGCTTAGTCATGCTGGCCACATGACCCAGAAGCTGTACGCCGGCTCCCTCGGCCAATAAAGCGAGATGAGCGCTGCAACCCCAGAGTCGGTCACGACTGGAAGTAATGGTCAGGGGTCCCTTTACTTTTGCTATATGACAAGGAGCATTCTCTGGTTTGCTTTTGGGTTGTTTTTACAATTTCCCTTTAACCATTCATTCATTCCATGCTTTCCTCCATCACTTTCCAAACTACCAAAAGTCGATTTTTTTTAAAAAAAAAAAGTAGGAGGAGATTTGTTGTCCTAGGGCAAAATAGCATTTTAAAATCACTTTCAATGTGCAAAACTGTTCAAGGATGCACAGGAATCCCTCTTGCAAAATTGCAGGAGACCGGAAGGCACCCTGCAAATTCCCTTGTGCTACAACTACGCGTGGCATGGAGAAAGTGGGTGGAGAGAAGCTTCTCCCCCCCCCCTCTAGAATTCACCGACATCCTAGGAAGCTAAATGTTGAAAGATTCAGAACAGACAAAAGAAACGACTTCAGTGCACTACCAAAGTCTCTCCTGCAGGAGGCAGCAACGGCCACCAACTTGGATGGCTTTAAAAGAGAATTGGGCAAGTTGATGGAGAGGAAGGCTATAGTATCAACTGCTACTAGTTTTGATGGTTGTGTTCTGCCTCCACGGTTGGAGGCGGCAGGAATGCCTCTGAATCTCAGTTGCGGGAAACCACAGGAGGGGAAGGGGCTCATGCTCAGGTCTGGAATTGAAACTGAAATTGATATGGTTTTGCAAGTATCCTTTAAACACCTTCCAGTGCCTTTCTATCTTCTCTTTCGAGACCATATTGAAAAATCAGAACTCCTATTAGAATAAACAAGTTCTGTTTTAAATACTGAAATACTAAATAAGACGGATAACAATGTATAATAGAAAAAGGAGCATGAAATTAGGTTAAAGGTGTGTGAAAGAAAGTAATAGAAGTGGAAAGAAATTGCAATTGAGTAGATTGGAAGTCTAACACAAAGGTGGGGTGAGGGGTGGTGGGTGGTGGTGGGAATTATCTGTGGGATTGAGTGTAGGTACGTTTGATCATTTTTAAGGATTGTATGAAATGTATGTTTGTATGCTTGTATATTCGCAATATGTGTGTATTAATGTTGAATTATTTTAATAATAATTAATAAAAAAAAGAAATTGAAATACTTTATTGTCACTTGTACAACTTGTATACAGTGAGATTACACGAGTACCCCCCACTCAGCTCTCTTAGTCTTAATTTCCCTCGTTTACTGACGCACACCCACCAAACCCGAAAGTCAGTTGCCCTGTTGTTATCTTTTCATTCAGCAGCCTAACAGCCCATGGATAGAAGCTGTTCTTTACCCTGTTGGCACAACTAATCATGCTTCTATATCTTCTGCTTGTTCCTTCTCATTGGCCACTGTGAGAACAGGATGGTGAACTAGATGGGTCATTGGCCTGATCCAGCAGGCTCTTATTAGGCCACCTCGCACAGAAAGTGAAAACAGCAGCGCTTTTGGTGCTCACTCACTTCGGTGGGTCTACTCTAATTAGTGGCGTACAACCCTGGGCTTAAAGGTTTGGGGCATGAAGACTGATGATAATAACCACATCCACATTTTCCATTCAGTTCTACCTTCTCTGGCTGCTTCTTCGTCATGCCTCTGGATCAGGAGGTACCGAGGACTTTCGGGGAAGAAGGGCAGGAAGATGAGCTGAAATAATGCCGGAACCCCAGTGAGGCTCAGTAGGAACGGCCAACCTGCACACAGATGGTAAGAGACATGAAATGTGCTAGCATAACTAGGTGGCTAATCCATAGAGCAGAGACAGTATCTGGCCCCCGCCAAGGTGTGTGTTGTCGCGCGTGTTGTCACCCCCACCCCGTTCCGCCACCTCAATGTGAATTTCTTTTTAAAAAAAATAATTTTTTGTGTGTTTTAGTTATAAACAATAACAAAGAAAAAACAAACAATGACTGGATAGGAATAACCAAACAATATAAACCAAGCATTATAGGAGCAAGGCATAAATCTGAAGACCATTGTTATAAGAATTTTAAGGTCTCAAATACAGTGGTACCTCGGGTTAAGTACTTAATTCGTTCTGGAGGTCCGTTCTTAACCTGAAACTGTTCTTAACCTGAAGCACCACTTTAGCTAATGGAGCCTCCTGCTGCCTCTGCACCGCCGGAGCACGATTTCTGTTTTCATCCTGAAGCAAAGTTCTTAACCCGAGGTAATATTTCTGAGTTAGCGGAGTCTGTAACCTGAAGCGTATGTATCCTGAAGCGTATGTAACCCGAGGTACCACTGTATAGAATAAATATTCATAAATGCACACATATCTAAATATATGAACCATGTGTCTGAAATAGTATGGGAGAGCAATCCTGAAGCCATTTTGACTCTCCCAATGACCTTAAATATTCCTCTGCAGTCAGGGAGGCAAATGGGGAAAGCCTTCCCATTGTCTTTTGCTAACAAATCCTGTCTTAAGGACATATTTGTGTATGAATAGGGTGAGCCTGTGACCTGGATTGAGGAACTAAAGTATTAATCACCACAAAAGAATGCCCAGGCTGCCCAGGTAATGCAATCAGTGGCCATTATTAGGTATCCTGGCAGGCAGGATTTCTGCTGTAGACTGCCTCCTTCTGTGATGTATGTATGATGTTTTAGGGGGGTGGTCTTGGGATACAGGGTGGGCAATTTCAAAAGTCTACATAAGGACTTGCGCACCATTGTTCAGGGTTCTCCTCCCTCCTGTGTGTGGTGAGTGGGACCTGGTTGCAACAGTTCCTTGAATAAATATCAGGCTACTAGGCGCTTTGCTTCTCAATATACTCTGGTTGGCCTCTGTTACTTTCTCCTACCAATAGGGAACCCACTTAAGGACTCTATATGGGAATGCCACATAAGGAAAAAGGAGCAATTTTTTCATATAACACCATGTTGCACAAAGGATCCAAATTCACACCATACATTTAAAGTGCTATGATACCACTTTAAACCCTCATGGCTTCTCCCCCCAAAGACTTCTGGGAGCTGTAGTTTGCAAAAGGGGCTGAGAGTTGCCCCTATTCCCCCTCACAGAGCTACTGTTCCCAGAGTTCCCTATAGAGACAGATTGGTTGTTAAACCACATGTCAATAACTACATGTCTGGACAGGATGCCAGGTGTGCGTGAGTGGGTGGGTTTAAAAATTAAATGGGCCGGCCACGCTCACATTCAAACTTTGTGGGCGTGGCCAGAGTGTAGAAGTGGGCGTGGCTAGAGGGTTGACCCTTGAAGCAATGTGAGCCACCTCTGTGTCAAGAGGCCAAAGGGGGCATCTCTCAGACTTACCTTCTTGGGTCCCTAGGAGTTTGTCAAGCCCAAATATGCGAGCCATCAGGCTACCAAAGATGATAAAGAAATGGCCGGTTATGGCTATGGCTCCTCGCAGGTTTTCGGGGGCAATCTCTGTGAGGTACATGGGAACCACGCTGTAGGAGATCCCTGTTGACAAGGTAAAAAAAAAAGGGGCAATTGAATGTGCATAGGCTACGCGCAGAAGCATCTGAACATATTTCTGGGCTGGCAGACTGTTATGTACTGAGTTGAATAGGATCCAAAAGGCAGCCGTCTGATTGGTCCTAGAACAATAGGATTCAGAATGCAGCAGTCTGATTGGTCCTAGAACAATAGGATCCAAAATGCAGCAGTCTGATTGGTCCTAGAACAATAGGATTCAGAATGCAGCAGTCTGGTTGGTCCTAGAACAATGCAGCAGTATGATTGGTCCGCAGGAGCCACCCAATCCAGCTCCAGGTGGAAGTGAATCCGTAACCTGATTGGCCCACGGGAGAATCCCAGAATTAGCCAATCACGTGCGGCCCATTGTGTAAATAATGTATATAAAGCAGATATTTTGGGGGAACATTCATTCCTCACTACTATGAGCTGAGTAAAGAGCATGAAATCCACACTCGACTCCGAGTATATTTCACAGACAATGCAAAATCCTACTCAGAGCAGACTGTTTAAAAAGCTGGGTGCCTGCCCCTCCCTCTGCCAAGTGGTGGCAAGAGCCCATGGGGTCCCAAGTCTGTGTCCCTTTGGAGAACAGAAGATGCGGCGGAGACTGTCATGCTTCAAGAAATATGGTTCATTCACCTATTTACACCTTCTGTCTGCATGGAGGAAGTCCAGATCTTACAACATGGCCCACAGCTGTGAACTTTTCGCCTCCCTCTCCAAGACAGATCTCAGTTTTTTTTGCCCCTTCTTCCTCCCAGAAAACCCCTTGCCCTCCCCCAGAGCAGTTACCCTGGCAACCTTCCAAATCCCCAGTCTCTGTTCACACCTGGGGGCAAGAGGGGAGTTCCATTGTCTTGTTAATGGCCTCTGTTGTACTCTGGTTTACATAAGCCAGCCCAGGATTTCCCCATCTGGCCCAGCTCTGCAGTTGGTGTCTTAGTCCAGATCCCGATTGAAATAAAAAAATGTAAGGTCTTCTATATATATAATAAATGTTCATGGATGTGCCAGGCAAACATGTACATAAATGTATGGGCCACATGTCTGAGGCAGCACAGGAGGGCAGCCCTGGAGCCATTTTGGCTCCCAGACTGACCAAATGTTTTCTCTGCGAGGTCAAAGGAAAATGGAAAACTCTTCCCATTGTCTTTTCATTCACAAAGCCTGTCTTAAGGGTATATTTGTGTATGAATAGGGTGAGCCTGTGACCTGGCTCAGGAACTAAGTATTTGTCATTACCAAAGACTGGCCAGGCTCCCCAGAGCATCCAATCAAATGAGCATTAACAGGTAATCTGTCAGACGAGATAAACAACGCACTCAGATTTCTGTTGCAGACCGCCCCTTGTGTGATGTAGGTATGATGTGTCTAGGGGGGTGGTCTTGGGCTACACCCCTTCTGTGATGTATGTATGATGTTTCTGGGGGTGGTCTTGGACTCCAGGGCGGGCAATTTTAAATGTCTATATAAGGGCTGGCACACCTGGGTTCTGGGTCCTCCTCCTGCGTGTGAAGGGGGCACCCAGTTGCAACAGTTCAATAAAGATCAGGCTTACGAGCTGCTTTGCTTCTCAATATTCTCTGGTTGGCCTCTGTTATTTTCTCTGACCGATGGAGAACTTACAAAGGACTCTATAAGGGCTCTTGTTTTCCCCATAAGGGAATAAGGGCAGATTTTTGTTTATTACAGAATTAATAAAAATCGGAGTATTTCCTTCATTCCTAGGGCTTAGGAGGATTCCACCCCCCCACCCCGTGTCCCCAGATCTATAACAAGACTCATTGGGCCGTAGCCAAGCAGGTGTTGATTTTTATTTATTTTTTCATTTCTGAAAATATTCAGGGCGTTTATAACAAAAATACAGTGCTTTTATTCTTTAAAAATGTTTAGGGGTACTCTCATTTTCCTACTCATATTGAAATACTGCCCCTCAATGAGGCCAAACTTAGATTCACAAAATGTTTAGGGGTAAGAGTAACCCTGCGTCCGCCCAGAAGAAAAGCACTGAAAATACATAAAAACATACAATACAAACCGTGTACAAAAAGGTTAAAAGACACTTAGTGTAGCTCAAAGTAGACCTGTTGGAAATTATTTGATTATTTCACAAAAAGTATATAATACTTTTTAAAACAAAAACCAACCTTAAAGCAGTCTTATAACAGCAGTTTACAAAAAGAATAGAACAATGAAATTATTGGTTAAAACCAACTATTTACAACCTTCAAAGAAAAAGAAAAAGGATTTAAATCAACGATAAGCTAAAAGTCACATTGAAACACACATGCCCAAAAGTGTCTGCTTGATATCAATAGGCAGTGAGCTCCAAAGTGTAGGTAAAAAATCAATTTCTTGGCAAACGCAGAATAAAACCTGCAACAGTGCCAGTTCTGCAGATCAAAGTGATCAAGTGGGCATATATGGGGTAATATGATCGCATAGGTACAAATAAACCTACAGTAAGTGAGCCATGCACATTATCTTCAATGGGTCTACTCTGAGTAGGACTAGTCTTGGACTAACAACCCATTGAAGTGAATGGACACGGCTCACTGAAATTTATTAATTTCAATGGGTCTCCTATGAGTATAACTTAACTGGGAAAACCTTGGGAAGTTGTGGGCTCTCCTTGGAGGTTTTGAAAGCAGAGGTTGAATGCTCATCTGTTATAGATGCTTTAGCTGAGATTCCTGCCTTGCAAGGGTTGGACTAGATGACCCCCTGGGGGCCCTTTCCAACTCTATGATTCTTTTCCCGCCCCTATGACCAAGCTGTCTGTAGGAAGCAAAGCAGCCACCCCCAAAACATTTGCAGGCGCGAAACAGTAAACAAGCCAATACCACCCCAATACCATCACGATCACAATAATTGTGAATGCACAATATACAGGATGTCTGGAGAGGCCCAGGTCAAAGGACGTGCATGCCCAGCATATATATTTAAACAACACCTCCTGTCTCCGACTCACCTGCACATATTCCAATAACCAAACGTGAAAAGATGATGAACTCAAAGGAGTGCACTGCTCTGGAGCAGCCCATGAGGACAGCAGAGATTATGGCCAAAATATTATTCACCTGCAAAGTACGTTTTCTGAAAAGGCAAGGGGGAAAAGGGCAGGGTGGATACTGATGGATGTATAAAAGCAGATGGGAAAGTATCAGGCAGAGGAAATTGCAACTGCTATGCTACTGTTACTGCTGCCACAATTTAATTACTGGTACTTTGTCCTGGTTTCGTTAATTGTTGGAAAGGCCAGGCAGGTTTGCTCCCTAGCATCTCCACATAGGGCTAGGAACACCCCTGTTCTGATTCCCTCAGAGTGCTGCTGCCAGTCAGTGTAGGTCAGTATTCTGAGCCAGTGTGGTGTAGTGGTTAAGAGCGGTAGATTCGTAATCAGGTGAACCGGGTTCGCGTCTCCGCTCCTTGACATGCAGCTGCTGGGTGACCTTGGGCCAGTCACACTTCTTTGAAGTCTCTCAGCCCCACCCACTTCACAGAGGGTTTGTTGTGAGGGAGAAAGGGAAAAGGAGATTGTTAGCCGCTTTGAGACTCCTTCGGGTAGTGATAAAGCGGGATGATATCAAATCCAAACTCTTCTTCAAACTCTTCTTCTTTGACTTTAGGTGTTGCTGAACTGCTGCACCCACCATCACTGACCATTGATTAAACTGGTTTGGGAATGGTGGGAGTTGTAGTGCAACGATTTTGGGGGACCCAAGGTCAAAGAACACTGGCCTAAACCACGCTGAGCTGGGGAGCTGCTGCCAGTCAGTGTAGACAATACTGAGCTAGGTGGACCATTTGTCTTAAAGGAGGGGTAATAGCTCAGCAGTATGAGCACCTGCTTTGCAAACAGAAGATCCCAGGTTCAATCCCTGGCGTCTCCAGGTAGGGCTAGGAATCTCCCCTGTTTGAAAGCCTGCAGAGCTGCTGCCAGTCAGTGTTGGCAATACTAGGTAGGCCAATGGCCTCATTGAGCATAAGACAGCTTCCTATGCTTTGATGTAGATTCTTTTCCTGTAAAAGGGAGATTTGGATCAGGAGAAGCCACACAGCCTTTCCCCTCCAACACCCTCCCCATAGTGCTTTCATAGGCCCTGGGATAAGAAGGTCATTCACTAGGATTGCCAGAGCTCCAGGTTAGCCCGTTCCCCTCCAGGTAGTAGAGGGAAAGTTTGAATCTCCAGGTGGCAAGAAAGCAAGCAAAATAGAGAGACTAAGAAGACTATGTGTGTCGCTTGCACACTTCAGTTTTTTGCACAGATTCTCATGGTGGGGTATCTGCCCTACTTCGTGCCTTCCTTTTCTCTCCCAATTAACCTCCATCTCCAGGGTTGAGTTATCACTGTACCTGCCACAATTATCTGCCAGACGAGCCACCAAAAGAGACCCAACCATGCCTCCGACTGGGAAGAATGAAACCGTCAGACCCCACTGGAATAGGAGCAAGCTGTGGTCTATGCTGATGTGATTCCTCCATCGGTAGGTCTCGTTGTAAAAGCTTTTAATGAACTAGGAGAGAAGAGTGTGCAGCAGTCAGCATCAGGGTCTTCTTCCTGCACATTAAGCCACAGTAAACCATGGTTTGGGGGCCATGCAGATCTGACCAGGAGGGGCAAGGCAGCCTTGACTACCGTGTTTGTGGTTCTCGTTCAACATCCTTGTTTGCAAACGCACACTCTCTCAACCCCCGTTTGAAGGACATGGCTTTCCCCAAAGCATCCTTGGAACTGTACAGTGGTACCCACCTAGCAGTTCGAAAGCACGTCAAAGTGCAAGTGGATAAATAGGTACTGCTCCGGCAGGAAGGTAAACAGTGTTCCTATGCGCTGCTCTGGTTCGCCAGAAGTGGCTTTGTCATGCTGGCCACATGACCCGGAAGCTGTATGCCGGCTCCCTCGGCCAATAAAGCGAGATGAGCGCCGCAACCCCAGAGTCGGCCATGACTGGACCTAATGGTCAGGGGTCCCTTTACCTTTACCTTTACCTCGGGTTACATACGCTTCAGGTTACAGACTCCGCTAACCCAGAAATAGTACCCCGGGTTAAGGGTACTATTTGCTTCAGGATGAGAACAGAAATCATGCTCTGGCGGCACGGCAGCAGCAGGAGGCCCCATTAGCTAAAGTGGTGCTTCAGTTTAAGAACAGTTTTAGATTATGAATGGACCTCCGGAACGAATTAAGTACTTAACCAACGTACCACTGTAGTTGGTTAAGGGTTCTGGAAACTGTAGCTCTGCAAAAGGGGAGAACAACAGTTCCCAAAATTCTTTGGGGGAACTCATGTTCTTTAAATGTGCAGTAAATATATAGTGCGGATCTTTCCACCATGAAGGGAGAAAACATGTTTAGGTGTGGATTAGCGTATCGATGGACCGTGTTACTCACCTGAACCTTCTGCCTCTCTGCTTCTTATTAAACTTATTGTGTGCAAGTGGTCCAAGGTCCCATTCCTCCCCCCCCCATCTTCTGCAAATGACAGAACAAATACCAGAAATGTCTGTGCTAAATAGGGAAAGGTAGAACATTTTCACTGACCCCCTGCAATAATTATAATAATTTATTATTTATACCCCGCCCATCTGGCTGAGTTTCCCCAGTCACTCTGGGCGGCTCCCAATCAAGTGTTAAAAACAATACAGCGTTAAATATTAAAAACTTCCCTGAACAGGGCTGCCTTCAGATGTCTTTTAAAGATAGGATAGCTGCTTCACATCTGAAGGGAGGGTGTTCCACAGGGCGGGTGCCACTACCGAGAAGGCCCTCTGTCTGGTTCCCTGTAACCTCACTTCTCGCAATGAGGGAACCGCCAGAAGGCCCTCGGCGCTGGATCTCAGTGTCCGGGCTGAACAATGGGGGTGGAGACGCTCCTTCAGGCATACAGGAGTTGCCCACACTGCAAGGCTGTTGTGCCTCCTCTCCCTCAGCCATTCCACCAGTGGGAGAGATGGGAAGCTGAGTTCGCTCCATCAGCTTTGCCCCAAAGCTCAGCTCCATCCTCTTGCCCCTGAACTGTGCCACAGCATAGTGGGGCACAGGGGTGGTTGCCCTGGGTGCAAAATTGTTAGGGTCGCAAAATTTTGACAGCTGGTGCTGCCTCAATACAGCTGTGTGCTTCTGTCGCTTCTCCATGCGAACCAGGAAGTGACCTCCCCAGAGAAACGATTCTTCTTTTCTTATCTCGGTGACTGCAATCTCCTGGTTGATGCAGACACCGTTAGCCATAGCTGTCAACTTACAGATTTGAAATTAAGGGACCAGCAGCCTCGAAAATAAGGGATCAGCAGCCCAAATAAGGGATTTTCCAAGCACAGGTATGTTCAACTTCTGAGCCCCTCCAAACCAAAGGCAGAAAGCCCAGCCAGCAGCCAAACAAAGCCTCAAGTGGTGGTTCCCACAGCGCAGCAACCCGGCAAAGGGGATGCAGCAAGGAAAACCACCGTCACCTCTCTGCTGGGAAGCACTGAGCAAAGGTGAGTACCCAGGCAACGCAGCCGATTTGATCGGCACAAGGCATGCAAGCTCCACCCCCTAGTCGTTCGTAGACTCCTTATTGGGTGAGCAATGCAGCCAAGCAACACAGTTGGAGCCTCCCTCCTCCCTGGCCGGCAGGGAGGGAGGGAGAGGAGCTGCTTCCTTTGAAACCCTGGAAATTTAAGGGACATCATCAATAAGGGACAGCAGCAGGACACAGCACTGGGATAAGGGACTTTCCCGCCAAATAAGGGACGGTTGACAGCTATGCCGTTAGGCAGTTGAATGTGCATGCCATTTCCCTCCCTCCCTTTCCCACATGGCCCCGGACACTGGCAGCCCATGCTACACCACTGCTGTGCCTGCTGGTCATTAGATGAACTCCCATTGAAGAATTGGTGCCTGAATTTTATTTCCCCGTGCCCTTCCCTCCCTGTCCTTTTTCCTTGCATGTTGTGAATTTATATTGTAAACCTGCAGGCAGAGATTGTTTCATTCTAATCAACTGCATGTAAGCCACTCTGGGAGTACTGTTGGCTAAGAATAGAAACATCATAACCAGACACCGGAGACACCTGTCAGGAGTAAGCATGGACCAATGGTACCAAATAGTATGGGAAACAGCCTTACTAGAAAAACTAACCAATAAACTGAAACTGACATGGAGACAAATAGAAGATGACGCCTTCACCCCAGTATGGCTCCCCTTTATCACACACACAGCCCAACAAGACAATGACAAAAATCCACCAACAGCATACAAATCAGTATGGCTAACCTGATCCAAAACACCCACCCACCCCACTCACACATGAAAACAAAGACCACCACAGCCAACCACAAATGAACAACCACACCCTAGGCCAACCCCAACCTCTCTCACCATCAAAGGAACACAAGTGAACAGCAAAGAACCTGCACAAGCAATGCTGACACCAAACCCTACATATATTAAGAATAGCGTGCAAATGCTCTGAACAAATAATAACAGACCATACCTCTGCTGCGTAGTTGATCACAAAGACGTTGTAGCCATATTGGAAAGACGATCCAAAACCAGCAGTCATTGCAGCTAGCACCAGGATGCTTGTCAGTTTCTATTGGAACAGAGCAGCAGAAACCATGAATTTTAGCATACGGGGTCCAACCTCCATAAATATTTGTTAGATTCTGATGCATGACACATTTGCTTGAAAAAGAGGCCTTGCAGGTCTCGATGATAATGAAAATTCGATCTTGCTAGAATTTAGGGTTGCCATACATCCAGAATTTCCCAGACATAGCTGGGATTCGGCCATCTGTAACTGCGGCCAGGCGGAAAAATGCAGAAAAGTCTGGGAAAATCCGGACATATGGCAACCCATGTCGGAAGTGTCGTTTTTGGTGAATTTCCTTAAAAATAGCTCAAAAACATCATTTTTTGTTTTGAGATTTTGCAAAGAAAGCTCCACAACTTTGCCAAAAAACACCGCAAAAAACTCTACAACTTTTATGTCTGGATTTTTGCTTTTTGAAATATGGTCTCAGGCTTCAGGGAATCGGCTTCCTCCCCCCACCTCCTTGGCAGTAGATAAGTAGAACCAAGGAAATGAGTATTCTTACCAGTTAGAAACTTTAATGATCACAGCGAGAGAACAAAGAATCCCTATCCTAGGCATGTCGGTGCTCCCAGTTAAGGGTTCCACCCACTTCATCCCTAGTCATCCACGTTACTTCTGTGCCTTGTAACCTGATCTCATAACCACTGTGGTTTCTGTGCTGCCACCTCATCAGCTCTTCTTGACCTTGGGCTGAGCAGATGAATGCTTTCCAGAGACAGTGAATCTGTTAACCCTCTCTCTTCCAGTGTTTTCTCTCCTAGCTCAGGGGTCAGCAAACTTTTTCAGCAGGGGGCCAGTCCACTGTCCCTCAGACCTTGTGGGGGGCCGGACTATGTTTTTTTAAAAAAATATGAACAAATTCCTATGCCCCACAAATAACCCAGAGATGCATTTGAAATAAAAGGACACATTCTACACGCTGATTCCCAGACCGTCCGCGGGCCGGATTGAGAAGGCGATTCCCGGGCCTTAGGTTGCCTACCCATGTCCTAGCTGTTCCCCATTTCCCAGCTTCTGCCTTCTGAACCATGTCCATCTGCAAACCACTATTCCAAATCTATACTGTCCTCCTGCTCCTGGGAAGTTTCAGGATCCGGATCAGGGGGAGGGGGAGGGGAAGGCTCCCACCATTCCTCCTCTGTGCAGCCCTCCTCAGCACGGTCCCTGACATATGGCAACTCAATTTCTAAGCCTCAGTAGATACATAGAATCACAGGCCTGCAAGGGACCCCAGACTGAGCCCCTCAAACCTGCAACATTATTATAGGCTTACATGTCATCGCCATCCTGGAAAACAGTTGTACATCAGATTGATCAGGGCTGGGTACCATGTGGCCTTTTAGATATTACTGAACGCCAGCTCCCATAATTTCTTGCCACACCAATTGGGGCTGATGGAGTCCAACAACATCTAAAGGCAGCCTTGTATCAGGAGGTTTTTAACGTTTGATGTTTTGTTATGGTTTTTTATATGTGTTGGAAGCCACCCAGAGTGGCTGCAGCAACTGAATCATATTTGCAGGGTATTCATCATCATCATCATCATCTAGAGTCTGGCAGATGTTCCCCTTCTCTGCTTTAGGTATAGTTGCCATATTTCAAGAAATACAAATCCGGACACAAAAAGTTGTTGAGGTTTGGGAAAGTTTCAAAAACCCAGACATTTTGCTGATTACCCAACCACACACACACCCCCGGATGCTGATTCTGTCATTGGAATCCCGGATGTATGGCAACCCTACTTTAGATGGCCAATGATTATAAATGCAGCTGGATAGAGCACTCTCCCAACTCACCCTTTCAGTGGGTTTGTCTTCCTCTTCGCTTTTCATTCTCTCTGAAGCAGGGCTCAGAAACCAGGGCCCACCTGTGGAAAAGGAATTAACAGTCGATGAGCAATATTCAGAAAAGAAACTGTGCAAATGTATAAAACAATGCCAAACCAAACAGAAGGGTACAGCAATAAAATTACTAATAACTGTTCTGTGATTTAGAATGCCAGGCATAGAAAACAAAACTATAAAAAATAAATAATAAATAAATAAAATCAGTCCCAGGCATGTTTTATATGCTGCAGTAAATACAATATTTAGCCACATTGGAAGAACTGGATGCATTCTGATCTGAAATGAGTGAAGAAGCATAAAACACATCCACCCTGGCAATTTCCATAACAAGAGTTTGATTTTTAAAAAATATTGAATACATCACAATAAAAAGTGTAATACACAAGAGCAGGGGTAGGCAACCTAAGGCCCATGGGCCAAAAGTGGCCCACGGGGGCCGTTTAACCGGCCTGCGAGCCACCCCTGAACTGAGTCGCCTGCTTGGCGAGTCCCCACGTGCTGCACAAAACTGGCGCAGTGTGGCGCGGGGACTCGCTTCTGCGGTGCCGAAAATCACATCTGTTCAGACGCTGAAAATCGCAGCCAGATACAGAGGCCAGAGGCTTGGAGGGCCAGATTTGGCCCAGGGGGCTGAGCTGTTCCATCCCTGTCTTAAGGGATTTGCTTACAGAGGGTCGCAGGTTGAATCCCAGGGCATAGCCTTGTAGGGCGGGGAATGTCACCTGCCTGAAACCTGGAGCTAAATGAACCATTGGTCTGATTCTGTGTAAGGCATCTTCTTATGTTCCTATGAAACCGATGGAGAGTACAGTGGTACCTCGGGTTAAGTACTTAATTTGTTCCGGAGGTCCGTTCTTAACCTGAAACTGTTCTTAACCTGAAGCACCACTTTAGCTAATGGGGCCTCCTGCTGCCTCTGCACCGCTGGAGCACGATTTCTGTTCTCATCCTGAAGCAAAGTTCTTAACCCGAGGTACTATTTCTGGGTTAGCGGAGTCTGTAACCTGAAGCATATGTAACCCGAGGTACCACTGTAATTCCCACAGGGACATTCGGGGATAAATAGGCAGAGAGGATCCAGACTGACCACAGCTTTTCTGTACAGGTGAGTAGAGAATGATGTCAGCCAGTCCCTATTTTCCCTTGAAAACAGGCGCCAGGAAACCAAACACCATTGCGAGATCCAGTCAGGAGAACGGCGCCAGGAAGTTCCATGGGCAGCTGTTGGCAGTTGGCAGTGGAGGTGAGAACCAATCACGGCAGGAAGGAGGCGGGGATAGAACAGTGCTGTTCCGAGTAATGGCCCCTAGTGGTACAAAAGGAAGGTTGAAGGCTTCAGTGGCACCCTGGACAGAGAGCTCTGTGCACAACAGATTCCAACCACATCTGACACCTTACCACGTGGTCAGACAGTGTTGGAAGGTGGAGTGGAAGGCAGGGAGCCCAAATGGTAACTGGAGTCAGAGCCAATGAAAGGTAAGGTAAAGGTAAAGGGACCCCTGACCATTAGGTCCAGTCGTGACAGACTCTGGGGTTGCGGCACTCATCTTGCTTTATTGGCCAAGGGAGCCGGCGTACACCTTCCGGGTCATGTGGCCAGCATGACTAAGCCGCTTCTGGCGAACCAGAGCAGCGCATGGAAATGCCATTTACCTTCCCGCTGGAGTGGTACCTATTTATCTACTTGCACTTTGACGTGCTTTCGAACTGCTAGGTGGGCAGGAGCAGGGACGGAGCAACGGGAGCTCACCCTGTCGTGGGGATTCGAACCGCCGACTTTCTGATTAGCAAGTCCTAGGCTCTGTGGTTTAAACCACAGGACCACCTGCGTCCCAAAGAAAGGTAGAGCCAACCAATTATAGAGTTGTCCCCACTTTCCTCCTCCTCCTTGCTGCTGAATTCTACAAGGAGCTGACAGGCAGGGCCACCCACAAATGTAGTGGTCTGGGACTGTGGAGGGTCAAGACCCTTTACTATTTCTGCAGCAGGGGCCTTCCCTCCAGAGTCCTACAGCTGCCCAATCAGCATGACACAGAAGCCTGCTAGCCATTGAAAAGAATTCTTCTCTCCCTTTGTGATCTTTGGAGGCAATCTGAGTGAAGAGAGTTGAGTTGGCCACTGAAGATTGGCTCCTAGGGTCACTCTGGAACTCTGCATGTGCCAAAGCTGAGCATTTAGGAGCACTCAGAACACAAGGCGCTTTGGTTCCAAGAGAACAGTGCATTCCAAGTGCTGTTATGCACAATGGAACCTCAAGGAAAACAAAACTGAAGTCACTCCGGAAAGAAGGCATCGGAGCACTCCAAATCGTTTGCCCATTTCTGTGTACAGAAAGTGGTAGATCTAGCTGAAAAGCAGAAGACAAAGATCTGAACTGACGCATCGTTTGCCCATGTGCGAGCGCAGATAACAATGTATGCAGCTGAATGGCAAGACACAAAGATCTGAATTGATTGTTGCAATGCATCCATTATTATTATTATTATTATTATTGTGCAACTATAAAATTACTGCACAGTATAATATTAGGAAGTTGTATAATCTTAGAAGGGGCGAGGCTGTGACAATTAAGAAGGGGCCCTGCACTTCTCAGTTTACCACTACGCTATTGGTGCCAATAACCCTCAAGTAGCAAGCAAGAAATCAGGCAGGTGGGGGCTAGCTGAGCGCAGACTGAAATTGTTGGGACAGTGCCCCACCCTCACTGTAACTGGGCTGCCACTACTGCGGTCAATGTCCACCTCAGCAATCAGGAACATAGGCTGAGGGGTGTGTGGCTATACTTGGCAAATCTAGATTTCAATTGGGATTTGAACCCGGGACTACCTTTTGTTCTTCTCTGCTACCCAGGCTTTTGATGCCCTAACTTTGAACCCAGATCTCCTACAGACCAAATTTCAATGGCACTTGTTCCCATGGTGCAACTCCAGCCTTGCAAATCAATAAAATCAGTAAAATCACTTGCAAATCACTAAAAGGTGAAGGTGATCACACAAACCTTTTAGCTAGCAAGCCTGCCCATAAATGCTAATCATTTTAAGGTATCTAGTTCACCCAAAGAATGGGGGTGGGAATAGAGAAGGAATCTTATCTATATTGGATCAGGTTTGGTCACCTGGAGTCGAACCTTTGTTACCAGAGACGAGTGGGTATGTACAAGATTTTTATTGAGTTCCAGCCGTCTTGTCAATATGACGAACCAGTGGGGTGCTGGAGATGCTGGGAGCACTGGTGGAACCAATCCGGTACTCCCACTCACTGCGTTGCCACAGCCCCATGCCCACCGCTGTCCAGGCAACCCACAACAATGCCAGGGACAGGCAGGCAGCTCTGACCCACCATGCTGTGTTGGAAAACATAGTGACATAACACACTGAAGATACATAGACAGTAAGAGGAGGAGGGTGAGATGTTGTAAAAGATCCGAGATCATAGAACTGTAGAGTTGGACGGGACCACAAGGATCATCTAGTTCAGTGTTTCCCAAACTTGGGTCTCCAACTGTTTTGGGACTACACTTCCCATCATCCCTGACCACTGGTCCTGCTACCTAAGGATGGTGGGATCTGTAGTCCCAAAACAGCTAGAGACCCAAGTTTGGGAAGCCCTGATCTAGTCCAACCAATATGCAGCTGTCCCATATGGGGATCGATCCTGCAACCTTGGCATTAACAGCACTATGCTCTAACCAACTGAGCTATCCAGGCTGATGTCCATGGAGAAGTGCAAAGGAATTTGCAGGCGCCGATAGATTATGGTTAGCAGACATCCCCGTTTCCCGGGGACAGCCCCCCCCCCCGATTTACAAATCTGTCCCCGGACAAAATCCATCCCCTTAATGTCCCCGGATTTCATTTAATGTCCCCGGATTTGTATTTTAAGTGTTGTAGATTTATTAGTAGGGAATGAATGTTGTGTGATTGGTTCAACGGCACAAGACACATCATATGGGGACTTCCAGTGAGGCAAAATGGCGGGCGCCATGGCAGTGAGCAGTTCCTGAAGCCAGCCAGAGCCAACTGTGCTACCAGGCTGGCTCTGGGCTGCTGAGACTGCTGCTGCCACTGCCACTGCCGAGGGGGAAACAGGGGACGCCCAGTGCATCAACTGGGGGAACCACTGACGGCCCCCCCCCGCCCGTGACCCAAATCGAGCCAGGAGAGAGAGAGCCCGGCCACTTGGCCGACTTGCCCAGCAGCGCCTAGAAAACCCCGAAGCTGATGCAGGGAGGAGGAGGAGAGGAGAAGGAGAAGGAAGAGAAAGAGGAAGGAGAAAAAAGAGGGGAGCCCCAAACTTGCCACACCGCTACTGCTACTGAGGAAGAAAGGCAGGAGACCATTGGGAGGGCAAGGACACGTGGCCAAGCCCAGGCCCGGCCCGAGCCTACTCTACAGCTGCTAGTGCTCCAAGAGAGCAGGCTGGGGCCCAGAGGAAGGCCGTGTGACAGAGGAGACCACAGAAGAGAAGATATTACTTCTTTTAAAAAAATAATAATAACTTTAAAAAAACACACCTTTTTTCTCTTTTTTTAAAGTGTCCCTGGATTCTTTGAAAAAAATCTGGTAACCTTACCATAGATGAATCTGCAGCCTTCTTCTTCCTCAAACGCCTGCCTGTGATGTTACCCTTGCTCTCCTGATAAGGCCCTTGCCTGGTTATCTAACTGCAATCTCTGCTTGTGAACGTGACTTGATTTCTGTGTGTGTGTGCAAATGCCTCTGTGTGATTTATAGGCCTGGGGACTCCACTTTTGGGGGTTCCCCAGAGGCCGCGGCTGTTCTGGCCAAATAAAGCGGTCTCAAACAGCACAACGGGTGTGGTGAATCGAAGGAAACCGACCACAGTGCAGGCCCCATTACCGGCGGTTGTGATTTTGTGGGCTCGAGAGTCATTTCACACATTTGGCTCTGGACTGATTGTGCTCGCCCTTCGTAATTTAATAAAGAAACAACATTTGTGGTAGAACAATAGAAAAGTGCACGCAGGGAAGGGGGAAACAGCTTGGGTTGCTCTTCTGGACTGAAAGGTAAATGGCCGTACGTGTTAACAGAGCTGAGGTGACTGAAGGACAGCATGAAGGGGATCTCTTTGGACCATTGTATCTTAAAAAATAACAATTAAGCACAGCATCGATGCCTTCTGAGTTGCTAAATTTTTGGGTTTCTATCTATCCGTTCCTTATCCTCCTTGGCTTGGAGATCCATGGACTGGCGGATTTCAAGAAAGGTCATGCCTCTGGTTTCTGGAACCATCGCGGAAATATAAATAAAGGTCACCATGCAGAGAGGCCAAAGGATCAGGAGGCTGTAAGGCCCAGTGAGTGGCTGGAGTTGGAAAGACAAAAGAGGGAGGGAACAGGGGGAGGTAAGCAGGGGTTGACCAATGTGTCCCGGCGGGCTCCTCGTTTTCCCAGTCTCCATTTCAGCTCTGGGCATTTCCGCCACAGTTTGTGAGTTGTAACCGAGCGTGCAAAGAGGAAATCTGCATGTGTTGCTGTGACGGCCTGGGATTCAGACTCGAAGGCTGAACTTGAGGAATCCCAGCCTGCACAGGAGTCCCCGCCTCCAGAACCAGCTGAGCCGGGACTGGGGCTTGAGCCTGAAGGGTCCTCACCTGTGCTGGATCCTCAGGTGCAGGCACCAGCTGAGTCTGCTCCTGAGATGATGGAGAACCCATTGCCTGCAGCTGCTCTACTCTCAGCCCTGTCAGAGGAAGCTGAGATTGCCTCTGGGTCCGGTAATCCTCCAGCCTCTCCTGAGCTGCAGAGGCTCAGGGCAGAGAGGCGGAGGGAACTAAGTTCCCGCAGGAGGAATGCTCGCCTCCAGGCCAGGAGAGGTGAGTCACCTGTGGACCGGGGCTGCCCTATGCCTCAGGGCAGATAAAAGCCAGCCAGCCCAGTCCCGGGTTGTGGGAGCAACATTGTTGGTAGCCTGTTCCTGCCTGAACCCTGTCCTGCTCTTCTGCCAGAGTTCCTGACCTCACCTGACTCCCTGCCTTGGACCCCACCAGCTTCGATGGGCAGCCTCCATACTGCACCCTGGACCTGACACCGGGACTTTGGAAAAGCCCACCCATAGGGATCCTGTCCTTCCAGGGTCCGGTTTCCATTTAATGACGCCTGCACGGCGTCTGGATGCCGATCCAGGACCTCCAGGAAAGGTCGTTTTGTCAAGCACGCAAAAGCGGAACGGCCACAGCCCTCAGTTCAGGAACTTCGCCTGGCCTACCAATTGCAGGGGCTTGTTGTCCTGCCCTGTGGGGTATAGGGCGAGGTGAGGTTCGAGCCGGGCAAAAGCCAAGGTGGGACCAGGTTCCAGCCATCTGCAAACATGAAGGCTGTGCTCTGGGGAGCAACTGAACCAGAAGCTGCTCACAAGCTGGAGCTGAGCTCTTTTAAACAGCAACAGGTGCAAACTGGTTCCCTGCATTCTCCCAGCATTCCCACGTCCTTTCCTACCGCTGGGGCGGAGCTGTTGTGTTTGCGGGAAATATCTAGATACCGTTTGTGGCTCGACGAAATGCGATCTTTACTGCCGTTTTATTTATTTATTTCCCGCTAAAAGGGACCTGGCAGAACCACTCACCTCTAGCTTAAGGAAGATCCCCACGGCAAAACAGCGGGTGACCCAGTTCACTATGCCGCCCAGCGTGAAGGCTGTGGCCCGCGATGACTGAAGGAAGATCTCGAGAGTGACCACGTAGGTGATTATAGCTGGGAGGACAGAAGGAAGCTGGGTGTTGAATTTGGCTCCCTCCTCCCAGAGTGATTTAACAGTCACACCCTCTTCCCAGGGAACTCTGGGAATTGTGGCTCTGCGAAGGGAACAGGGGGTCTCCTAACCACTCCACAGTTCCCAGAATTCTTTGGGGGGGGGGGGAGCCATGACCGTTTAAAGTGATACAAAACTTCTTTCAACATACAGTACAGATAGGGCCCTCCAGATATTTGGAGATCCCTTCCAGTGCTGGATCTATGTCTTTTCCATCTTAATTAATTAAATTTGCATATCGCCCTTCATCCAGAGGTCACAACACAAAAATACAACACGAGAATGCAAAACACACGATAAAACAAAAACAAACCGATAACTCCCCTCCCCACCCCCCCAAAAAAACACATTTAAAAGGCCATAGGTTGTTTAATGAGCCAAAGGCCTGGTCGAAGGGAAACGTTTTTGCTTGGCACCTAAAGATATGTAACAAAGGCGCCAGGTGAGTCTCCACAGGGAGAGCATTCCACAAATGGGGAGCCGCCACAGAAAAGGCCCGTGTTCTTCACCCACCTCAAATAAGTTTTGTGTGTCGCCTGAGCCCTTACCTGGCCCAAACATGTATCCAGTGAGCATGGCAATGACTAAAACGGAGCTCAAGTAAATCATCCATGGCTGCATGGGCTGTTGGAGAAAGAGAGTTGTGCATGAGCGAGGTTGCCTCTCGTTTTGAGGCAGGGGTGGGGAATCACCACACCCTTTGACTTGGACGATATAGGCATCTTTGTACACACACAGAACTCCCCCATATACATGTCTCTGAGTACATTCCTTGAACTCCTTTGCAATAGCCAGAGCAGGGTGAATTTTGCCTCCATTTGCGAATTGCTATGGAAAGCACAGATTAGTTAGATTTCTCCTTGAAAGTAAACTGAATGGAGTCTTCTCCCGCATCCATAGCTGGAGCCTGCCCTGGAAACTTATTATTTATTGAATTTATATCCTGCTCTTCCTCTTGGAGGATCCCAGGGCAACCAACACAGCCAAGATTTTATTAAAATGCCAAATCAGAGCGCCAGTGTGGTTTAGTGGTTAGAGTGTCATCCTGGGGACCTGGGAGACCAGGGTTCAAATCCCCCAATCAACCATGAAGCTTGCTGGGTGAACATGGACGAAGTCACTGCCTCTCAAGCCTAGTCTATTGGGGGGGGAGAGAAGCAGGTACCCCATCTGGAGAAAAAAGGTGGCATATAAATGCAATAATGAAAATAAAATCAAGCTTAGTACAAAATCATCATGGAAAACAGGCATGAAATCTCAAAGGAGAGATAAAGAAAGGGGCCAGAGACATCAGTAACACAGTCCACACTTAGGGTATAACAGGAATTATATAATAAGTTTATAAAAGTAAAAATGTGATCAACATCGATATCTCTTATTTTCTAGGGGGACCAGCTGTATTTCCAGCAAACCTTACTGCCCACCCGGAAACCTATGTCCCCACTTGTGGAAGGACGTGCGGACCCAGAACTGGCCTCCACAGTCACTTACAGACGCTCTGTTAAAACCGTGTTCATGGAGGACAATCTTATTTGGCTGTGAGTGATCGCCAAAGAAGAAGAAGAAGCATGTATTCCCATTTTACTGTATTATCCACAGCATTTCTAGCTGGGAGAGTGGATATGTTCTACGTTTTTGACATGGAAAATAAAATCATGCCAAATGGAACAAAATCTGCCCTTACTTTTTTGACCTCAGTATGTGTGCCGGTTTTTCTAGTAGGACTGATTCTCACAAAGCACTCTAAAAACAGTCATAAAAGTTGTTAAGAGGTTAATTAAAAAAAATAATAATCTATAAACAGTTTCGGTTAGAAACATCTCTTTCAAGAATCGTGGGGTTGTTGTCATTGATTGATTTATTACCCTAAGGTCCCAGGGCAGGTTAAAACACAATATTAAAAACAGTTTAAAACAGCTTGCAATCTCAAAAAATTAGCTGCGTCCTAAAAATACACACAAGGGTCTAAAGCGAAGGCAAAGGGGTATGTCTTCAGCAGTTGCCAGAAGCTTTCTAAGGAAGGTAACAGACACACTTCTGTGGGGAGTTCCATAACTTAGGGGCCACAGTAGAGAAAGTTCTCTCCTCGGCCGCCGCTACCGCCACCCTCTGTGGGTGGAGAACTACCAAGAGCGCCCGCTTCCGAAATCTCAGAATCCAAGAGGATTCTGGGAAGGAGGAGGTTCCTCAGGTATTGAGGACCTGAGTTGTTTATGGTGAAGGCCAGGTTAGAATGCCTATTATTATTATTATTATTATTATTATTATTATTATTATTATTATGGTACCTCGGGTTAAGTACTTAATTTGTTCCGGAGGTCCATACTTAACCTGAACTATTCTTAACCTGAAGCACCACTTTAGCTAATGGGACCTCCCGCTGCCGCCTGAGGTACCACTGTATTATTATTATAAATTATTATATAGAATTATAATAATGGCCTAAACAAAGCAGAATAGCTAATTTTAATGAGCGACATTCAGCTCTGCATTCTGCCGGTCGCTATTTACTCACCTGAAGTTCGAGGGTCAAGGTTAGCAAGACGCAGGAAACACTACAGATCAGAAATCCGAGAAGTAGAAGAAACCTCCGCCCCACAGAGTCAATGACAGACATCTAGGGAATATAAAGGCAGGGGGGTGAGAGAGAAAGGAAGCCTCTGATCACAGCCAACAGCTTCAGGTTGCAGAGCTCCAGCTGATTTATTGATTTTACATGCAGGTCCCGCTTACCGGACATAAGGCGTTCCCAGGAAATCGTTTGTTAGGCTAGTGTTCACATAACGAGCTGACAATTTCCATTATTTCCTATGGGAACATTTTAAATCCAAGATCTCCCCACTCCCTCCCTTCACGGTTTCTGCCTGCAAATAGCTGCTGCCGGCCAGCAAACCAAGTAAGGAACTGGGCAGTCTTCCTCAAGACAAACTTCCTAAATGCATACAAATACCTGTGTGTATTTATTTAACAACAATTATATCCTACTTGATTGTCATGAAGCCTCTTAGTTCGCAGGAAATATGAAAAATTATCAATAAAAACATGTATTAAAAAAAATTAATCCAAAATATTATTAAAACCAACAGGAGAAAAAGAAATAAAACAAAACTAACTGTGGCCTAAACCAATTTTGTTTTAAGCAGGTACTGAAAAGAAAACAGCAAAGATATCTATCTGCCTGATGTCAATAGCATAGGTGCTGCCATGCTAAGAGATCGATTTCTTACAAGTGTTTATACAATGGTACCTCAGGTTAAGTACTTAATTTGTTCCGGAGGTCCGTTCTTAACCTGAAACTGTTCTTAACCTTTAGCTAATGGGGCCTCCTGCTGCTGCCGCGCCGCCAGAGCACGATTTCTGTTCTCATCCTGAAGCAAAGTTCTTAACCTGAAGCACTATTTCTGGGTTAGCGGAGTGTGTAACCTGAAGCGTATGTAACCCAAGGTACCACTGTAGTTTATTTAAGAAAATTTACATACTGCTTGACTGTAGGAAAGCTAAGCGGCTTACAAGGAATATAAAAATATAAAGAGTTAAAAGTTTTTTAAACAATTGATTGGGTGTCTTGCGCAACAAAACTGCTCCCCCCCCCCAAAAAAAAAAAATATTCCCCAAAAAATCCAACTTTTTGCAATAAGGAAAGTTATGGAGGAACGTAAAGAAAAGTTGCTTTGATGTGGCCTTATCTAAACCTTCCTTGCCAACAAGCCAGAGTGAATAGATAAATGGCCAACATCATGTAACTTTCCTCTCTTTAATTGGTAGGGTGGGAAAACTATAGGCCAAATGCAGGTCTCTCTGGGATTGAGTTTGGAGATTTGAAAGGGAAGGAGAGAGGGGATGGCTCACCGTTATGGAGGCTATAAACAAGAGCCAACACGTCACAGACAAATTCATATAAAAGATATGGCTCTCTTTGCTTAGAAGCGACCTGTAGATTTTCTCTGCGTAGAAGTAGCCCTGCAAGCAGATCACAGCAAACAAAGACATCAGCTGCGGAAGAAGGTGCTGGCTACCAGGAATTTTCAGGAAAGAGGAAAAAGCAAAATGAAATAAAATAGAAACCACCACAAACAACCCTTCGCTGATGAGAGTTGCCTTTAATGTATTTTAGAATTATAGAGCCAAAGAATTGTCCCAAGGGTCATCTCCTGCAACAAAGGAATCGCGGCTAACAAACCCATAGCAAGTGGCCATTCATGCTCTGTTTCAATGCCTCCAATGAAGGAGGATATTTATTTATGCATTCTATTCTAGGCAGTACACCCACATTTAATTTTATCCTTCCCTCAGAGGTGTACATGGCAACAAAATAAAAATCAGTTAAAACGACAAAACCAGAATTCAGTTAAAATGCCTGGCTAAAAACAGCAACACAGGGTTGCCACACGTGACATGAGGCAATTGCCCCCACCCTGTCAAACTTGGCCTGTGAGAGCTGGGGGTGTCAAAATTGCTCCTCCAGCTGGATTCAGTTCCCCACCTGCTTCACCTGGGAGAATGTTCTGGAATTCCTTGTCTGGGGTGTGTGTGTGTGTGTGTGTGTGTGTGTGTGTGTGTGTATCTGTGTGTGCGCACACATGAATCAGCAACCTGGTGTTACAGCCTCTGAATGCTGATTGTAGACCGTCTGGTCTTCCTTTCCTTAGCCCTTTCTTTCCTTCATTCACCAGTTGAAAAAAATAGCCAGCCCCCCCCCCATTATTACAGGAGCCAAAGAGTTTCACCAACATCATGTGACCCTCAGGCACTTTCTGGGACAGGAGCATGCCCCCTCCCGGCAGAGAAAGGTTCCTCATCCCTTCTCCCACAGCTTCTGAGCCACCTGGAACGTTGGCTTCCTCACCCCAATTATGCCAGAAAATTGCTGGCCCCCCAACAAGATGGCGATGGTGATGACTTGGCGACGGAGACTATGGCTTTTCAGAAGCGAAAGTATCGTCATGTCCTTTTCTTGTATCTCATACTTCTCCTCCTTTCGGAGCTCCTCAATCTCATTTTCCATGTCAACCTTGTTCCTGAGCATTTTCAAGGCTGGGTGGAGAGAGAGAGAGAGAGAGAATCTGAGGAAGAAAGAGCATTCAAGCACTACGCACAGTCCAGATTAGAGCGTAAACATCACATACCCTCCAACATTTCTCCAATGAAAATAGAGACATCCTTTTCCATAATACAGTGGTACCTCAGGTTACATACGCTTCAGGTTAAATACGCTTCAGGTTACTGACTCTGCTAACCCAGAAATAGTGCTTCAGGTTAAGAACTTTGCTTCAGGATGAGAACAGAAATCGTGCTCCAGCGGTGTGGCGGCAGCAGGAGGCCCCATTAGCTAAAGTGGTGCTTCAGGTTAAGAACAGTTTCAGGTTAAGTACGGACCTCCGGAACGAATTAAGTACTTAACCTGAGGTACCACTGTACTTTTATTATGTATGTTGAACCCAGCCGCTCTGGGAGACTTCCAACATAGATAAAAACATAATGAAATTGCCTTCAGATGTCTTCTAAAGGTTGTATAGTTACTTATCTCCTTCGCTCGAGGGTTGCGTGACTCCATAACCCTCCAACATTTCTCCGATGAAAATAGGGGCCACCCTAACATATCCTCCAATATTTATCTGACGATAAATAGGAACATCCTATGGGAAAGTGGGACATTCCAGGATCAAATCAGAAACTGGGACTGCTTCTGTAATCCCGGGACTGGAACATAGGGACATTTGGAAGGTCTGACAAGCAAACTTTGACAGGTGGGAGGGGCAAATGCCTCCCAGTCAATCCCGATATCACTTCCCACCTCCTCGCAGCCTTACCTGGAGACACCAGGGATTGGGCCCGGGGGCCTTCTGCATACAAAGAGTTAAGTTGTGGGTGAACATATCAGACGACACAGCGATTCTTCAAACAGCTCTTGTTTATTCACAGGCCAGAACTGAACTGAACTGAAGGGTTCAGCCAGCCTGCTTATATAGAGCTCCACTAGAACGCAACAGTAACCATTTTCTGTAACTATCCAATCACTGAGCGTCACTTTCAATCCCTTATTTGCATATGTGGACCTGAGTGAAAACTATCTACAGTATCCCCCTGCTGGCCCAGGGTGAGAACTTCAGTACATAACACAAAGCTACAAGGCAAGCCTACCTTTCCTCGCTTTTGCTTCGTTCTTCATCTGAATAAACAGGTAGCGAGGACTTTCAGGGCACAGGAGCAGGAGTGGGATGTTGAAGAAAGCAACTATCCCGGTCAGGCCCAGCATCATTGGCAGATCTAAGAAAACGAGACAAGTGAATAAGTCGTGACAAGGTACATTTACAAAGTGAAGCATGGAGTGGAGGCAGTTGAGAGGGGAGTACTTTTCTCCCCCTCTCCTAACGCTAGGACCAAGACACATCCTGCAAAACTGAACGCAGGACAGAGAAAAGAAGGGGCTGACCACAGGAAGAGCTGAACTGTGGAACTCACTCCCACAAGAGGCCAGGGTGGCCACCAACTTAGATGGCTTTAAAAGAGGATGGGACAAACTGGTGGAGGAAAGGGCTATCGCCGTTTGTCCACAGCTTTCTGGGTCATGTGGCCAGCATGACTAAACCGCTTCTGGCGCAGCAGAACACCATGACGAAAACCAGAGCGCACGGAAATGCCGTTTACCTTCCCGTCACAGTGGTACCTATTTATCTACTTGCACTGGCATACTTTCGAACTGCCAGGTTGGCAGGAGCTGGGACAGAGCAACGGGAGCTCACCCCGTCGCACGGATTCGAACAGCCGACCTTCTGATTGGCAAGTCCAAGAGGCTCAGTGGTTTAGTCCACAGCGCCACCCCCACATCCCTGACCCCGCCCTCTTCTCCAACTTACGTTTCTTGTTCCCAAGGATGTTGGGACTGCTGATGGCCTGAGCCAAGAGGAGACCCACGGTGAAGAACAGTATGGACATCATTGTGAAGGCCCCCCTCATGCTTACGGGGGCGAGCTCTCCAACATATAAGGGGATCATAGTGGAAAACAAGCCTGGTTAAATGAGAATCAAAGGGTCACAGGCACAACTGGCAGAGGGACCTCATCCATGGCGTTACTTCATCATTTGTGGCATAGGGCTGCAACCACTATTAATCCTGCTCTGGACAGACTAGTGCACACAACTAACTCTGTTAATTTCAGTGGGTTTGCTGTGAGTAGAACTTTGCTGGTCCCAGCCATTCTGCCTCCCACCACTTGAACTCAGGGCCCAGCCACACTTTCTCTTAAGTCCATACCTCTTTGCCACATTTTCTATTTCGCTGGGACTGCATGTTCCTACCTGAAAATAAAGTTCCCACAGAAAATAAAGTTGTGATTGGAGCCATCACAAACGAGCGGGAACACACACAAATTTTGCACCTCTATCACTTGATCACCATTTTTTTTTTAGGAGCGCAAAACAGTGGGGGAAATGAAATAAATCATAGAATCATAGAATCATAGAGTTGGAAGAGACCACAAGGGCCATCGAGTCCAACCCCCTGCCAAGCAGGAAACACCATCAGAGCACTCCTGGCATATGGTTGTCAAGCCTCTGCTTAAAGACCTCCAAAGAAGGAGACTCCACCACACTCCTTGGCAGCAAATTCCACTGTCAAACAGCTCTTACTGTCAGGAAGTTCTTCCTAATGTTTAGGTGGAATCTTCTTTCTTGTAGTTTGGATCCATTGCTCCGTGTCCGCTTCTCTGGAGCAGCAGAAAACAACCTTTCTCCCTCCTCTATGTGACATCCTTTTATATATTTGAACATGGCTATCATATCACCCCTTAACCTCCTCTTCTCCAGGCTAAACATGCCCAGCTCCCTTAGCCGTTCCTCATAAGGCATCGTTTCCAGGCCTTTGACCATTTTGGTTGCCCTCCTCTGGACACGTTCCAGTTTGTCAGTGTCCTTCTTGAACTGTGGTGCCCAGAACTGGACACAGTACTCCAGGTGAGGTCTGACCAGAGCAGAATACAGTGGCACTATTACTTCCCTTGATCTAGATGCTATACTCCTATTGATGCAGCCCAGAATTGCATTGGCTTTTTTAGCTGCCGCGTCACACTGTTGGCTCATGTCAAGTTTGTGGCCAACCATAAAAATGATGCACAGCAAGAAAATGAGAAGTGCGCTGGTCAGAGCTAGAGGGACAAATGGGGAAAAAAATTATCCCACAGGGAACCAGGCAGAGGGGCTTCTCGGTAGTGGCACCCGCCCTGTGGAATGCCCTCCCATCAGATGTCAAAGAAATAAACAACTACCTGACTTTTAGAAGGCATCTGAAGGCAGCCCTGTTTAGGGAAGTTTTTAATGTTTGATGTTTTATCGTGTTTTTAACATTCTGTTGGAATCTGCCCAGAGGAGTAATAATAATAATAATAATAATAATAATTTATTATTATTATTATTATTACGGGAAAAGGAGGAAAGGAGGTGGGAGCAGACCGCCCTCAACACAGCTCCCAGGAAAGCTTTAAAGCTCCTTTTGCACCAGATTATCCCAGTGCAGAAAGAGCTTTTCAGCTCTCCATCTTGTTTACCAGGCTCTGGGGTGCCCTTGCAAGATTTTGTGGGAACCGGTCCCACGAGATCTGATGACAGCATCCCAGAGCCCAAGAGAGAGACCAGTAAGCAAGGCGGGGAGCTCAAAAGCTCTTTGCCCTGCTTGGAAAGTAGGGATGGCTGCATGGGGCTGGTTCCAAGGGGGTGGTTTGAATATATGCGTTTTTGTGCATATGTGTCACTCCCAGAACATCACCCCTGCGCAAGATGCAATCGTACTGTATAACAACAACGCCTAAAAACTTTAAAATCTGAGACCGTCAACTAACTATTATGGAAAGATATATTCTTAATTGCCTGCCTAAGTCTGGCGGAATAGAAAAATTCTCAACGGGCGTTTAAAAGTTGAAACAGAATCCCCTATTGGAGAAGTATTTAAAGTGGTATGATACTGCTTTAAACGTACATTGCAAATGGGACCCAACTCAGCCCTAAGTTTGTCACGCCTATTATTTTCAATGGGTCTACTCTGAGTAGGATTAACACTGTGCACGGCTCCCTAACTTTTTAATGCTGATAAGCAGCCTAGGCATCTGGGTTCAGGAGTCAAAGAGTCAAACCACAGACACGGGTTCAAGGCAGCTTTCTGCTTTTGTTTGGCTTGGTTTTGTTAAAAGGCAATTCAAAGATTGCATGTGGAACGCTTTTTTCTCACCTGAAGATACCCCAACGAGGAAGCGAGCAAAAATGCCAAAGTCGTAGAATTTCCGTGCACTCGAAGCACCCATTAATCCACAGGCAACGGCGGCCGTAGCATTATTGAGCATCAAGGACCGTCTCCTGAAAAGTCAGCAAAAAGGGGATGTGGAGAAGATGAGCAGGCCCCGAACAACGAGAAGAGGAGAGGAGGGAGGGCAGCTGCGGAGTTGCCACAAGGCCCTGACTTGCTGCTTCCAGTCAGTGTAGACAATACTGATTGGCTACTGCATGGGTAGGCAAACTAAGGCCCGGGGGCCGGATCCAGCCCAATCGCCTTCTAAATCCGGCCTGCTGACTGTCCGGGAATCAGAGTGTTTTTACATGGGTAGAATGTATGCTTTTATTTAAAATGCATCTTTGGGTTATTTGTGGGGCATAGGAATTTGTTCATTTTTTATTTTTTATTAATATACTCTGGCCCCCTACAAGGCCTGAGGGACAGTGGACTGGCCCCCTTCTGAAAAAGTTTGCTGACCACTGGTCTACTGATTCAGATTAACCAACAGTCTGAAACAGCCTGAGGCTGTTCCCTACGTTTCTAAGCAATTAGGTAGAACTTCCCAAAGACAAAACGTAAAAAATAAAACACGTGTATTCCACCATGTGCCATCAGCCCTTATAGAATGAGCAGGTGTATGCAGCCGACTTATCTCCTTAAGCAGGGGTTTTGACGTCATATCACTCCATTCCAGGCCGACCACAGAAAGACATTTGAAACAGAGATTCTTTCACTCAGTGGTTGTCTTCTGAGTTCCACATGGGATTTCACACAGCTGGGGCACTACTACTGCAGTTTGAGCGATGATCGAGAGCAGGAGACTCCTGCTTGCAAAGCAGATGCTCTGCTGCTGAGCTACAACTTTCCCAAGCAAATGCATTGACCTATCCCTGCTCTATGTAGATTCCCGTATTACAGGAGGCTGGACTAGATAACTCTTGGGGTCCCTTCCAGCTCTACAGTTCTATGACTCTATCCTGTCTGCAAATTATCCTTTAGCAACAAGTATATATATGCAGAGATTCTTTTCTCTGTATTGAATGAAGGAACATTTGGACAGAAATTTGGTTTTGAGTCGTCCCATATTGAGCATGGTTTTGGTATGGTATATATTATGTAAAGGTAAAGGGACCCCTGACCATTAGGTCCAGTCGCAGGCGACTCTGGGGTTGCGGCACTCATCTCGCTTTATTGGCCGAGGGAGCCGGCATCCAGCTTCCGGGTCATGTGGCCAGCATGACTAAGCCGCTTCTGGTGAACCAGAGCAGTGCACGGAAACGCCGTTTACTTTCCCGCCAGAGTGGTACCTATTTATCTACTTGCACTTTGACATGCTTTCGAACTGCTAGGTAGGAAGGAGCAGGGACCGAGCAACGGGAGCTCACCCCGTCGCGGGGATTCGAACCACTGACCTTCTGATTGGCAAGTCATAGGCTCTGTGGTTTAACCCACAGTGCCACCCGTGTATTATGTAAAGGCTATATTTAAAGAAATGGATGCTTGGTGGAATATACCGTAAATGTCTTATTTTTACATGTTGTCTTTTATATAAGTTCTATATAATTGCATACAGGGTCATGTGAGCCGCATTGCTTTATTTATCTGTATTCCTTTGTGTTGTGTTTTCCTATGTTTCTAAGGCAATGACCCAACACGTAGCTTAACTAGAGATCAGTGGGGGGTATGGGTCAGCAATAGTCATATTCCCCACCCCCAACACCTCTTGCTGTGCCTACTGTTCTCCATCCCCCTATTATCTCTGTACCTGCCGCAGCTATCCACCAAGGTGCCGAGCATCAGCGACCCAATGATGCCTCCAATTGGGAAGACCATAGCGTTAAAGGCCATCCAGCCAGTCTGAGCCTCTTCGATTCTGATGTCCATCCTTTCAGTCTCTTCCGTTATGTTGGAATTTATATGTGAGACCTAAGATGGAAGAGAGACATCAGATGAAAGAGAGTGGGAGGAGCACACAGGATCTGAGACCCAGGAAACTAACTTATACCATCCAGCGCAGTATCACCTACAGTGGTACCCTGGTTCTCAAACGCCTTGGTACTCAAACAACTTGGAACCCAAACACTGCAAACCCGGAAGTAAGCGTTCCAGTTTGCAAACTTTTTTCAGAAGCCAAACCTGCTCCGTTTTGAGTGTTACGCTTCCGATTTGAGTGCCACGCTTCCATTTTGAGTGTTACGCTGAGGTCTGTCTGTTTTTGCTATTTATTTTGCGTTTTTGTTTTTGCGGCTCTTTTTGTTTTGTTTCTGTGACTGTGTGGAACCCAGTTCAGCTACTGATTGATTGATTGATTGATTGATTGATTGTGTGGTTGCAGTACATTGTTTATTGCTTTCATTTAATGGGTCAATGGTCTCATGAGATAGTAAAATTCATGTTAAATTGCTGTTTTAGGGGTTGTTTTTAAAAGTCTGGAACCGATTAATCCATTTTGCATTACTTTCTATGGGAAAGCGCGCCTTGGTTTTGGAACGCACTTCCAGAACGGATTAAGTTTGAGAACCAAGGTACCACTGTACTCTGAATGGCAGCAGTTACGGGTTTTGAACCAGGAGACTCCTGCATGCAAAGCAGATGCTCTGCTGCTGAGCTACGTCTTTTCCAAGCGAATGCATTGACCCACCCCTGCCCTATGTAGATTCCTGCATTGCAGGGGGTTGGTCTAGATGACTCTTGGAGTTCCCTTCCAACTCTTACAGTTCTAGGATTCTAAGTAGTCCCACATACAATAGGGCTGGCTTACCGTCTCTGGGTTGAGGACAACCCAGTAGATGTATCCCAGCTGCAAGGATCCAAGGGAGGGAATCACTGTAGCAATTAGAAGTCCAGGTGTCAGTTCCTATAGGAAAGAGCAGTAGACAGTGTTGCTGGTTGTACACTGTGCAGGTGCATTAGAGACACCTTCTAGTGAAAACCCAGCCCTACCCATAAAACGAAGCATGGCCAGACACTCCAGAGAGAGTGCGGTGTAGTGGTTAGCGTATCGGTCTAGTCTTGGGATACCAGGGTTTGAATCCCCTGCTCAACCATGACGTTTACTGGGGTGAACTTGGGCCAGTCACTGCCTCTCTCAGCCAGTGGCCAAATGTGGTCTGCCACAATTCCCAGGCCACATTAGGAGGCAAAAATTGCAGGCACGGTTCTCTTGATTCAGTGAGCAGGACCTACAGTCCGGGGCAGCAATTTGCCCGCAATAGTAGGACCTGTGGGGGGGGGTTTCAGGTGAGTGGTACATCCCACAGCACCAGAAACCCCGAGCACAACTTCACAAGCCATTGGGGTGACTCCAGCACCTCCTCTATCGGTGAAGAGCCCTCCCCTTCTTGGGAAACGTTTCTGAGCGCAATTCAAAGGGTTGGTGCTGACCTTTAAAGCCCTGAATGCCTTTGGCCCTGCATACCTGAAGGAGAGTCTCCACCCCCATCATTCAGCCTGAACACTGAGGTCCAGCTCCGAGGGCCTTCTGGCCGTTCACTCACTGAGAAAAGTGAAGTTACAATGGAACCAGACAGAGGGCCTTCTAGGTAGTCATGCCTCCCATCAGATGTCAAGGAAACAAACAACTATCTGACTTTTAGAAGACTTCTGAAGGCTGTCCTTTATAGGGAAGTTTTGAATGTTTGATGTCTCACTTTTTAATTTGTTTGAAGCCACCCAGAGTGGCCGTCAAGTTAGATGGGCAGTAACTAATTAATTACAGTGGTACCTTACAAACACCTCAGGTTACAAACACTTCTGGTTACAGACTCCGCTAACCCAGAAATAGTACCTCAGGTTAAGAACTTTACCTCAGGATGAGAACAGAAATCGCGTGCTGGCGGCGTGGCGGCAGCAGGAGGCCCCATTAGCTAAAGTGGTACCTCAGGTTAAGAATGGTTTCAGGTTAAGAATGGACCTCCAGAATGAATTAAGTTCATAACCAGAGGTACCACTGTACTACTACTACTACTACTACTACTACTACGGATAAATCAAACTGCAAGGAAGCAGAGGCAACAGCAAAGGCAGAAACAAACTTTGCCTCCAGCTCTCCAGATTTGGTTGGATTCAACTTCCATCTGCCCCAAAACAGCCTGGCCAATGGTCAGGGAGGAGGGGAGTTGTAGTCCAACAACATATGGAAATCCACAGCCCATCCCTGGACTAAATGTGCCTGGGAGCTGGGACACCATCAAGGTTGGAGGCTGCCTGCTGTATCTCTGCATGAGTGGCTGCTCAGGTGGCTTCTTCTTCTTCTTCCTTCTTCTTCTTCACTTCATGGCCAAGTGGAGATTTGAACCTTAGTCTCCCAGGTCTTCATTGGACACCCTCACCACTGTACCACACTGGCTAAGATGGCGGCCTTCAATTGTTGCTGGACTCGACCTCGCATCAGTCCCAGCCAGCATGGCCAATGAGGAGGGACAGTGGGGAGTTGTAGTACCCATTTGCTTTGCCCAGCTTTAGAACTTCAAACCATTGTGGCTGATTTTGATTTGAATCTCACCAGGGGGAGCCAGGATGCATCTGACTCACCTTTTTCTTGCATTTGGGAATTGAGGTATTCGAAGTTTCCATAGTTCCCTGGGTATGGGTGAAAAATAGGCAGGGAGCTGTAGGGAGAAAGAAGAATTTGGGCGTTCTGAGATGGTATCAACTAGAGGAGTCAGAGGAGGAGAGGACAGAGGGTGAAGAAAGAGCTGTGAGTGGAAGGGGGCACTTTCCCCATCCTCTGGACCCCCTGGGGAAATCAACAAACCTGTTGTACCTGGAACTGAGTGTGGAGAGGGCAGCTGAATGGGACACAGCTGTAGCGGCCTAGGGAGGTAACATCCACCTTGGGCCTGCTCAATGAGAGACTAAGGTGACAGTTGCTGTTTCCAGGAACTCTTTTGGTTGTGAGGCTTTTGTGGGTGAACAGAGTTTGTTTGGACCCTGGGGTGAAAACCCAGAGTCTGAGAGGGAGGGTGTGTTGGAAGCAAAATGAACAGAAATTGATTTCTATATATTGGTAACTTTGTATTAATGTAACATTTTTACATGCAACCGTGTATTTTCGCAATGGTTTCTTTACACTGTTTGTTGTTTGTTTGTTTTTATTGACATTGCAAGAGATTAAGGGCTCCAGAGCTTGGTTGCTTTGCGTTCATGATTGCAGTGCAGCTTCTTTGTAACAAAGCATATACCTGTGTGATGCTGACACAAATCCCTACACACTATGCAACACAACAAAAGAACAAAACGATCTCGGCCCAGTATACCTGAAGGAGCATCTCCATCCCCATCATTCAGCTCGGACACTGAGGTCCAGCTCCAAGGGCCTTCTGGCAGTTCCCTCACTGCGAGATTACAGGGAACCAGGCACAGGGCCTTCTCGGTAGTGGTGCCCTGTGAAACACCCTCCCATCAGATGTCAAGGAAACAAACAACTATCTGACTTTTAGGCAGCCCTGTTTAGGGAAGTTTTTAATGTTTGATGTTTTGTCGCTTTTTTATTATTATATTCTGTTGGGAGCCGCCCAGAGTGGCTAGGGTATAAATAATAAATTATTATTATTATTATTATTATTATTATTATTATTATTATTACAAAACCCCATCTCTCTCCCCCCCCTTCTCTTTCCCCCCCAACTGCAAGATGTCTACAACAAAAGTGTCTCCCACTACATATAAAAGAACTGTGAAAAGGACTCTATGAATTGGTAGTGGGGGCACAGACATGCTTTTCCCTGTTTATTTGTTTTGTAACACAAGAAAGTCTTTAATAAAAACCATTTTAAAAAAGTTTTCTGAAATCAACAATTCCAAAAAATAATTTGTTGTCCTGTGTGCTGCAGTGTGGTAAGCGTGCCGAGAGTTGTTAGGAGACCTCCCAGATCTACAATCCCCCAAACACTTTTATTAAGACTGATTGGGGATCAGGGATGGTGGGATTTGTAGTCCAGCAATATCTGAAAAGCCCACAGGAGCACTATTCGAAAAGGAGACTCCCTGACATGTCTCTGCATGAGTGGCTGCTCTTGCCATTAGTAAGACAGATTAAATGGGAACGAGGGAACCTCCAAACATTGTTGGGCTCCCAATTCCCATCCATCCCAGCCGCTGGCAGAGACGGTAGTTGTTGTAGTCCCACAACACCTGGAGGGGGAGCTGGTTCCCCCACTCCCAGATTGAAGCAAAGTGGAAAGCTGGAACTTTGGCTGTTTTCTCCCAGGGCGGTCGATTGGATCAAGAGTCCCAGAAGTGGGTAGAAGAAGAGTTTGGATTTGATATCCCGCTTTATCACTAACCGAAGGAGTCTCAAAGTGGCTAACATTCTCCTTTCCCTTCCTCCCCCACAACAAACACTCTGTGAGGTGAGTGGGGCTGAGAGACTTCAGAGAAGCGTGACTGGCCCAAGGTCACCCAGCAGCTGCATGTGGAGGAGCGGGGAAGCGAACCTGGTTCACCAGATTACGAGTCCACCGCTCTTAACCAGAGGTGAAGCCCCTCCATAGGGAGCCATCCCACACACCCGGTGCATTCCTGCAGAGGCACAGAAACTTACCGTAGCTTTTTGCCCTGGCAAGGAGAGCAGGGGGAAATCAGCCAAGCTCTGTTTTCCCCTGAAAGGAGGACATCAAAAGGCAGACGGTATGGCAAGAGCCAATCAGAGGAAGGAAGCTGGAAGATTCCGGGGAAAGCAGCTGTTGACAGTTGGAAGGCCCAATAAAGGCGGCCAATGTAGGAGCATATCAGAATTGTTGCCAGCACAACAGAACTGCTAAAACCTGCAGCATGAGGCCAATGGCCCACCTAGACCAGCACTCGGTCTTCACAGTGGCCAACCAGATGCCTATTATGGGATGCCCACAAGCAGGCTATGAGCGCAAGAGCACTCTCCCTGCAAGAGCGATTCCCAGCATTCAGACTCATGCCAGCTCTAGCAAAATATGTTCCCTCTTTCAAAGAGCCTTCTAAATCTTTATCCCAGTGGATAAATATCCTGTCTTGGATTTCAAATTTGATTTTATATATGGGCTTTTGTTGCTTTAAACTTGTTTTTTAAAAAAAAAATTATAATTTTTAAAACTATCTATATAAATGTTTTTAAATATGTTCTCCTATCACAAATCGCTCCGGGATGCCTCGTGGGAAGGGACACATGAATCAAAATTAGAACAACAGCAACGATAAATAAAAAATAAAGGATTCGTAGTTCTTAAAGGTTGTTCACCAAAATGGAATCTACTTTATTTATTCATTTCTTTAAAAAAGAAAGAAAAACCAGAAAACTTAAGGTAGCAGCTCAAAGTTAGTCTTTGTCTACTTGTTTTATAAAAAATAATAATAATTAAAAAAACCACACACAAAACTCCAGTGCATAATTATGACAATTCCAACAGGAAACATGATCTTTTTAAACAGTGTTCAGTCCACAGTCCTCTGGAAAGATACAAGTCCAGGGAGTCTCATGGGTTATATCTATTTGCACAGGAAAGCTCCACAGCGAATCGCAGACTCTTCCTCTCTTCTTTCGTCCTGTAGGAAATTTCTGAAGCGAGCACACTCTGAAAGAAAAACCCACCTCTCCACGTGGAGACCCAATGTTCTGGCATGCTGGTTTGGGCTGATGAGAGTTGTAGTCAGTCGAAAACACCTGGAGGGTGCTTGGGACACACCAGCCACTGTAAGTCAACCAATCATGCAAAACCTAAAATCTGGAGCACTTCCTCTCTTTGGGGTGAATTCGCAAGAGTCAAATCCCTTATAGGGCTTTCTCCCTCGCCTTCCTCCCTGCCTGATCCTGAAAAGAAGCCCTTGCTAAAGCTTTGAGAATTCCCCAAGTCTCTTAAAAGAAAACTACAGCACTAAAACAAGCCTTAGAGGAGGAGAATTAAAAGTGGAAGCTGGGAAGTATCTTTGCAACACCCTCACGATAAAAAAAAGAGAGGGAGAGAAGTGAAAAGTCAGCTGAGGAACTGGATTCCAGAAAGGGGCACGTTCATCATAAGAGCCCCCTCACCGCAGACCCGTGAAAACTTTGGCTACTTTTTTCTCAGGCAAGTAGCTCCCTCTGTAGGCACTTGGAGGCATTTCTGTTACCTGCCCAGAAAGCAAAACAAACGAAAGAGTCAGTGAGAGGAGAGCTAGTTGTGCACAGAACATAGCTGTCAACTTACAGATTTGAAAATAAGGGACCAGCAGCCTCGAAAATAAGGGATCAGCAGCCCAAATAAGGGATTTTCCAAGCACAGGTATGTTCAACTTCTGAGCCCCTCCGAGCCAAAGGCAGAATGCCCAGCCAGCAGCCAAACAAAGCCTCAAGCGGTGGTTCCCACGGCGCAGCAACCCGGCAAAGGGGATGCAGCAAGGAAAACCACCGTCACCTCTCCGCTGGGAAGCGCTGAGCAAAGGCGAGTCCCCAGGCAACGCGGCGGATTTGATCGGCACAAGGCATGCAAGCTCCACCCCCCAGTCGTTCTTAGACTCCTTATTGGGTGAGCAACGCAGCCAAGCAACACAGCTGGAGCTTCCCTCCTCCCTGGCCAGTAGGAAGGGAGGGAGAGGAATTGCTTCCTTTGAAACCCGGGAAATTTAAGGGACATCATCAATAAGGGACAGCAGCGGGACACAGCACTGGGATAAGGGACTTTCCCTCCAAATAAGGGACGGTTGACAGCTATGGCTGAGAAACATCCCTTCCATTTCCACCTCCCCTGAGGGGCATAGGAAGGAAGACACCTTCTACAGAGTCTTCAGGCAGGGGACATTCTCAGCCACCCTGGAGTAGCCAGGGATCGATTCCTAGGGAGGAGCGGCAGACCACAGAGAAGGAAGTGGCTAGAGGGCACAACCTCGAAAATGGCTACAGCAATGTAATTGGCCAGAATAGCAGCGCCATCTGCATTCTGCGTCAGGGGAAATTCCGCTGCATTTTTAAAAAGTCGGGTTTCTGTTGCAGGTTGGGGGGGGGGGAGAAGCCGAACAAGGGAAACAGGATACGTTTTGCTCACTGTGATGCCGCACAAAATGTGAGTGAACGAAGCGCGGCTAGTCCACAGTAAATTCCCAGGGTGGAGGCAGCCTTGATTCCTTATTTTGGCTGTGAAATACCTGGCCGAGGGTTGTAGGTTTGACTCAAGAGTAGACTCACTGCCACAAATGAGCACGGCTAACTGAGGTACATTCATTTCAGTGGGTCCGCTTCGAGTTGGGGGCAGCCACAAATCTTTGCCAGAAGCCCTCAAAAGCTGAAAACACTCACAGATAAAATCCTGACCGGGCAAGGCCCCGTCTTCCATTGAAACAGGGGCGTTCCTTTGAGGCTCAGGAGAATTCCGCTCTCGCTCGGTCGCCTTCTTGCGCATCCCCCCAGTCCTTGGTGGCCGAATCAGGGCCCTGGGAGCGGCTCTCTGGGCTCGCCAGGGAATGCTCTGGGCTACTAGATCTCCAGCAGCACAGGGAGGAAAGAAGCTTGTTCCGGACGACCCGTGTGCAAAGGACGAACATAATGCAGTTGGCGCCACCTTGGAATGTGTTACCAATGCCCTGGGGAAGGAGAGAAGTGGGCGGTTCATGAAAAAGCTCAGCCTTCATTTCATAAATTGTATACACCGCTTGCCTGTAAAAATACAACCTCAAAATGTTGAATGGTCTCTTTAAATGTGAAGGTTCATTATTGTTTCACAAGATGTGTATGTCTTTAAGGGCCAGAGCAAATATCAAGACCCAGTTTTACAGCTATGAAACAGCATAGCAGGTGCTGCTAAGTTGCGTTAATTAAGCTGTGTCAGCAATTGGGTATAGTATATAATGAGCAGCACCTAGCTCTCTCAGTAACCCTGGGAGATGGGTTGGGTCATGCTTGTTGATATATTTAGTGTAAAAGGAGTTTTTGTTATTAAAACCTTGTTAAAGCTTGACTGTAAAAATACAACCTCAAAATGGTTTACACCAGGTATGGCCAACAGGTAGATCGTGAAGCGCCGAGGGCCTTCTAGCAGTTCCCTCACTGCGAGAAGTGAAGCTACAGGGAACCAGGCAAAGGACCTTCTCGGTGGTGGCACCTACCCTGTAGAACGCCCTCCCTTCAGATGTCAAGGAAATAAACAACTATCTGAATTTTAGAAGACACCTGAAGGCAGACCTGTTTAGGGAAGTTTTTAATGTTTGATGTTTTATCACATTTTTAATATTTTAATATTTTTAATATTCTGTGGGGAGCTGCCCAGAGTGGCTAGGGAAACCCAGCCAAATGGGTGAGGTATAAATATGATGATGATTCTCACTCAGCCCTGAAACTGAACAGGAGCCCTTTGGCTACTAAATAACCTCTCAGCCTGACCCACCTCACAGGGTTGTTGTGAGGATAAAATTAGGCACTGCAGGGGAAGAACCGCAAACATTGCCTTGAGGTCCTTGGAAGAAAAGTTTTAATGTCACAATAAAAATAAATATTCATGTCACAATAAAAATAAATAAGTGAAAGTCTGCCTGATAGACCTTTTGGGAACCTCTAGGATGAAGTGACCAGATTCCAGGACCTCCCACCTGCCTTATAGCTAAGTTACTCACGTGAAGTACCACCAGCAGCGGGTTTTGAACTGCAGGGGAGCTGCATAGTGTCAAGACGAATCGGATGGTGCTCCAGATTCGGAGAAAAATGAATATGACTGGGATCAGGATCAGCTTCTTATCCGCTACAGAAGTCCTCAGTTGTAAAGCCGGAGTCCTCGAGAGGATAGGGCGATACTCTGACAGTGCAGCATGCTTTGGGAAAGGGAAGACCACCATGAGGAGGGAGGGGAAAGCGTGGGTGGGGGCAGGATCAACTTAGCATCTGTCTCAAGGGTGGGGAACCTCCAAGTCCAGAGGCTTACTGCGGCCCCCCGAGTCTCCCTGCCAAGCCCTCACCACACACCTCACCAACCCCGATTCAGGGATGTGCTGTTGAACTCTGGTCGTGCCTCTTGTTCGCTTGGATAGAGAGAGGGGCGTGCAAGAAGAGCGCGTAAGAAAAGGTAAAGGGACCCCTGACCATTAGGTCCAGTCGTGGCCGACTCTGGGGTTGCGGCGCTCATCTCACTTTACTGGCCAAGGGAGCCGGCGTACAGCTTCCAGGTCATGTGGCCAGCATGACTAAGCCGCTTCTGGCGAACCAGAGCAGCGCACGGAAACACTGTTTACCTTCCCGCCGGAGCGGTACCTATTTATCTACTCGCACTTTGACGTGCTTTCGAACTACTAGGTTGGCAGGAGCAGGGACTGAGCAATGGTAGCTCACCCCGTCACAGGGATTCGAACACCCAACCTTCTGATCGGGAAGTCCTAGGCTCTGTGGTTTAACCCACAGCACCACCCGTGTCCCAACAGACGCGTAGAAGAGTGCGTAGAAAGTAGCAAAACGTAACATCCGCTTTCATTGCTCCAGCCACCTTTGACACTAGTAGGGTTCCCATATGTCCGGAATTTCCCAGACGTAGCCGGAATGCTGTAGTCAGAAGCAGTGTCTGCACGGAAATAGGCAAAACGCCCAGGAAAATCTGGATGTATGGCAACCCATGTCGGCAATGTCGTATTTGGCGATTTCCCTTAAAAATAGCTCAACAACTTCTTTTTGTGTGATTTTGCCAAAATATGGCAACCCTAGACACTAGCCCTGCCCATACCTGGCACACGGCCCCTGGAAGATTGCCCAGAATGGAATGTGGCCCTCAGTCTGGAAATATTCCCTGCCCCATGGGACACATGAACTGCTTTGAACATTATCTCAGTAATTGTTACAACAGCCTTGTGAGGTTAGTCAGTATCAGGCTTCAATGCAGATGGGCACTGTGGGCTGAGAAACTGTGGCCTGCTTAAGGGTTGCTATAACTGATTGACTGATTGATTGATTGATTGATTGATTGATTGATTGACTGGAGTTAGTGGCAGAGGTAAAACTCTGAACGAGGGACACTCTTGCACCTATGTATAGCGCCAGCTAGAGACCTGCTTACTGACCCACCAAACGTCTCTTTCTTTCCTTCCTTCCTTCCTTCCTTCCTTCCTTCCTTCCTTCCTTCCTTCCTTCCTTCCTTGTGTTGTCTCCCTCCTTTTGTCCAAGGAGCTCAAGCAGCATACATGGTTCTCTCCTCCCCATTTCATTCTCACAACAACCCAGCAAGGTATGTCCGGCTGAGAGGCAGTGACTGGCCCAGGGTCACCCAGTGAGCTTTGTGGCCGAATGGGGATTCAAACCCTGCTCTCCCAGGTCCTAGCCAAACTTTCTAACCACTACACCCCCTGGCTCTCTTAGGTCCCTTAATGTCAATGGGTCAGATCTGAGCAGGACTCAGTGGGGAACACACACCCCCCAGCAGCTTTGGAGGTGGCTCAGGAATATCTAAGGTGGCGTCATTTGTGCTCAAATACAGATAAGCAAAGGGAAAGATGCTGGCTTGGAACGTCCAGCGTGGAATGCGGCAGCCTGGGTCAGATCCGGTTACAGGACCGTCCTGCTGCCAACACCTGTTCCAACACACAAATCGTGACTTGTTTTTAGCCAGACGACTAGGGCAGCTGTCCGGCCCCCTGCAGAGGAAGATGGAATGGCATAAGAATCTGGAGTTATTTCTGTTGCCAGAAAATTACTCTCCACCACCAGGAAAAGCCAGAAAGAAAGAAAGAAAACACACCCACCAACAGGGGACAGACACTTATTGCAAACTGAGCATAACAACATGGGCATTCTAACTGCAAAACTATTTTCATAGGTTTGGGGACTGCGATGACACCACGCAGCGGAAAAGACTGCATCTACAGGTGAAGTCATGTGCTTCAGTTCTGCTCCCCTATAAGCCTAATAAACGAAATGAAATGAATGTTGGGAGGCACCTGGCTTTTCAGGAGAATGTGAGGGGTCCAGGTTCTGGACCTAAAGGCCCTGTTGGTCTGGGATGTTGCTCTGGGAGTTCTAGTCCAGTCTCAGGCGCAAAGCTCCTCCTGCAATCAGTTCCAAGCCCTGACCCATCCCTGACTCCCCACACGGTGCCCCTGAGGTCTCCAATTTTGTGTCAACATCCCTGCTGGATGTGGCAATGATGATGACAAGAAAGCACAGCCCTTAGGCCCCAAATGGCCACTTGCATCCCTGAATCCAAGAGGAAATTCATGCTCACCCTAGACAATTAGTCTTCCCCTACCTGGAAAAAAAAGAAATACCTACCGCTCGGTTGATGTGCTTCTTTATGAGGATATAGAAGACCGGAAGAGTCACGTAGGCCAGGATCTCCCACAGCTTCCCTGCGAGGAGCATCCACAGGATCCGATCCTCCGCCTCAATGTCGATCCAGCACCAGCCCACAGAGACATCGGAGGCGTCGTAACCGATCTTCTTCAGAATCACGGCCAACACGGTGATGACGAGCGGCACTCCCCAGCTGCAGGCAGAGAGGGGGAATAGTTAGGCATGTTTTGGTTCCAGTTCAGGAACTGTGTCGAAAAATTCATGGATTGTGACTCGATTTTGAAGGATAGCCACGTGTCAGTTTGCACAGCAATCCACAGAGCCCGAATTAGGAAGTGGGAAGACTCCCCTGTCCAACAGGCACCCTTGTCCTCTGCCCTACCACTCTCAAGGAGCACCAGGTGCCACAGTCTTCACCCTCCAAATCTTTAGAGATGACAAGCCACAACCTGAGCTGCCTGCAGAAGATCTCAGGGAACCAGTCTGGGCGGTGGAGATACCCATTCCAGGTGGTGCTCTAAGCAGACACAATCCTTGGCGCCTGCACCTCCAGAAATCACTCTCAAGGGTTAAGGAAATCGCCTCTTAATTTCCTGCCTCCCCTTTCCTTATCATCCGGATATTCTGCCCTCCCATCCCAGAACTAGAACAGAGTTTATGAGAGGACAAGCCTGTTTGCTCAATTGTGCAAAGGCGTTATGCTGCAACCTTAGCGAGACGCAAACATTGACTTCAGCAAGACGGACTTCAGCCAGTTGACCCAAGATGTGACTGACCAACTGATGAGAAGGCATTTGATCCCAAAGCATGGGAAAGAAGTGTGTGTGTGATCTATTCTAAATCTGTTGACTAACGCTGCACGTTTAGGTTCCATCTAGCTCAGTAGTGTCTACACTGACTAGCAGCAGCACAGGGGTATCTCCCAGCCCTGCCTGGAACCAAACCCAGAACCTTCTGCATGAAAGGCAGCTGCTCTACCACTGAGCTAAAGCCCTTCCCTTAAGTCGGAGGAAGCTGCCTTATACTAAGTTATACCACTGGTCTATCTGGCTCAGCATTGTCTGCACTGACCGGCAGCAACACTCCAGGGTTTCATTGGAGATGCTGGCAATGGAACCTGGGACCTTCTGCATGCGAAGCAGATGCTCTAACACTAAGCTGCAGCCTTTTTCTTAAGACATAGAATCTGCCGTATACTAGACTAACCATAGCCATAACAACTCTGCCCATCTGAATGGGTTGCCCCAGCCACTAAGTTAGCTCAGTATTGTTGATACTGACTGGCAACAGCTCTCTGGGGTTTCAGCTTCCTTTGTTTGTAACCTGCAGTTCCTACCACGCCTTGGTCTGACATCAAAACTGTTAAACAGACTGCAAGACTGGTTTACATCTGTAATGCATGCTAGGTAAAGGTAAAGGGACCCCTGACCATTAGGTCCAGTCGTGACTGACTCTGGGGTTGCGGTGCTCATCTCGCTTTATTGGCCGAGTCATGTGGCCAGCTTCCGGGTCATGTGGCCAGCATGACTAAGCCGCTTCTGGCGAACCAGAGCAGCGCACGGAAACGCCGTTTACCTTCCCGCCGGAGTGGTACCTATTTATCTACTTGCACTTTGACGTGCTTTTGAACTGCTAGGTTGGCAGGAGCAGGGACTGAGCAACGGGAGCTCACCCCGTCGCAGGGATTCGAACCGCCGACCTTCTGATCGGCAAGTCCTAGGCTCTGTGGTTTAACCCACAGCGCCACCCGCGTCCCAGCAGCCAAATCAATTGACTGTGAGGTGGCCAATTCCCAGACAAACAACCTAGGTGGATAATACTATCACTTTCCACTCAATGTTCCCAAGATGCTCAAACACTCCTGATTTGCTATCAAGATTAAGGCTGTTGCGTCAATTCAGAAAGCCTTAAATGCCTTGCCTCCAAAGTAACTTAAGGACCCCCTGATCCCTTATACTCCACCTTGATCACTGGTATATCCTCTGAAGGGGCATTTCTGGTGGTTCCTCACACACCTGTGAGATTAGGTTGAACTTCTCCAGGGACTGAGTCTTTCATGTGGCAGGCCCTGCCCTGTGGAACTCCCTGCTGCTTGAGGTTTGGCAGCAACCACCCCTGCCAAAGTTTGACTTTGTAAAACTCTACTTTTTAGACAGGTGTTTACAGTATGAGTTTTTCTCTTTGACCAATTGCAGTCTTATCCATGTTTTTAAATTTACATTTTACAGATACTGACTGATTTTATTATATTATTGGTATCAGGAAGGCACCATCAATGTACTGTTTTCAGCACCTGCTAAACACATTTTTGTTTAGAAAAGCCTACCTAGATGTTTAGAAAGTTGATGCGAGTTAACTTTTCAAAAGTCTTAAACTATTGTTCTTAATTTTTCTTGGTGATGATTCTATTTTTTTTTTTTTTTTTGTATTTTTACAAGCAAGCAGTGTATAAACTCCATGAAACAAACAAATTTATTTATTATATCCTGCCTCCCCCCCTCCCAGACTTGGGACTCAAAGTCGCTTACACGAATTAAAACACAGATAAAAGCATTTCAGTCACATAAGCCACCTTTGGCATATGTTATGAAAGTGTGGGTCATGACTATGCAAATAAATAATGAATATAAGTTGTGCCTGCTGCCTAAGAATCAGCTGGCTTTCTGAAAGGCCTCCCCTTTCTCCATCCAGTGATCTATAAATATGCCCTAGTCACAAGCTAAGAGGCTGACTGCTTGTTGATGTCCCTTTGCAGGTGACCAGCCTGTCTAGTCTTTCATTCTAAATCTCACTGCCAGTCCTAAAGAGTTTCAAAACAAAAAAGCCTCTTACGCACTTGAGAAACATCATCGATGGGCAAGGCGCTCCAATACTGGCACCCAAGTGCACCCAAGCACTTTGAGAGTTTCCAACAGACAAAGGCAACCCCTGCCCCAGATACAAGAGTGGGGCAGCAACACTACATTGCATTGGCTCATATCCCCCCCTTTTTTTTCTCTCCAAAGAGCTTGTCGTGCCAAAAACCCTGTTTTCACCTTTCGCCTCCTCCCCAAATGTTCCATATTAAGGAAACCTCATCTCCAAGGAGTCTACCTGTTGTGTTTCTGCACGAGTCACTGTTCTGGGACTGCTGTTCTGCTCAGCACCCAGCAACCACAACAGGAGCAATGCACCTCCCAGAGACACACCAGACTTTATAGCCCACCTTTTCCTCCAAGGCGCTCAAGGTGGTGGACATGGTTCTCCACCCCCTCCTTTAATCCCAGCAACAACCTGGCGAGGTAGGCAAGGCTGAGAGGCAATGACTGGCTCAAAATCACCCAGTGAGCTTCATGTCAGTGGGGATTCGAACCCGTGTCTCCCAGGTACTTGTCTGACACTAATCACTACACCATGCCGGCTCTCATTGTAATGGCTCTCATGACAGATTCCTGAGTTTAATTCATGGGATTCTAACCCTCATCTCCTGGGCTCTAATCCGACACTCTAACCACCACACCACACAGGCTATCATATTCCCAGAAGTCTTTGGGTGGGGAATTGTGCTTCAAATGATTGGTATGTATGGAGTCTGGCTGGGCCAAACGCCAGTGTAACAACTTGTTAAGCTTGTTATAGGTTCCTACCGATGGATCTCGACCGTAAAGCGCAAAAAGCATGTGCAGAGGGCAAACTTGAGTGTGGAGCTTGCTATTTTGAACTGCAGTCCCAAAGACAAAATCTGAGCCACCCAGAATGCTATCGAACTTTGCAAAAACTTACTGCCAGTGTACTGCTACCTCCAGATATAGGTCAGGTGAAAGCGTGTGGTTTGGACAGGAAAGAGAAGCTTCTTACTCCAATTGACAGGCCTCACCTACCTAGGAGAACAGAAGCTATCCTGGGAGACAAGCAAATGTAATCTCAAGCCACACCCAAGCTCTGTGCTCATGATGGCCAAGTTCTCAAGGAGACAGAGAGAGAGGAGACAAACATGCCAAACGGCATGTCAGCACTAGGATGGGCAGAGTTCAAATCTTTGCCAGGACAAGCGCAGAACAGGTTTTCCTCCTGAGATCCGGGAGAACGACTGAGCACACAATGCTTCCATAGCCAGACCTTTGATCCATCCAGCCTAAGAATCATGAGAATCCATCTTGCTTGCTAGGAGGAGTAGAGAGAGGGCTATGCGAAGAAACCTGTACAGTGGTACCTCAGGTTAAGTACTTAATTCGTTCCGGAGGTCCGTTCTTAACCTGAAGCACCACTTTAGCTAATGGGGCCTCCTGCTGCTGCCGTGCCGCAGGAGCCCGATTTCTGTTCTTATCCTGAAGCAAAGTTCTTAACCTGAAGCACTATTTCTGGGTTAGTGGAGTGTGTAACCTGAAGCGTATGTAGCCCGAGGTACCACTGTATTGTGCAACGGGAGGAGCCGCAGTCGTGACTCCGCCCACTTTTGCCGCAGACCCCGCCTACCACTTGTATGGGCCCCCTAGAAGATCACGCATAAGGGAGCGCAACCCTTGGGCTGAAAAAAGGTCCCCTTTTTGACTCCTGACTTGAAGATGCCGGGGATTGAACCTGGAACCTTCTGCATGCAAAGCAGGTTCTCCACCAGAGCTACATCCTCTCTCCAAGTAAATGGGCATGAGACTGCAGCTCTAGCAACCAGGCTAAGTCCACCTTGCTTCTGTGATTCTTCATCTAACAGAAATGGTTTGTGCATCTCTCCTCGGATAATATCCTGTGCTGCGGTTTTAAGCTCAGTTTTAGTGCAGCACTGTTTATTCGATTAATTGCTTATTATTTCATTTTAAGGTTTTGCATTGTAAGCTGCCTTGAGAAGTCCCAGCTCCACCGCCCCAATAAAGGGGAAGCTGGATCTATACAAAAGCAGCCTTGTAAATAAGCCCACAAAAATTACTAGCCCGCAAAATGTTTTACTAGCTCGCTGGGGGCTCAGAGAGCAGGGAAGAGCTCTCTGTCTGCTGTATTTTTGTGCCTCTGTGGAATCCCGTCGTCTATGGTGAGCGGGCGGCTGCTGAAGTGGATGAAACCAGCCTTCACCAATCTGCCGCCCTCCAGATGTTTAAGACTGCAGCTCCCATCAGGGCCGTCATAATCCAAAACATCTGGAGGGTACCAGGTTAACAAAGTTGGCATTAAATTAATTGAAAACGTACGGGGGGCGGGGGGCGAATAAAAAGAAGATAAGTAACCTATTAAACAAATACCCCCTTGCTGAACTAGATGACTTCAGGCTGAACAGCTGGCAGGCCTAAGCGTCAAAGGGTCACTGTGGTCACTCCTCGCAGCTTGGAGGCTGGCATGTGACCACTGCCCATCTCACATGGCATAATAAAGGCTTTTCTTCGACTTGGCAAATCGGCTCACAGAGGGAGGCAGGGAAGCCCCAGCAAGTGAATTAAAGCTGCTGTTTCTTTCGCTGATCCCTCCCAAGCTCTCTTGTTAGGTCACCTATTGATCACATTCTCACCCCACCCTGTTTCAAGGAACTGACAATCTAAGTTCCATCAGCAGGTAAGATAAGAGAGTAGGGGGAAGGGATGGATCCTAGCTCAGCGTAAGGTCCCAGGTTCAATCCACAGCATCTCCAGGTAAGGCTGAGAATCTCTGCCTAGAACCCTGGAGAGCTGCTGCCAGTCAGTGTAAACAACACTGAGCTGAATGAACCATTGGTCCATCTCAGTATGTGAAGGGCGATGGAGAGTGCTAGAGGGGAGCAGACTACAGGCTTGTGGTTGTGGAAACTGCTTTTTTCTTATTTTAGCAAGAACCTTAAGGTCTACCAGCTGAAGCCAAGCAGCCTGAGAGCGAGGGACTGGCCCAGTGAGCTTCATGGCTGAGCAAGGATTTGAACCCTGGTCTCAGCTGGTTAGAGCATGGTGCTGACAATGCTAAGTTTGTAGGTTTGATCCCCTTACAAAAATTCCTGCATTGAAGGGGGTTGGATGAGATGATCCAAGGGGCCCCTTCCAACTCTACAATTCTATGATTCCCCCAAAGTCCAAGTCTGTCACTCTAACCACTACACCACACTGTGGAGGGACACCCCAGGAGCTACATAAAGAGGCGAGTTTCTGCCCAGAGAAGCTTGCATATTTCTCCTTTGGACACCAGGACTGGGCAGCGATGTGTTGGGGTGGGAAAGTCCCCTGTGCTGTATTTTTCTGCAAAAATGTTGTTCCTATCAATGAATTGGTTTGCCGGTTGCAATTACAATTATTAGGCAAGGGGAGTAGTTTACTAAATACATGGAAGATAAACTATGCCAGATTAGATCATGCATTTGGCTCCCAAATTTATTTGCTTCACCCCGGGGGAAGGTTCCCTAAAACAAGCTTCCTTAATTCGCACCAGAAAGTTTCCTGGGGAAATTCCCCAGGAAGTTTCCTCAGTTCAAAACTTCCAGGAAAACCCATGTTTTCCTTGCTTTTTTTGTTTTGTTTTGTTTTGTTTTGTTTTGTTTTGTTTTGTTTTGTTTTGCAGTGGCCCGTAAGGGGAGTCCCCGAGGACAGGGAAGATGGAGAGACGGGGAAGACCACGAACCTCACCACGTGGAAGAAGCAGAGGAGGCTGGTCCCCGTCGGCGATCCCTGCACGATGCTGATGTAGAGGTACAAGGCAATGGCCATCGTCCAGAAGAAGGAGCTGGTGTTGGAGAAGGTGGACACGGCGCCCTGGGCCACGCATTCCCACGTGGACGAGCTGAAGTCCTTCAGGGCCCCGTAGAAGTAAGAGGCGGCCGAGAGGAGGTCGGCCAAGGAGAGGTAGAGCAGGAGCTGCCGGGGCCGCGTCCGCAGCTCGGGCCACAGCGCGTGGGTGCCCACCAAGAGGCTAGACCCGAGGAAGGAGAGGGCGCACGAGACCAGCACCGTCACCCTCTCGAAGGGGTACAGCTCCGTCTGCAGAGCGCCGTGGGGCATGGCGGAAGGAGAGGCTGGCCTGGCCGCAGAGGCAAGGGGTCGCAGTGGGGCGGTGGGTGTGGGGCGGTGGGGGATCTCAGCAGGGCAAATCAGGGCAGGAAAGGGAAGGAGTTAAGAGAAAGGAAGGACGCGCAGTGGGAGGCGAGGAAGGAAGGGGCGCAACGGAGGGAGAAAGTTAAGGAAAGTGAGGAGGGGAGGGCTGTCTTTGCAGGGAAGGCGGAAAGAGAGCGAGAGCGAGCGAGGGGGACCCGGGAAAGTGAAAGGAGAAGAACGCGGGGGAGAGCCCGGGAGTTCCAAGGAAAGGGAAACAAAGCGCGGAGGGAGGAGCCGGCTGCGGACTCCGGCTGAGGCGCCCAGAGGCAGGAGGCAGAGCAGGCTCCGGCTCCGGGTCTCGGCTACGTCCCGCCCTGCCGCTCTTCAAGCCCCGGGCGGAGGCCTCGACGCCGCGTCCCCTCCCACCCAGGCCGGGGGCTGCTGGCTGGCTCCTCCTTTCGCGTCCCTGCCTTGCTTCGGAGCGCCGTAGTCAGCGGACTGGATGGAGTCGGCTGTGCCGGCAGATGCCTCCCTCTTGAAGTGGCCCAGCCCCTCCCCCCTCCAGAAGCTGAGTTTCTGAGCATGCACAGAGCGCCCTCCTCTAAGACAGCAGCACCAGCACCGTCTTATCTTTACCATGTGGACTATGTTATATGTTTTCTTAATTTGTTTGTATAAATACAGTCATTATTTACTTAATTTCCCTGTCTGTTTTATTATTCGTTGGATTAATTATTTATTATTTCGTTGTTTTAATAATATCTACGGGTTATCCCAGGCTGCAATCCTATTATACCTGCTTCCGCGGGAGTAAGCCTCAGTGGAAATCAAGGGTACTGACTCGCGCATTGTCTCGGCTGTATTTCAGAGCATGCATTCTCCACTTCGACCTCTAGATGTCAGCATTGTCCCAGATCAAGCTCTCAGGATGCAAACATGTGCCAGAGTGATCGTCATTATAGTATGCTGAACCTTACAACAAACCTGTAAGGAAGGCCAGTGTTACTGTTGTGCAACGGGTTCCTGCCTGCATGCTTCTTACAGGCATTTGATTCTCCAGTGTGAAAACAGAATTCTGGAAAATATGGGCCATTCGCCTGAGCCAGCAGGGCTTTTTTGTGCATTTAATTTCTCTCCAGATTGTAGTATGGAGTGGCAGGGAGCAGATAGAGAGTAGTCTATTTAAGGCAATTTAGTGAGTTCCTGGGATAATTGAGATCCCAACCAGGACAGATACTTACAGTGGAATCCTAATAATTTCCCTGGACATTGCAAGAACTTAACTCTTCCCTCCCCAGCTGCGACGCCCTCCCCTGAAAAACTGCCACCTCTGTGTCACAATTCGGATTGAAAGTAGCCTTTTAGCAGATGAATTCTTTTCATCGGGAGGAGCAAGGCGTGGAGGAGGTAAGATGTTATCCGCATGATGCATCCGGACTGCATGCTGGTTGTTCCCCACCCCTCATTTAGAGATAAGTTGACAGATTACCCGAACTAAAATCTAATCAGTATTGATTTGTTTTAGTTTCTTCAAACAAAAGGGGGAGTGAGATGTGTGGATAGTTTTTATGCTGCAGTCCCATTGTGGGGAACCTTTCCCTCCCTAGGGCCGCATTCTATTCTGTGTGAGCTTCTGGGGACCACAAGGCAATGATGATGGGGGAGGGCAGACTTTTTGGCTAAAGGCAAAAATACCTTTCAAAATAGTCTGTCTCCACACACATTTACGCACCACTCTCTGTCCTCCCCTCAGGCCAGAAAGAGGGATAGTGGGAGAGCTTCATTAACTATGAACTCCCAAATTTTGGTTTTTTGGGGGGGATACCTAGGACCCCAATTTGAATATCAGTTACTCAGTTTGGGGGGACATACAAAACGCGGGGGGGGGGGTTGCTACCAAATCCTACAAAACTTAGGCACAGGTTTCAGATTTGGGGGTTTGTAATAATAATAATAATTTTTATTTATACCCCGCCCTCCCCAGCCAAGGCCGGGCTCAGGGCGGCTAACAAGCAATAATGAAAACAAGTTGAATGAATACAACTTAAAAACAAGATTAAAATACAACATTAAAATATTGAAACATTAAAATGAAGCCTCATCACAGGAGGAGAAAGGAAAAAGAAAGAGGGGGTGGGAATCAAATTGGCTCCAAGCCAAAGGCCAGGCGGAACAACTCTGTCTTATAGGCCCTGCGGAAAGAAATCAGATCCTGCAGGGCCCTGGTCTCATGAGGCAGAGTGTTCCACCAGGCCGGAGCCAGTGTTGAAAAGGCAGTTGAGGAAGGTGCAAAAAAGGGCAAACAGGTGCAAAAAAGATGCAAAAAAAAAAAAGGTGCAAAAAAGGGCCTAGGGAAGTGAGTCCTATGGTCAGAAAGGTCTGAAGGGCTGCATTTTGAGTCTGACTGCTGATCTAGTTGCTTGGTGGCACTGAATTTAGTCGTAATTGGGTGGAATCAGGAGTTTCTACCATTGCTTAAGAGATAACAAAGTTATCATCTAACTTCCTGGCTGGTGCATCCTTTGACACCCTTCCACAATGAGAAATGTTTGCCTTGCCTGCTATCCTGTCCCTGACATTTAATCTGACCAGTCCCATTGGCTCCAAGACACATTTCTTTCCAGACAGTCAGAACACTTAGGTAAGTCAGATATCAAGCAGTAGGAGAATTATTTTCCTCAATCTTTTTTTTTTTTAAAGTGAGAGAGTTATCTTTGGGAGTACGGTTGCCAACTTTTCAATCAACCTCTGTTGCTCTGCCTTTAACAGCACTTGATCTGCAGATACAGTGGTACCTCAGGTTACATACACTTCAGATTACATACGCTTCAGGTTACAGACTCCTGAAGCATATGTAACCTGAAGCGTATGTAACCCGAGGTACCACTGTAATCCTTAGACCAGTGGTTTTCAACCAGTGTGCAACATGGGCAACACTGGCTTCTGAACCTCTTTCCTTCCCTCCCTCCCTCCCTCCCTCCTCTGATGCCCTCTCACATTTCTGCTTCCCCAAGGCTTGCACAGCTGTTCATTGCAGCAGCCCTGGCTACAAGCTCCGCAGGTGAATGATAACTCTGGGAGGCACCTCTCTTTGGGGCAGGGCAGGGACTTTACTCAGATGGCAGCAGCAGCTGCCCAGAGGACTCCCAAGGACAGGGGAGAGGATAGGAGGCTGAGGGAACACTCCACAAGGGAGGGTGTCCAAAAAAGGGTGAGAGGCTGCCAGCTCAGCAGGCAAGGGGTGACATAACTGGGCTCCTGAGCCCCACAGGGGTGCCACAGAAAGAATGTATTTGGTCAAGGGAGCCATGGACTCGAAAAGGTTGAAAACCTCTGCCTTAGACCATAAGGCTGCCATATGAACTGGGGCCTATTGGGTCTGGTGGGATGGAAGTTAGGGAGCCCAACAGTAGGTGGCGGCAGAGCCCATGAGAGGCAGAGCTGATTGTGCATTGAGCATTGTGTCTGTCCTCCTCCCTGCGAGTGAGGAGGGAGGCAGCAGGCATTGCCGACCCCTGGGCTGGTTGTAAGAAGGCAGGGCTTGCTGTGGGCTTTCTGCCTTGGTGGGGCACTGCCCCATTTGTCCTTTTGGACCAGTCACACTACTGCCTTCATGTATGCCTTGCCTCAGACATCCCAGACTGATCACTGTGATCATCTGAGGGAGCACTACTAGTGGTCCACTAGTTGAGAAGCACACCTCATGTCAATGAGGAGACGTGTCTTCAATGTAGGGGGCCCATCTCTGTGGAACTCCCTCCCACTAGAACTCAGGAAGGCACTAACTTTGCTGAGTTTCAGCTGCCAGGTTATTTATTTCAGGAGGCTTCTTTGCACCACGAATGCTGTTCCGGCATTTTATTCTTTGATGTTTTAATTTAGGCTATAAAATGTTGTTTGGTGCAATTGTTTTAAGCAGCTTCAAGACCCAGATGCGTTGAAAAGGAATATATAATTTTGAATGATAATGTTTTTGAATGATACAGCAAATTTTGTTAACTGCTTTGAGAAAGTCTTTAGACAATCAAGTGGAAGAGAAATCGTCTAGATAGATAGATAGATAAGTAGAAGTGAACCTCCATGCACAGGACCAGTATACCAGCGAAAACCAGACATGGGGTGAGGGGAAAACAATGGGTTAAAACGAGTACATTCATGTGTTTAGCTCATGAGTTCAGCATCAGCACCCGACTGTCCTCTGTTGGAAACACAGCACTGGGATTGTAGAGTGGACAGGCGGAAACAGAGTTTACAGGTTTAGAATGAGCCCCTAAAAAAAGAAAATAAAACCAGTCTCACCCTCAGGCTGGCGCCAGCATTACTTTCAGTCCGGTGGATTTACTCTCGGTGGAATGTAGAAGGACTCTCTTGTCGTGGAGATATGTGAAGCATTCTTGCTTTTTAATCTTGGCTAGTCAAGATCTCTCAGGCTTCGAGCCCAAGTGTTGGGAGGTGCAGGAGTGAAATGACTTCGAGAAAAGAGCACACAAGGGTGACATACAAGTGTCACCCGTGTGTCTAGAGACTGGCAGATCTGTCTGTTTTGGTTCCTCTAGGCGTCTCATTTCCTCAGTCTTCAATTCTCCACATTTCTATATCAGTCTGTGGTGTGTGTGTTTTTTTAAGTCCTCATGAAAACTCTTCAAAGCAAATTTCTCCCAAGATACGCATTCTTAAGATGCAAATTTGCCCAGTATGCACATTTCCCCCAATATCTGCAACCAGAAGTTGTTTTAAACCATTGTTAATATTGCGTTTTAATGTTATAACCTGCCCTGGAATCTTAATGAAATAATAACGCATCTTTGTACGTTTCTCAAACATATGCATTTTTATGCACCCTGAGTTTTTATAGACACGGAAAAGTGTGAATTTTGAAGGAGGGCTGTTTCTCAGGTCGCAGGTTGCTTTGGAAACGGCAAATTAGGTGGGTTCGCCTTTTAAATGTGGACTGGATCATATGTCTCACCCACCCGTCCCTAGGTCTTTCAGCTTAAGCATCCAAGGTAGCAAAGGCAAGAAGAGAAGCATGTACTTTGTTTTTATTGTATTTTATTAAATAAAAATTCACTTTGGGATCATACATAAGCAACTTCTAAAGCCCAACTTTTAGTGCAGGGGTAGGGGGCCTTTTTCAGTGGACCACATTCTTTCATGGGTAAGCTTCAAGGGGCCACATTTCAGGAGTGGGTGTGGTCCAAGTCAAGCTGTGCGTAGGGCAATACATGAGACTTAGATTTGTACAGGAGCCATATGGCCCATCTGTGCAACAGAGGTTTATAACATCCAGGCAAAGGAGATCAGGTGCAGATCAGGTGTGGCCTGTAGAGGCGGGGGGGGGCATGATTTAGGACAGGGGCCGGCAAAGTTTTTGTGGCTTGGGCCGGTTCATGGTCCTGCAGACGCTGCAGTGGGCTGGAGTGCATGCACACATGCGCAAACACTATTTCCAGCGCGGAGGAGGCGTGCACAGCTTCCTATTGGCTGCAGGAGCTTCCTGCAGCCAATGGGAAGCCGGCCAGCATCACAGAAGGCGGTCCCCACTCTGCTCTGTGCACGGGAGCCGTCCGAGCGGGCGGCAGGGGTCCATGG